CGCACCAACCAGATCAGCATGGTAGCAAAGCAGGCACAGAGTGCTTAATAGCATACGAGGCACCATTGCACCCAGTTTCCCCGCCGGTGGCCACTTTTTTTTGTCAGCCTCTCGGTAGAGGTCATCGTCGTCCGCGTCAGAAGCATTAGTGATGGCGATTGTGACCAGCTGATGGCGACGATGGCTGCCGACGATGCTTGTCTCGATTTCCTGCAGGCTTCTCATTAGTGTCTGTGTCTCTCAAGCCCGAATGTCAGGTCTCGTCGTGATCCGTACGAATAGATAAACAAAATTTCGTTTCCCAGGCCAGGCTAGGCCAGGCCAGCGCGCCTTAGCTAGGCCGGCAAGAATAAAAGGGGGGCCAGGGTTTCGGCCGGGGGGGGGGGGGGCTGCCGCATGTACATGTCGGGAAGGGTAAGAGAAAGAAGGAGAGGAGAAGAAACATGCCGCATGCCGTTGCCATTCGACCCCAAGAGAAGGCTCTCCCCGTCCCACAGACTCCCTGAGAGTGCCACACCACGGCGAACGCCAAGGAGTCAGATCAGTCTCCGCCGACGACAGACGAAGCAGTGTGGAAGGGTGGGCAACCTTGGTACCCAGGTCACATCAAAGTACACTGAGCCACAGATACTATGCGGAATACATATCAGTACTAATACAGCACAAGCATGACAGGGGCCTTTTTTCTTCGTGCCCTACCTAGGTACGTACCTAGATACCCGCCGCCCATCGATGTGTACATAGGTACTAGTGTAGGTAGGTAGTACAGAAATGTCCGGCGACGTACGGAATACTACTAGAGTAAGAGCCGTGCACTCACTCCTCCGACCTTATTGCCTCACCTCAATTCTTTGCGTGAAGGCATCACATCACACCTACCTCTTGTACTGACCTTCTCCCCCCTCCAAAGCCGAATACAGGTACATGTCTCAACCAGCCATTCAGAGATGCCCGGGTCGGTGTGCTACTTTGAATTTTTTTTTTCTTTATCTTAGTCTTCGCCGCCGGAAGGATTCCGAGCACTCCATTCGTCTCTCGTATCTCTTCTTTTCTTCTCACACGCGTTTATCACCATTTCCGGCCCACGTCAGTGCCTACACGTACGTACCTGCCTGCCATCGTGGCCGTCGTACAAAGTACACCGTCCCTTGCGCCCTCGTACTGCCAGCCCCAAACGGCCTGCATATGCGAGAGATGGCTGCATCCTTCCTCCGCCTACCTTAGACGTATCCGTACATGGAGCGGCACAGGGCACGCACAATCTCTGCTTCGTCCTAGCCAAGGGTTGGGGGAACGGCAGACACCCCTCCGCCACCCAGACAGACGCACGCCCTTCCACTTTATTGCTGTCGCATTTCTCCCCTCACACCTCGGCCCCCAGCAACGGGACGCCCCCTCCCATTGCTCCTCTCCTCTCCGAAGGCTCCTCAGGTAAGCCTCCAACGCCAACGAATACCTACGTTCTGGGAGGGAAGCATCCCCACTCTCGTCATGATCCCCCCTCTTAGAGCCTGTCGGCGATTGCGTTGCGGCGGCGGCGGCGGCGGCCGAATCCCAAGGAAAGCCCGCAGATGAACCCGCATCACGTACAGCACGTTGTCGTGTACGGATACACTAGGTATCCATATGAGAAACTGCATACGGAGTACAAACTAAAGAGGTGTGGTTGTGTTCCATGTCTGGCCCACACATACTACTAAACAATGGTGTGCAGGCCCTGGATCTTCTGCGGAGAGCAATCAATCCTCCAGTACGATACAGCAGAAGCCCGACTGCTCCATACAACACGGCGTGCATCTCCCACACAACGCAGGCCAACATGGGGCACCAGCCACTGTAACTTCTGACGATAGCTTCGTGTCCCTACCATTCTTCGTGTCGCCCCTTTTTGGATGTGAGCGCACCCGCATTTTTCCCGCTGCACTCACAAAATTATCGCCGCCCGCTTTCCAACGACTCATAACCTTGTTGCAGCACGCCTCCTCACGCAGAAAGTTGCAATCGATTTTTGTATTTTCGTATTCCATCTTATACATTGGGGGGAAAAAACCCCATCAACAAAATTTTCTCACCTTGCTGGTGACTTTTTTTTTTTTACTTTTAAGGTATCCGTATACGTAGTGCGCAGAATCCCCTTTCAACGCGTGAGCCCCGGGGAGTCAGTGCCCCTTCCTCTGCCATGCCATTACAATCTTATGGCGCTGAAACGCAAGATCTGGGAAGGGGGCTGCAACCGCAAATGAGAAAGACAATAGAGGTAAGATGACGGGAGAGGATAGCGTGCCCACCACAGCGCCAGGTATCTAGTGTACGCCAACGCTCAGTCAAAGAAGCGTGGGAAGGCAAGGAAAGGGAATCAACCACTGACTAGGGGGCATTTGCGGCACGGATGAAGTCACATTGTTGCTCTGAATGGATGGATGCAGCGGTTGCAGCGATGACATGAACCAAACTCAAAGTTCGTCTTTTCTCGCGTTGGATTTCTTCGACGGTGCGATCCACTCTGCCCCCGATCAGGATCTTGGGGGGGACCAGCCATGCACCCTCGTGCGTGCCCTGGGCACAGCCCAGCCTAGCCCAGTCAGCCCAGTCGGGAGGGCGGGCAGCCAGACACACCACCACCACCTCCTCCGGGCTAGGAACGCGAAGTTTAGTAGGTTAGGTAAGGTGAGGTAAGGCAAGGCAAGGCAGGTAACTGTCGGTACCCCAATCTCGGGGGCCATGTCCCCAGGGTAAGGGAAGGACTATCCTTCGGTGAACAAACACTCCCTGGCCTGGGGTGAAGACTGACTAAACTACCCGACACGTGGGTTGTCCGTAATGCAGTTTAGCGGCGGCACCCATCTCAGCGCAGCATTTCTCATTTACTCGGGGCATAATTTCTTGTTTCTTTTGACCATTACGGAGTAATAGTGTTATTGTTAGTAGTATTATTGTTATCCTTGTCATCCCTATAGAGCCCTTTTCTGACGGGCGTTCCTGTTGGTCTTCGCTCTGCAAGATGAAATTGATTAAATGACACTACGATCGATGGTTTGCGTTGCCTCGATTGAAAACCAGCTGCTTGCTTTCCGGCCACGCTGCGATCATCTCCGACATAGAGCCTTGCTAACGTCTGACGGTTCTATCGTCATGGCCTGACAAATGCTCGAGGCGGTGCCAATCACCACATCTTTGTCCGGATGATCCTTCCCAGGCCAGAAGCTGCGCGTGCCTTAGGCACGCCTGCGAGGCCCATACCCTCGGTGCTCTTCCGCCCCAGCGACCGGGAGACACACAGGATGGCGTCGCGATGCTCTGCAACATGGCTGTCTCTTGTTTCAAAAATGTGTGTCGACGGCATGTCTAACCAAGTCGTCGTCGACGTTCCTTACCCCTAGATCGCCCTTTCCGTGCCATACCACTTGAGGACGCTGCCGATATTGACGGTTTCCTCCTAATATGCTGTACGCTCCCTCCCTCTCTTGGCTATAACAACGTGCGCGCCACCACCAAATCGCATCGTGGCCCTTGGCCTACACAGTTAGCAGGGGTGAGGTAGCAATAGCTTCAGACTGGCAAAGCTTGGCCCATGGCAGCATCACATTAATAGTACGCAGCAGCATGCAGTGCACAGCTTTATCGCATACTATTTCTGATGGCCGACGGTAACGTGGATACCGGGCGGTCGACTTTGCCGTCTCCAACCTTTCCGGATTGTGTCGGAAATCCACAAATAATCAGCCTTCGGACAGGGGAAAATTCAACGGGACGAGTCCGAGGACAAGAAGCTCTGGGCGCACTGCAACGCGATTAGAACTTTGCCATCCAACTTTAGCCGCGCATGAGGGTTTACCAACGACCCTTCTGGAGTGCTATCAATGTCCTCAACCAGGCAGTTGTAAAACCATATCGGATCCAGTCTGAACAAATGAAAGGGGGGGTTGAGGCGGTTGACAAACGCAGCAGGCGCGCCGAGCTGCCGACTCGTGCTTTACGGAATCGATGGGAAAGGGGAGGGGTCGGTCTGCAGTCGCTAGACTCACAAGAGGAATCATCCGCGTCCACATCGCTACCGTAGATTTCCGCTGTTCAGTCGACGGCTCCATCAGCCAAGGGGACGTTTATCCACATCTCTCTGCTCCCCATTTCAGACCCGCAGGAGCCAGGCGGCCACGGATCCCTGAGTCCCCCTTCCTCCCAAAGGCCCTCTATGGAAAGGGGGGGCGAGACTGTTGCGCTGAGTGGAACCCGCTCTCCATGAAATCTGTACCTGGGCCTGGCAGGCTATGGGGCGTCGGTTGGGCGTGGACGTGGCCATGGGTGTGGGCGTGGGTGTGGGCGGAAGCACAGCCAAAGTTGCGCCAAGTTGCTTTTTGAGATGACTCCAGCCATGCCCCACATCGATTGCACCCCCCAGCACCCGCCGGTGGGTGTCGTTTCGCTCGGGAGAGGGTGTAGCTGTAAAAGCTGCTGGGTAAGGGTAGTTCCAGAGATGATGACTTGGGAACTCTCGCAGCCTCCCAACTTCTCCTTCTTCGCTTTTCCCCCATCCCCAACTTTTGCCCTGACACAACGAGGGGCGCTTCAATCGATCGCCGTCGGGTCTCGTATCCCTTCTTTTCCAACTTCATCATTGTGCTGCCTCGGGGCTCGCCCGCCCTTTCGGATCAGCTCCTTGTCCACGTTTTTGTTTGGCTTGCCTGTGCCTTTGGCCTGTCGTCGCCTTCTCACCTTGTCGCCCAGCCTCCCGTTGACGGGTTGCACGTCGAACCTCGCTACGTTCGGGCCGTCGCAACGACGTTGACCGGCTTCGAACACGGGTTCAACGGAAGCGAATCGAGATAACCTGATAGGGCGTCTCTACTCTTAGTCAATATTTTATTGTCTTCTCACCTTCTGTAATCGCGACATCGTCGCCGTCACCGTTGCCGCCCTTGGCGCCATCATCGTCAGGCCTTGACCGACGTAGACCCGCAACAGATCGCGCGCACCAAGTCGTCCTCGACTCGCAGGACACAATGGCCAACCACCACCCGTCGCCGACCATGGCCATGCAGGCACAACAGCATGGCCCTCCTGGCCCTCCACCGCCGCCCGGCATGCAGCAGGGCCAGAACTATGCGCCTTCGCGCCAGATCCTCCTCATGAACGAGGCTGTATGGATGCAGATCGGTAAGCGCACCGCGACTGACCCCGGCGCGTAAATAGGCCATCTGACAATTGGCACAGGCAGCTTCGCTGAGCTTCTCGGTAACCTCGAGGAAGCCATGAAGGCTTACGATCGGGCCTTGCAGGCAAACCCGCAGTCCGTAGCGGCCATGAATGCCATCAGCTTGATCCTTCGCACGCGCGAAGAGTTCCACAAAGCCGTCGACTACCTGCAGGCGATACTCAAGATTGACAACACCAATGGCGAGGCTTGGGGCAGCTTGGGTACGTGCCTACATACCTGATTGCGCTCGCTAAAGCCAAATTGCTAACTGCTCCCAGGTCACTGCTACTTGATGATGGACGACTTGCAGCAAGCTTACGCTGCCTACCAGTCTGCCCTGGTTAACTTGAGGAGCCCGAGGGTTAGTAGCGCCGCCTCCGGCTCTGTGGGTTTATCCGATACTGACACCGCACAGGAGCCTAAGCTGTGGTACGGCATTGGTATTCTTTATGATAGATATGGCTCTCTTGAGCATGCCGAGGAGGCCTTCTCCCAAGTGATGCAGATGCAGCCCGACTTTGAAAAGGCGAACGAAATCTACTTCCGTCTAGGCATCATATACAAGCAACAGCAGAAGTATGGTCAGAGTCTGGAGTGCTTCAAGTACATTGTCAACTCCCCGCCTCCCCCTTTGACCGAAGAGGACATTTGGTTCCAGATTGGCCACGTCCACGAGCAGCAGAAAGACGTAAGCACTCGACTCCCGTTCCCGGCAAATGCGGCCGCTAATCTCAGAGACAGTACGACAGCGCGAAGGCCGCCTACCAAAGAGTCCTCGAACGTGACCCAAGTCACGCAAAGGTCTTGCAGCAGCTTGGCTGGCTTCACCATCAGCAGAGCAGTAGCTTCCAGAGCCAGGAGCGAGCTATTGAGTTCTTGGAGAAGTCTGTTGCCGCCGACCAAGGCGATGCCCAAAGCTGGTATCTGCTCGGTCGCTGCTACATGTCCCAGCAAAAGTACCCCAAAGCGTACGAAGCGTACCAGCAGGCCGTCTATCGCGATGGAAGAAACCCGACGTTCTGGTGCTCCATTGGAGTGCTGTACTATCAGATCAACCAGTACCGCGACGCCCTTGACGCCTACTCTCGTGCCATTCGACTCAACCCCTTCATCTCGGAAGTCTGGTATGACCTGGGCACATTGGTGAGTCGGACAACTTTTCAAAACTATGATCATCGCTAACCAAAACCCAGTATGAATCATGCAACAACCAAATCAGCGATGCGCTTGACGCGTACCAGCGTGCTGCAGAGCTTGACCCTCAGAACCCTCACATCAAGGCGCGTCTGCAGCTGCTGAGGAACGGCGGCGCCAACGGAGGGCAACCCCCCAGCGCTCCTCAACCTGCCGATGTTCACCCTCAAGCATACCAGGTCGGTCCTCCGGCACCCCAGTGGGGAAGCTCTGCTCCTCAGTCCCAGCAGCAAGGAGGACAGCAGCCTCCTCCACCGCCTGGTCCCGGCGGCCCTGGCAGCAACGGCTGGGGTAGACTCGCGGACATCAACCCCCCCCCGCAGCCTCCTAACCCCTACGAGCAGCGCGGCGAGCCATTCCGCGGACCTGCTCCCCCCATGCCGCGCCAGCCAAGCCCCAGGCAAGAGCAGCAGCACGGTGGCCGCCCGCCTTACCCTGAGTCGATCCGACGGATGCCCAGCCCACCATCGCACTACTCGGGACCCCCTCAACCTCCCCAGCAGCCCCCTCAGGGTGCTCCCACATCTGCGCCGCGCACCATCAACCCCAACTACTCTCAGCAGTCTTCTGCTCAAATGCCTCCTATGAATGCCGGCCCCAACGGCCCTCCCAGCCAGCCGCCGCAGTTCCGCGGCGCCAACAGCCCCCGGCCGGGCGAGCGGCCTATGCATGACAACCGCATGCCTTCTCCCAAGTCGGCGTACCCTCAACACCCCCCGCCTCCGCCGCCGCCGTACAGCCATCACCCTGATGGCCCTACCCCCGGTCCCATGGAGGGCGGTGCCCCGCCCCCTCCCCCTCCCGGTGCGATTCCCGCAGACTCGGCCGTGCAGCGTAACGAACATGACCGTCCTCCCTCGGTGGGTCCCAAGCGCATGCGGGAGTGGGAAGAGGAATCGTCTCACAAGCGCCCGGCCAACGATGAGAGCCGAGCTAGGCTCGACGACGTCCGGCCTCGACGCCCGTCGACCCCTCTGGGACCCCGGGACCAGTACCGCCGCAATTCATCCGAGGCCCGCCGCTTCGAGGATCAGCGTCGCGTCGATGACCAGCGTCGCGCGGAGGACCAGAGAAGGGCAGAGGACATGCGGAGGGGCGAGGAGCAGCGCCACGCCAACGATGGGTATCACCCTTCGGAGGCGGCTCATCACCCGCCCAGCCACCCAATGCCTTCCAACCACCTCCCGCCGATGCAGTCGGCTGCTGCGCCGATGCAGAACATTCTCCACGAGGGAGCACAGAACGGCCCCGGACCCGCCTCCGGGCCGGCTCCTGGTGTCAAGGAGTACCCCGCCGAGGAACGGCCGCCGATCGAACACACTCCGGCCCCCCGGCCTCCCCAGCCGAGCGAGCCGGAGCGTGCAGCCCGGAAAATGGACGTTGACGAAGACTACGATGACAGTGGAGAGGATGAAAAGAAGGGCGCTGTTGCGACGACCAACGGCTCCGGCCCTGCCCCGGCGTCAGGAGAGACCAAGACGCCGACAAGCGCGAGCATCAACGGCCTGATGGGACCTACCCCCAAGGTCGAGTCGACTTAATGGATCAATGGCAGTTTGACGTATGGTTTTCTTTGTATGCGTATCCTGTGTTCCCTTTTCGTGTATACCATTTCGTTCTTAAAACTCGTCCCGTCTCGAGAACCGCCTTTCGTTGGACATTGGCCTGGCTAGGCAAATAGGTAGCTCATGAAGACAATACCAGTGCATGAATGTCCTCTTGGTCGCCACCGTTGCATATACATTGATACCCCAAGCCCGTATCGAGGCCTTTTCCTGACCAGAAACCCACATGAGTTTTAGTTTCCGTCCTGACCAAGAAGCGCCGGGCCGTGTGCATGTCTCTCAGTCACTGTTCCCTATGAATTAACAGGCCAAGCCTCCTCATCCATGACCAATTTATCACTACTCCACCTATTGCCGACCTGAAAGCGTTCCATTAAAACCCGCAGTTATGGCCAGTGTTGATTGCTATCGGCTGTCCAGAGAGGCCTACTAGCTTCCTAGCCTGCCGCCAGGGCCACCACGACCAGATTAACTGTCACAATCTCCTGCGCGTTGCCTTGATGTTACCAGCTGTTCTATCAAACAACTTCGACTAACTGCCATCTTGAAGGTACACAATTAAGCTCGCTGCAATGGCCAGTATTGATTACTATAGGCTGCCAAGGCACCTTACCCCTTTCTCCGATGTGTTCGTGAGGTTATACACTGCCTATAATGGTGCTAGATAGAGAAAACAGGTGTTGGACGCAAAGATCAAATTCAAAATTTAGCGTTCCAGACATCCACACCGCTTGGCGCGTCTTGGGCAAGGAGGAAACTGCAACTCATGTGAGTTTCTGATCAGGAAAAAGCCTTGAGAGGAGAGCTTGTTGACGCAAGATGGGCTAGTTGTTGAGCAATGATGAATGTGCCTTCTTTGGTTTAGCTGGGTGGATTTTCGGCCTGGCCTCATTCCCAGCAAAGTGCCACCTGGAAGGCCTTAGGCTTCGTCTCAATACATATCGGAAGTATGTTCAGACGCTTGAGGACCTGGAGAAAGAAAACGAAGCTCACACCGAGCCAGCAAATCGGCATCGATCACTACGATCACCTCAAAACGCACCGCAGGTGCTTCTCAACCCGCTCAATAAAGTGAAAAGCAGCCAGCCGGTCCTCCTCGCGCCAAGAAGGAACCGCATGGCCCCACCAAGCTATCGCCGGAGGAGCAACAGCGATACCTCGTCGAGCGGCTTATCTCCAGATGGCGGAACGAGGCGTGAGACAGCATTGTGGGATGCTGGACAATGAGGGAGAATGTGTCACTAATATCACGTGCCGTAGCACGTGGCAAGCCTTGACTGCCCCTTGTACCAACGGAGACAAGACCTACCCTCTGAGGAGAGTGGGTCCCACCCACCAATTTTGGCGAAATTTTATTTTTTGGTGCTTGCACTTTTTCTCTTTCTTTTATTTGCGCGCTCTACTCTACTTACTTGCCGACACATTCTCCCTCGCCAGCGGAGCCAAATCGAATCACCAGATCACCAACTCCGGTCTACTAACATTTCATAGCGGAGATGAGTCACAGAAAGTTCGAGGCTCCCCGTCACGGTAGGCTTTTTCCGCTTGAAAAATGGTCGAAAAACGGTTAGGATTCGTACTGATTTCATGTAGGGTCGCTGGCGTACCTCCCGCGCAAGCGTGCCGCCCGTCACCGCGGTAAGGTCAAGTCGTAAGTTTCCCGAGAACCTCCATTGGATTCTGTTTGCTTGGGGTTGGAACATTGGGCGCTTTTGGACGTTGAAGACGGCAGAGGCTGACGATTGCGATACTCCCACAGCTTCCCCAAGGATGACGCCAAGAAGCCCGTCCACCTGACGGCCGCGATGGGCTACAAGGCCGGTATGACCACGATCGTCCGCGACCTCGACCGCCCCGGCGCCAAGGCCAACAAGAAGGAGGTCGTCGAGGCCGTGTCCATCATTGATACCCCACCTGTACTACCAACGCAGCCCGCTTGGCTCTGTGCCTATGGCTAACATCTTCACAGATGATCGTTGTTGGTCTTGTGGGCTACATCGAGACTCCCCGCGGTCTGCGCTCGCTCACCACCGTTTGGGCCGAGCACTTGAGCGACGAGATCCGCCGCCGCTTCTACAAGAACTGGTACAAGTCCAAGAAGAAGGCCTTCACCAAGTACGCCAAGCAGCACTCCGAGGCCTCCGGCGCCTCCATCACGCGCGAGCTTGAGCGCATCAAGAAGTACTGCACCGTCGTCCGCGTCCTCGCCCACACCCAGATCCGCAAGACCCCTCTCACCCAGAAGAAGGCCCACTTGATGGAGATCCAGGTCAACGGTGGCTCTGTCCCCGAGAAGGTCGACTTCGGCTACGGTCTCTTCGAGAAGCCCGTCACCATCGACTCCATCTTCGAGCAGAACGAGATGATCGACGTCATCGCCGTCACCACCGGTCACGGATACAACGGTGTCACCTCCCGTTGGGGCACCAAGAAGCTTCCTCGCAAGACTCACAAGGGTCTGCGCAAGGTCGCCTGTATCGGTGCCTGGCACCCTTCCCACGTCCAGTGGACTGTTGCCCGTGCCGGTCAGATGGGTTACCACCACCGTACCTCTGTCAACCACAAGGTTTACAGAATTGGCAAGGGCGACGCCGACGACAACGCCTCCACCGACGTTGATGTCACCAAGAAGACCATCACCCCGTATGTTTCTCCCCCTCTGTCATGCGTTTTTGCCATCGCAAACACTAACACCGCTCTAGTCTCGGTGGTTTCGTCCGTTACGGTGAGGTCAAGAACGACTTCGTCATGGTCAAGGGCTCCATCCCTGGTACCAAGAAGCGTGTCATGACTCTCCGCAAGTCCATGTTCACCCACACCTCAAGAAAGGCCCTCGAGAAGATCGACCTCAAGTGGATCGACACCTCGTCCGAGTTCGGACACGGTGCTTTCCAGACCCCCGCGGAGAAGAAGCAGTACCAGGGTACTCTCAAGAAGGACCTTGTTGCTCAGTAGAGGGTTGGTTCTTCGATTTCATTGTATCATGGGCATGGGTTAGGTGTCGAGGGTTCTTCACGTTACTATTCGGATGGTTTGGGACACCGTTAAGGTGAAAAATAAGTGCCGAGAATTCAAAAGTCAACCCAATGAATACATAGCCCACCCGTATGTTGTTTCTGCTGGAGCTCGTGACGTGAATTTTTTGATGCATGCCATTCAGACACAATTTTTTGTTGTGGGCACTTGCCGCGAATCGTAGCCTATACCGCTAAGGTGGTGGGGGCATTGACATTTCTCTCGTCCAGCGACGTACCTAGCCGGATTGTTGCGTCATCACCTGCCCAGCCATGGCGTGCATCTTCCTGCGAACCAAACACGCGACCACATCACCCCTCAATTCTTTACTCGGCGTCTCCGCGTCCTCTACAAATCGAATGAAGACCACATTTCTGCAGACGATTTTTCGAAGTATCTGGCATCGAGCGCTCCCAACAACCGCAAAGCACCCTAGCACACCTGCCGCATTCGCACGTCGACTGCACCTCCCGAGCAACAGCTTCCCAGCTCAGCTCCGTCAGGCTCTCAACAGATTCTCCACGATCCCACATCTCAGAATGTCCGACGCAGACTATGCAGCGTTCCTGGACAAGGCCAACCAGGACCCCAACGAGGGCTATGTCAAGTCGACAGGCAACAAGAGCACCGAGTTCAAGGCGCAGGACCAGGGTATTGAGGTGCCCAAGGCGATCGAGGAGGTGCTGAAGCAGGACAAGGTGTACGTTTCCGACGCGGACGAGCCATTCGTCGGCGTTGCGCTGGCGTGGGATGAGGCTGGCAAGGGTTTGCCTGATGAAGGTGGGTTTCTTCGATTACTTCCATTCCATCGCGTGCCTCGCAGGAGAAGCGATGCGCACTCAGCTTCTTTCATGCTAACTCGGGGCCGCAGTCGAATTTGCGCAGCTGATCGAACACCCGGACCCTGAGAACGCGGGCGTGGAGCTCCAGGACCCCGTGGACTGGGACTCGAACGGAGACTATAAGGACATCATCGAAGCGGTGCGCAAGGCAGGCAAGGGCAACGACGTCAGGGTCTACCAGGTGCCCAAGGGCGGCGTCAGGACGGAGTACTGGCTTGTTACAACGGACGGGAAGGGAAAGAACGCAAAACTTGTCGGCGTCAAGGCGCTGTCTGTGGAAAGCTGATACCCTCGAATAGCGAAGAGATCAAAAGAATGTCGGGGAATGGAAGCAAGGATCAAGAGGTCAACGTGGTCCACTCACATCGCGTTGCAGGCCAACTCGAACCTCATTTACTATAGCATTCTCACTTTGAAAAAGAAAGCAATGCCGCGGGTAATACAGCTCAGATCACGTGGCGGACTCCCAATCACGCAGCGGACTCCCAATCACGCCAAATATGGTCTTAGCCGTTGTTTCCCACCATTTGGCTACTTGTTCAGGCCGAGGGTCTAGACTAGATTGGCGGAACAATGGGCAGACGGTGGGGGCATTGTGTGTCACTGACGCAGCGGAGGTGCCACTAACGGCAACGCCTGCCTCTCGCCTTATCGAAGCGCAACGGCAGTGAACTTCCGCTTATCGGACCCTGCTTGGCTTACAACCCCTCCAAGACCGGAGCTAAATAAATCGTTTACACACTCTCTGGATGCGGTGACTCAGTCACAGAAAAACAAACGACTCTCCCCGTCTCACCTACACATAACCAGTCTCGCCAGCGGATCGGATCAGCATGTCGGGACCGGTAAGTCCTCGCCACCTCCCAATTGGCTCCGCCCGCAACGGGCTCTACTGCAACTGACACCGCCGCCCCAGCGCGCAGTCGTCCCGTCCCTCGAGACGGTCAGGACCGTCCTCTCCGCCCCGGCCGCGACGGACAGCACCAAGAAGCCGACCCTCGTCCCCGTCTACCGCCAGATCTCCTCCGACCTCATCACCCCGTCCGCCGCCTATCTCAAGGTCTCCGCCCACTACAAGGACTCGGACTACTCCTTCCTCTTCGAGAGCGCCGCCACTGAACGCGTCGGCCGCTACAGCTTCGTCGGTGCTGGCCCCCGGAAGCTGCTCGCCACTGGCCCCGGCTATGGCCCGGAGTGCGACCCTCTGCCAGCCCTCGAAGCCGAGCTGGCGCAGCACGTCGTCGCCCATGTCCCAGGCTTGCAGCTCCCGCCCATGGCCGGCGGCGCCATCGGATACGTTGGCTACGACTGCGTGCGGTACTTCGAGCCCAAGACGGCGCGGCCGATGAAGGATGTCCTCCAGATCCCTGAGTCGCTGTTTATGCTCTTCGACACCATCGTGGCATTTGATCGCTTCTACGGCGTCATCAAGGTCATCACCTACCTCCACGTCCCCGAGGACGCCTCCCAGCTCGAGGCCGAGTACCAGAAGGCGATGAAGGTCATTGACGAGCTCGTGGTCGTTCTTAACGCCCCCGAGATCCCGATCCCCGAGCAGAAGCCCATCCAGCTTAACCAGGAGTACACGTCCAACGTCGGGCAGAAGGGCTACGAGAACCACGTCACGGAACTGAAGAAGCACATCGTCAAGGGCGACATCATCCAGGCCGTTCCCTCGCAGCGCTTCGCCCGCCCGACGAGCCTGCACCCCTTCAACATCTACCGCCACCTGCGGACGGTGAACCCGTCGCCGTATCTCTTCTACGTCAACTGCAAGGACTTCCAGATCGTCGGCGCCTCGCCCGAGCTGCTCGTCAAGTCCGAGGGCGGGCGCATCATCACTCACCCGATCGCCGGCACCGTCAAGCGCGGCAAGACGCCCGAGGAGGACCAGAAGCTCGCCAACGAGCTCCGCAGGTCCCTCAAGGACCGCGCCGAGCACGTGATGCTTGTAGACCTCGCGCGCAACGACGTCAACCGTGTCGGCGACCCGTACACAGTCCGCGTGGACCACCTCATGGTCGTGGAGAAGTTCAGCCACGTCCAGCACCTCGTCTCGCAGGTCTCGGGCGTGCTACGCCCGGGCCAGACGCGTTTCGACGCCTTCCGGAGCATCTTCCCCGCCGGCACCGTCTCGGGCGCGCCCAAGGTGCGCGCGATGGAGCTGATCGCCGAGCTGGAGAAGGAGAAGAGGGGCATCTATGCCGGCGCGGTCGGGTACTTTGGCTACGGCGGCCTCGACGAGAAGGGCCAGGAGGTCGAGGGCGCTATGGACACGTGTATTGCGCTGCGGACGATGCTTACCAAGGATGGCGTGGCGTATCTGCAAGCTGGTGAGTTGGCCCCGTTTTTGCTTCAGCAGCGAAGAAGGGAGCCGGAACTGACTTTCTCAATAGGTGGTGGTATCGTATTTGACTCTGACGAGTAAGTGCAACAACACGTGAACACGGCTGGGGAGAGGTTTACTGACTGCTGATTAGGTACGACGAGTGGATGGAGACGATGAACAAGCTCGGGGCCAACATGCAGTGCATAACAACGGCGGAGGAGCTTTATTACGAGCAACAGCAGGCAGCGGGTAAATGATAACAGAGAAAAGTTTATATTTCCAACGTCTTAAATTTGATGCCTCGAAATCTATTCGGCCCTTACGCCAATTAACGAGAACGAGGAAACGGATAGGCCATTGCAACTCATGAGTCTACCAAGCTTAAAGCGTAAGCGGCTTTGTGAGTATACCATGGTGTGGCCACTCCACTCACAGTTCTCCTCCAAGATCTTACGATTGCGTATACCCATTCGGCAGCATCAAGTCTTGCCGGCTACACTCCCCGAGGTTGATTATATGTGTTCATCTTTATCCATTACTAATATGGGTGGACGGGAGTCTCAGACCCCTTGGCCGTCACATCCGCCCGACTACTGGAACTGTGTTCCCCAAAATCCCAGAAGAGACCGTCATTAGTTCATTACTATGATATACATTATACGCATGACCATGTTGCTTTATGCTTTTACAACATGTCGTATGAGGGTATGAAAACCGACCCGACCCCGAGGCCCACCGTCGTCAGCGTGGCCCAGAGCACCGCACCCGCCACGACGCCGTGCTGTAGGAGCCTCAGGTTCTGGTCCTGGCTTCCGCTTTTCCGCTCGAACAAGAGCTGCCAGAGCCACCGCCGCTCATACGTGGCGACCCACTCCTCGCCGGAGAAGACGTTGGCAGGCCCCAGCGTCTGCAGGCTCGGCTTGCGGAGCGGATCGACGGTGCCGGCGACGCTCTCGGGCGTCGCCTTGCGGCGGTGGTGCTTCTCGGCGCCCGTACCGGCCTCGAGGTCTTCTGGCACCTCCCAGGGGCGGATTTGGCGCCTGCGCGTGAGGTAGAGGGAGAGGGAGACGCCGTCGAGGGCGGCGACGAGGATGGCGAGGCCGGCGAAGAGGAGGGGCGTGGAGAGGAGACGGTAGTACCGCGAGACGGGAGAAAGGACCAGGACGGCGTCGAGGGCAAGGCCGAGGATGAACAGCAAGCAGCCGAGGAGGCGGAGAAGGCGCGTCGTCGCGCGGTTGGCGTTGGCCATGCAGTAGCGGATGAAGTCCGGGTGAAGCTTGCCGCGGAGTACAGCCTCGGTCTTCTCGAAGGCGAGCAGGAGGGCCGAGGGGTGCGTTGTGGTGGCCGTTGCGGCGAGTACGGCGTTGCGGTCGTCTTTGGTGAGGTTCAGGCGGCGCGGACCGTCGAGGGCGATGTAGTGGTTCGTTATGGCGTCGATGTCGGCGCGGAAAGGCTGTGGTGCCGGCGCAGCTGAAACCTCTGGTCAGTCCATCTACTTTGACTGAACGGTTGTGTCTGTGTAAAGTTCGTGATGGGAGGGAGGGGGGTTATACGCGAGAGCGCGCATATTTAGGGGACGTCAACGGGCGGGTCTCACCTTGAGAGTCGGCGGCCTCTCTGCTCTCTTCGTCCCTCTCTTCCTTGATGACAGCCATCGTGGGATACGGAAGCTTGGTCACCACGGACACGTTGCGCTTGTGTGTGCTGCCGCCGGCCTTGTTGATGCGGTGGTTGCTCTCCTCGTCGAGCATCTCGAGGATGTTGCTCACTTTGCTCAAGTTCTTGGCCCGCCTCTCCCCGGGGGCGAGCGTCCTACCGCGGTCCGGGTCCCAGCGCGGCGCGAGGGCGCGCTGCTCGGGCGTAAGTTCCGTCGTCCATGAGTGGATGTATTCGCAGAACCACAGGAAGAACTGGAGGGGCTCGGCATCCTGCTCGACGTAGACCAGAAAGTCCATGAAGTCGTTGAGAGAGCACGGCTGAGGGTATGGACGTCAGCAAACGCTTCCTCCCTGGAGGTTTCCTGGGGACAATATCCCAAGAGACTTGCGGCCGTGGGGAGCTGCTCACCGATGCTGTGTTGTTCCTGATGACCTCTTCTAAAGCAAGCTGGGGAGGAATCCACTTGTCGGTCCGCCTCGCGCGGTTGCGATAGCGCCGGCAGTCCTCCTCCATCATGGGTGGGCGCCATGGCCGCCCGGCGCTGGGGGTTGTGTAGAACTTGAGTGACATGCTGCCCGTCCAGCTCCGTTTCTTTCGTGCGTTGTCCTTTTTCCAACACCTCCTAATATTAAGGGTCGTTCGTGTGCAAGACGTGCAGGTGTAGACGACACCAGAGCGGGTTAGCCACGCACAGCGAGGTTTCGAAGGGGATAGACACTAGGGCTTTCCAAGAAGTTTGATACTGGGGTTCCGCCATGTATGTATAAGAGGGTGTGGGCAGACGACACATCACACGAGGAAACAGATCCCAGGGTTTAGCAAAGCCAAAAACTAGCTTCGAGATGCGCGGGGACTGCAACAGCACGGGAGCCGGGGGAGGAGGCAGATCCGCCTTACAATACACATACTCCCCCATCTGCACGTCCTTCGCCTACTTCGCCTTGCCTCGCCGTGATTCAGCTTCATCCGACGTGTCGACCTCAGCCCGCCTGAGCTGGCGCCAGCCACAATCACCGACGAGGGCTGCAAGAACGGCCCATGGATGTAACAACACCACACAGCGTCAGGTTGCCGGGATAGGCGGATATCTGTGACGTACCGTATGGAGTACTTGCTCTGCAAAGAAGTATATGCATAGAAGTCCATGAAGATGCAGGTTGGGCCATGCTCGTGAGCATGTTCTGTACAAAATACACTCATGCGTCTGTAACGGTCGTTGTAGGGCTGGCCGGAAGTAACTACACGGATGGACAGGGTTCAAGCAAGCGACGAGCGGCAGAGCGGGGAGTGGAGGCTCTGTATCCCCTGCTCCCCCCTTTTCCCTTTTTGCTTTCTTCTGACGCTTCACCTCGGGCATCGTCCTCTTGAGTGTTGGTTCGGCGGAGGGCAGTGCATTGGCAGACAGCCCCGTTGATAGGCGGGACGGTGAAAGGATGAACAAGAAGGTTGTTAGCTATCTCGATGCAGGCCTGACCTAGCACGATCATTTGCCGGGGTATAGGACCAAACGCCGGAGGGGTATGGTTGTCGATCGAAAGCACCTCTCTGACCTTGCCTTGGCTCGTTATCAACGTTAAGCACTCGTCTCCTCGACGGTGCCGATTTTCTCCCTGCGAAGCCCAGCGGCAGAACGGAACGAACCAAGCTGAAGAGGTCAAGAAAAAGCATTGTACTGCAACCCTTTCTTTGCCTCTCTGGCGGCGTCACTTGAACGACATGTTCTGAGGTTTCTGCGTCAGCGTGTGTGTCCCCGGTCGCCTATCTCATTACAGCGGTACCAAGGGTCATCATGAGGAGTGGTGGCCTGTCCCGGTTCATGTGTCGTTTTGTCCGTCGGAAAAAATGGAAACCAGGAGGCATGCGGCGGGTGGAGCGCTTTACAAATGGTCGTGTGTTTCTGGCAAGAGGCGACCCCTAGATGAGGCGAGCCGAGGGGATGAACATCGCTATATTGGTCTCGTTTCATGAGTAGTAAGTATGGAGTACAGAGGGGGTCGTAAAGAGGACGAGATGGAAGAGGTGCAAGAGCGCAAATAGAACACAGCGATTGGTTCCAAGACGCGACACCATGTAGCGTTTCAGGAAGCACGACGACTTGTTCGTCGCGGTGTGTGGCGCGCATGGCCCCCGGCGGCGAGACAAAGTAAGGCGAGGACCGACTCCGTGGTCTCCACAGGGCAGCCCGTGCGGCTGCCGAAGCTGGCCAGTTGAATTGTTGTTGGACGGGTCAGGCCAGGCTTGGATGGGTATTTCAGTGAGATCTGAGAAAGCACATCCTGGCCGCTGCAGTTGTTGTTGTTGTTGTTGTCGTCGTCGTCGTCCTCCTCCTCCTCCTCCTCCTCCTCCTCCTCCTCCTCCTCCTCCTCCTCCTCACTGCCGTAGCCACAAGAGAGAGGCATGACATGCTAGTGACACCGTCGGGCCGTCTAGTTTCTGCAATATCATGCCATGACTGCACGCTGCACGCTGTGCATCGCCGTTTTTGTCAGACACGGCCTCGGACGCAGGTGGAGTCTGATCGGCCAACTGACATGCGCACGTTGCCGGCATAGCCCCGACTTGCAAAGACAACGGGTGACGAACCCATGATTGCTACCGTCTTGATTGACGAGCAGGCAGGTCCTTCCCCCCACCCCCCGTTAACTGAGGCCATTGGTATTTCTCAAATTCTCCGTCTTGTTCCTTGTTCTCGTATATTTTGCCAAGTTAGGCCCAGTGGTTTATGGACTTCGGAAATTTGATATCTTCGGTCCAAGGTATTTTTAGCAACAGAGAACAGAGACGAACTGACTCCGAATGCAGCGTTCGGAAACCCAGAGAGGGAAGAAGGGGAAGAGAAGTGGGGGCGGGGGCGAAAATAAAGGACGAAAACTCAGGTCTAGGCGTAATACCTGCCCTGCTACCCCAAGGCCGGCCTTGCGTCGCTGACGTGGAGTCTGTCTGCAGTTAGATACTCAAGCGAACGCCGGTGATCAGATTGATCGCCAGTGCCACCAAAGAAAAGTCGTCCCCAGAGCTCTACACCCATACATGCCCAATCCTCGAGAACATGCGATCCTCTGCATCCCCAAGAAGAGCTTCATTGTGGGATTTACGAGAAACTTGCCTTTTGGTGATTATGTGCCCATGGTCCAGCGCTCCATCGACTTGAGGTCAGTATAATCTTTATGCCATAACAACTGTTCCGGAAAGCAAACGTGCCGGTGTTATGGTCACCCTTGCCAAGAAGAGATCACCAGGGGAAAGCACGAAAAGAAACACCGGGGGTGTGTTATCTCTTTCGCCATCTTCCAATTATGCAAAGATCCCGCTCCATCCCATCTTTTTACACAGTCCTCCTCGCCGCTCTCAGAAACCCTCCTGGTCCTGGCTAACCTGCAATAAAACGCAATGCGCCGAGCGTGGCCCACGCTCACCCCGGTCTTCCCGGACTTGAAACCGCGCCCGGCCCGCAATACCGAACCTCACATATCGCCTCATAACGTCACGCTCACGTATTAGTAGTCGACGGGCCTTGAAGCAGCTTCCAAACTCGAAAGCTGGTGTGTCTGTAGTATTTTCGTGATTGCTTCTTCAAACTCTACCCGAGTCATCGTCGGCCTCGCCTTTGTATTGAAGAAGAGAGAAAACAAGTTAAAACAAAAAAAGTACGAGATACTATTCGAGCTTCGCTCACTCGTGCACAAAAACAGGGTTATTTAACTTTTTAGGTTCTCAACACGATTGATAAAGCCCGACTACAGCAAAACATTCAAGAATTGATGACACTGAACAGCTGTTATAGAGCCTCCCCACTGGTGTCTTCACTCCCATGTGATCCTCAAGATCGGCGGTTAATCCTATTTTGACACCCCGGCAAAATCCTGATCCCATCCAGAGGTAGGTATGCTATTGGATTCTCTCCCACCTGGTTATGACCCAATGCTTTGTAATAACCAATGGCGAACGGAACAGATTTCCCCGGTCTGTTCTCCATCGATCTACGCCACATCTATGCCACAACATGCCAGTGTTGTACAAACTAGTCACGCCAAATCTCAACCATCTGAACCGCGAGGCCACCCTCCAGGGTCCTTGCAAATTATGGGAGAAGGACCGCCTTGTAACCATACCTCAGTCAGGCCAAATTCCGACTGGTTCCGGAGGTCCTGGTACTTGGCCCAGCCCGCCCTTCTCTCCCGTCGACCGTCCGAGCGTGCCAAACATTGAAAAAAACCACGCTACTGTCGCGCGCGCCCACGCGCGTGTGTGTGAGTGTGTGGGTGTGGGTGTGAGTGTGAGTGAGTGTGTGTATGTGTTTAACGCCCTGTATGTCCCTGAAGAGGGCAATGGGCGCCCAATCGCGTCAAAGTACTGCTACCTAACTATCTCCCTGGCTGCCATCTTGGTAATACCTACGAAGAGACTACACGTGGGACTCTCTGTGGTTCCTCTCCTTCGGCTGGTTGTTGATGCAGCGACCAGCAGCTCCAGCTCCGCCCAGGATAGATATATCCTGGGCTCTTTCTGGGGGGGCTGGCTCATCGTGGGCAGAGTTTCCGGAAGAAGTCCGTCTCTCTCATTATACGCTAGTGTCGCGTCGTGTAGGCAAGAAACTCCCAAGTAAGTAAGTGGTCAGCAGGCTGGTAATAGGTTGGTAAAGTTGAATTGTCATTCTGTAGGCGCCCGCCATACTCTTATGCGCACTACGCCCATTCCATCTGTCTTTGCCATCGTTCAAACGATACGGGGTGGTTTCTATAGGTGCCTCTTATCCGCTATTACTCGCATAATTCTTCATCGTGTGTCTTCTTGTTTATGTGCCCAAACCTCGCCCCCTGGTTGGTTTGTTTAAATCTCGTGGTGGTGGGGGCTTGCTGGCCTGACCGCAAGGTTCGGGACCAACACCAGCACTTAGCTGTCCCACACCGTGACGAAACATTGCCCGTTGCTCTTCCCCCTGGCATGTTCTATCATTTAAAGCTTCCAAATACTATGAGAATCATCTTAGACGAGGGCTGTAGTATCCTTTCAAGCGGGCTGTAGATTTAGGTATTCGGCCTCACAACTCACGTGTTACGGATAGCAAGAGATCATAACAACTGGGTCTACAACGGACAATTACACACGCTGATATCCCAGGTACGGTCCTAATCGACCAACACCGCTCGGCGTTTGCTGCTCACCTGCGCTTGTCGTGACGGAAATTTCTGAAACCGCTGCACAGCCCAGCTCAGCTGAGAACAATGCTATGACGGACTGGTCCAGCGCTATTGCCCTCGAGTTTCTGGAACTTCATATCCACTAACACGTTGAATGATTCAAGAAAACAAATAGCATCCAAGGGCCAGTACGAGGAGACTCTGAGAAGTGGGTTTCCCTACCCGTAGCACAGAGCACCCCCAGCCCCGGTTCCTTCGAGTTCCCGCGCTTCACGTACTGCCTGGCCATCCATCACACGTGTTTCCGCGCCCTCAAACGCCTCTAAATGTTAAACGGAGACCCCTCTACCCAGGTACCCAGGGTATCGATCTTAATCACAAGCGGCCCCCAATGACCCTGTCATCTTCGACAGCACCTGGAGACGAAACCGCATGGACGGCAATCACACTGGGAGTAAGCCAGGTTTCTCCCTTCTTCCAGGGTTACAATAGGACACACATGGGGCGGATATATAAGCCGATCGTCTGAGTGGCGTCTTCTTATATGACCCTTCATGGATGAGATCAGTATGACAATGACGACTATGCAAGACCTCTCGTCATACGTCGTGCCTGTTTCTGAATGATAAAGGACAACGGAGAGGCTTAAGAAAGTTCCGCTTTTGCAACCACACTCCTCAACAAGTACGGCAGCAAACACGCCACATAGCCATCTGGAATAGAAAAAGACAGAAAAGAAACAGCAAAGAAATCACACAAAAGCCAGGCCAGGAAGCAGCTATCATGACAACCATATCTCGGGGCAAGTATAGATATGCTATCAGGGTTTGACGGCGTGTCGGAAATTTGAGCCTCTGAGGTGGCTCTTGTTAATTTTGCTCTCTAAAGGTATTGTGCTGACATATGATCTCCCCAATGAAAGCGTCCCTGGAGCCAACACGCCTGTCTCCTGTGAAATCACTTGTGCAGGAGAAACACGCGTCTACAGAGCTACTCAACCGTGCCATAGAGACCAATGACACGATCCGAGCTCAATATCCCGTGACAAAGTATCACCTGTTGTTGATCATACCAAAACCAAACTCAAACCCATCATACCAACGACCAGAACAATCCACTTTGGGACCAGAAAGCCAGCACCAGACGCTAGAAGCCTGTCTGATTCGGTGTGTTTATTCGGATTCATGTCTTGACCTCTAGCCTTGAGAGCAGGCAGGCCAGTCAGCAACGACCTCTCTTGACGCAAACCCAAAATGTGACAGGCCACGTACCTGCGAGTTGACCCAATGACAATCACCAGGGTGATTGTTACACCATTCTTCCGGCTGGACGGCGCCATGCTGATTGTTGCCGGCAGAATCATAGACTCCGAAGCCATGGCCAGCGCCAGCTCCATCGACCTGGTCAAGTGCACGAGGTAGAAACCCTCCATGCCCCATTTGCGCCTCGAAGAAGTCCGTTAAAAATACGATTCCCGTGATGCAGAGACCTGCCACTACGAGGGCGAGAATAATTTTGGCGAAGATAGACAACCATCTTGGTATATGGAAGCTGTTTTGCGTATGCTGCTTGGGGCTCTTGGGGCTCTTGGCCGTGGCCGGCGCCGGCGCCGGCGCCTTCTTGTGCTCTTCTGCTTTGGCAGCCGGTGGCAGAAGATTGGAAGGGATGTCGAAACCCCACGCTACGAATCCTGTCATGTCTGCAAGAGTGGCTAGTGCCAAGGTAAGAATAGGGAATGATGAGGAGTCTTATCAGACTACTTGGATCTTTGGTAGGGTCCTAGTCGAGCGCAGATGGAATTCGGGGATGGCTTGTATTTGGTTCGTGTTGTTGGATGAATGATTTCAATGCGGATTGTGTGGAAACCAAGTATTTCTGGTTTTGAAAATGTGCGGATGCAAGAACACTCATGTAGTGTTCGCAGGAATGATCACTTCTTTCTGAACTCGTGGACGGTTTAACAGGAGCCGGCCACACTTTCCCATCCTGGGTTGCGTCAAGTGACAGTGAGAGTAGGTAGGCACGATGCAAGGCTGTAGAGAAATCCAATCACAGGCATGGGAAAGAAAGAAGTAGACGGGCATCGATCATGTAGACTAGCACACATTATTTGATTCGGGATTTTTGCCCTCGTTGTCTATTCTTCAGACCACGAGCTCCTCTAAACTTTGCGTGCAATGACGCATTACTGATCAATCCATCATTAGTCTCGCCGCAGGATCACTCTTTGAACCGGGTAAGACATCAGCCCAGCTTCCAAGACAGTCGTCTTACCGCCACCAATAGAGGCTGTATAACTCCGAGCCATAACGCCATACTCAATGCCTTGCTTCATCATGAAGCTCTGTGTATTCGAAAATGGGGTATAAGCCATAAACCAGGTCACCACAAAAGTGAATGCACATATGTACAAAAGAAGAAAAAGAAAGCCGGTAGGACGACTACATCCAGACGGTGAAGAAGATCATGACACCGACCAAGCCGAAAGCCATTCCGGCAATTTGCTTGGTGCCAGATCCCGAAGGCCTTTCGGATGCTGAGGACTTGGCAGATTCTGTCGGCGCTGCTGCAGAGCTGGTGCTTGAGGCAGGAGTTGCTGATGCCGCTGGGCTCGACGAGAAGCTGCCCCTGAACGTCTCTCCCAGAGTGGGCAGGCGAACGTTCCCATCTACTAACCAACCACCCGTGGCCTTAGGACAATCGCGGGTGGAAACGCTGGTGGGATTGTAGTCAGACTTCATGACTCCAGTGGGAGTAATGGTAGCCCACTTGGATTGCAGATTTTGAAATTCGGGAGAGCGGGGAATCGGGGTGCCCTTGCGGGTGAATCCATCGTAGACATCGCCAGCCGTGATCGTCTTGGAAACCTCGGGACCATACGACACGATGCCATAACGGTTCTCCTCATAGATCCACTCATAGATCATGGCTCCGCTCCAATCGTCCACCATGGGTTGGCTAAAGATGGCGTCCTGGTCGTCCCATGTTCTGGGGCCTTGCCCGGTGATACATCCCGTCTCGGTGAAGAAGATAGGCACGGGAAATTGCTCGGCCATGGCCTGCAAATTTGTGTAACCCGATGTGTTGTACGTGCTGGGATCGCACCACTCGTACGAGTTGAGCCCGAAAAAGTCGATGTTGTCCTCTGGCTTTCCACCGCAGGTCAGATAGTCCTGCAGCATGGGTCGCAGTTCAGCAATGTCGGCAGCGGAGTAGCCAACGGGGATCTTGCGATAGCCCTTCTTGTCTCGGTAGGCCTTCATGTCTCGCGCAGCGGCTTTCATGAAAGGGGCGGCCTGAGACTGGTTGCTAAGCGCGATAACCTCGTTGCCAATGAAGAAGCCGAGAACGTTGTCATACTTCTCAAAGTTGTCCATGACCTTGGCGTACGCGTTGAATTGCGTCTCGTTCCAGTACGGGTTAGTCTGCAGGTTGTGTTAGCAACAATGGACGGGGCAGTCGAGGACGGCACTTACAGGAAGGATGTACGAGTCAAAAGTATCCAAGTCAATGAGGGTATAAATGCCGGCCTTGTCGAAAGCTGCCATGCACCCGTCGTGGTTTGCGCTGGAGTCGACGTGGTATATGCGAATTGCGTTGGTGCCCAGCGTCTTCATGAGGCTGGCGTCGCGGGCGCATTGCTCTGTATCTACCAGTGGGTCCTCTGAACAAGATTTAAGTTAGAAACAGGCGCTGTAGGCGTGCATCGAGTATAGCTAGGCTAACCTGGCCTCAATTGATAGGCAATTCCTGTGGTTGCGTCAGTGACTGGTCAGTGGTGATGACAGATCGCGTTTTTGGCGAACCTTTGATGAACCATTGTCTGCCATTCTCGTCGAAGAACTTGTTGCCAACGATCTCGATTGGTGCAAGAGCAGCAGCAGTGCCAAGAAGCAACGCCGAAGCAAGATTAGAGATTTGCATAATGAAGCAATGATCCAAAGCCAAGATTGCGATAAGCTTCAGCCAGCGCGTGGCAAAGATGCGAGGCTGCAGTGGTTTGGTGATGTCTAATTGCTATAGCTCCCAAAGAAGAAGACGAAGAAAACGCGCCCAAAACTTGCGTTGATGATGATGGCGATGATGAGTGGAGGGATGCAAGTCGTTCCAACAAGAGATGAAAATTACCGACGGGAAACGTGGAGTAGTTGTTGATCGTGCGGGTGCTGGCGACGCGGAAAAGTAGAGTTTTGTTGTTGGCCGTTGCTGCCTTTGGTTTTCTTCGTCGTTGGCTCGCCCTTTCCTTCCACGACGTTTGTCGAGTTCTGCTTCCGATTCCAATCTCGAATCCGCTAGCAACCAACCACCAACAGACCCTTCTTCGGTAAAACGACAGAGTGACACAGAGTTACATGCGCATCAACTGAGTTTGGACGGCGTCGAGTAAGGTGGGAGGGGAGGGAAAGAAAAGGAAAGGAAAAGGAAAGGAAAGACCTGGCTGGGTATCGTGGGTAAGCAACCTCACATCAAGCGATTATGGAATGGTTGTTTTGTTGGGAGGTGAGGAAAGGTATCAGTTTTATTCCTTTGGCCCCTCGCCGCAGGTTGACGCGGAAGCCAGTCCAAACAGCCTGGCCCCAGCCTTTTTTTCTCTTTATTTTCCACATCTTTTCTCCTGTCCCCTGCTGTCCCTTCCCAGATGGTTGCTCTTTTTCTCTTTTTGGAATTCCATCCCACCTCTCCACACACGTGGAGTACCAAACGAAGGAAGAAAAGTGCCTAAGAACAGGTGCTTGGAGCCGGCGCTGGTGCTAGCAAGAGCCCCGGCACAGGGTGGAAACAATAGCGGCAAGGGTGCGGCAAAGAGGGAGAAAAAAACGAGTCCGACAAGGACGTCGAGTGCATGGGTCTGGGTCAATGGTGGTGCGCCATGTTGTGCCATTGGCGGCGGGCCAGGGGGCGGCACCGCCTATCTTGATTGTCGCCCGCTGCGAAGTGACCGTAGTCTGACTGACTCTGACTAGACTGGGTGTATCTGTGCAACTGTCATGGACTTGCTGCTGCAGATTGGCGGCGTTGGCTGGCCTCATTGGGCAACGCGGGTGGGTGATGCGAGACGAGACGACGGCATGAGGATGGAACATGGCCCCTCCGGCCCTCGAGTAAGCAGGCTGGCTGTAAGAAGAGGACGGACGACACATTTCGTTAGGCTGTTTAATACAGTGGTCCCAGATATGACATAATTCTTCCGGGGATGGCAAGGGCTATATTCGAAATCCTAGCACCCTTCGTTTCCTTCCCCCCTCGAGGCATATGTTCCAATCGACCAAGGGGCACACACTGATAGTACCAGGATGACTTTACCCGGGGTTCAGGCAACGAACAATGAAAAGGTAGAAGCGACTCGGGTATCGCCAACAACTGCGTTTCTTTCTTTTGCCCCCACGACTACCTACAATCGACATGGCGCCATCAAGCCACACCTTCTCCGATACCTGTCTGACTAGACTAGCGCCAGTACTGTTTGGAGCACAAGATTGGCCCGCGTCTTCTCGTCACCTTTTCACTAGCATCGCCTAGGTAGCTACGCCACCAGGCGCCCGGGAAACGGACCGAGTTTTTCACCACTGATAAGTGGTGTGTGGTCTAGTCTCACTGCTGGTCAGAGATTTAGTGATCTGGGATGAACCACCAGAGACATACGAGGGATATCGACAGCGAAGCATGTTGACTTGACTTGACTTCCACATCGGCTCCCTATGTCTGTCCATAAATGTCGCACCTGGACGGGGGAGGGGGCGCTTGACGATTTTGTCAGCGTGTGCAGTACCATGGTCGAAGATCAGATTGTGTCCCATTCGGCATCAGTTGCCAACTCGATCAATTGCTTGCCTGGTGCTTCCTTCCTCTTGGCCGACTCGCCCAAACCGGCCCTCGGGGTATATCTCTCCAGACTGTCAATGTCTATCCGTGATTATTGCCATTTTGACGGCTGCATTTCCTGGGTAAGAGGAATCTTGAGCTAAACTTGCAACAGCTCTCAAGTTAGAGTGAGTGAGCACGGATACACCGTAGCCATCGGCGGCCTAGTGAGAATACCTCTTATAAACTATAACGAGTATGACGCAACAGCCTGATCGGAGCGTTCCATCGAAAGTCCCTCCTGGTCCTGCAGTCAGGTAATATCACTGACACGGACCAGGGTAAGCTCAATCCTGGTCCCATTCCTCTGTTGGAACCCTGCCCGCTGTATGTTGCACTGACAACTGCAAAAAAAAGACACGGAAACCCAGGGTTCTGTTTCGTGCAAGAGAACAGCACTTTACTCCAAATAGCACGACCTGTGAGTGGCCCCGATATCGTGGAAGACTGTTCGCGGTTGAAGAGCGAACGATATAGGCTCGACGTCATCTGTCGACCCGAGCTCCGGTTTTCTGTTGTATTACAGCAGCACCTCGACGTCGCCTCGATGCCATGAAGCACTTGACACAAGAACTCGAATCGGCAGCGCAGTGTCATAAAGTTGGGGCACATTGAACGGCATCGCCTCACTTCTGCCACTGGCTGGACTGAAACGCCCACTTGATACCAAAGTCGATGGCCTGATTGATCATGATGATTCTTTATCGTTTGATAGGTGTCAAGACGCAAGCACCAAGACCCCCAACGCAAGCGCTCCCCCGTTGGCCGGCACCCTGCAGCGACTGAAACGTCAGAGGAAAATCCCTCGGCAACAGCCCCGACTCAAGGCGCCCCTCCCCAATATGGCCCTAAACCCCGCGGAATCCGGAGAAAGTTACAAAGCAAAACAAGTGATCGAGAAACGACTCGAGACTCAAGACTCGAGGCGGGGGGCCGCCAAGGCTGCGAGAAAGGACGACGCGGCAGGCGGGGGATAGTAAGCGTTCAACGGCTACGCCCATCGGCAGAAGGACGGGCAACCTTCTCTCGGGCGTAGGAGATGATACCTAATACCTAACCATGCGGCGGCGACACCACGCTTCCGTAACGAGTCTCAACAAGCCTTCCAACCCCCATCGTCTGGCATTCGTAACGCTTGGCCTTCTTCGGATGACAACCAACAGCCAGGCCAAGTTACGGCGAAAGCTATGGTCCTGGTGGCAGCTCCTCATCAACGAGAGTTCTGTTGCGACGTCTTTCTGGCGGGCCACCCCCACCTAGGCAAGCTGGTGAAGCACGAGAGCATGCATCCACCCCGCATGTCCTGTCGCATAAGCCTAGCCGCCTTGCTGAGGGAAGGAAGGTTTTAGGCGGCGGGCTGCCTCCCGGCCAATTTAGTAAATTGTTTCCTGGGACCGCCCGACGCGGTTTTCCTACCAAGTCGTGCCGACCCGCCCAATCTCGAAGCCAGAGTGCTCGTCATTTTCCGTGCTTTAACCTCCACGACAGTGGATGCAGGAAAGGAGTATCGGCATCCCGCTATACATAGTACGATGTCGGGCAGCTGAGCACGCCTACGTGTACAGTACCTACGCAGTACTTGCTCACACCGCCCGCCCCCCCTTGCCGCCCGTTAAGTGGTGAAAGCCTATTCTAGCCCGCCTATGTTACCTCCCATGAGGTCCCCCTGCTGAGACTTCCCGCCCTTATTCGGGTTTCCGTTTGTCATGTAAACCGCCAATTCGGCAGGAGACGCCATCACGTAACCGGGAGCGCAGATAATGCCATCCTGAGCATTTGCGCTGCTTGCACACTTGCCAGCCCGACTGGCTTTGCCCCTGCGCCAGCGTATTCCCTGTGAGCCCTCCGCCGCTGGCTGCGAAGAGGAATGAGGCCTAACCGCTGCTTTACAAAAGGGCCATGGTCCCTCGTTTTCTCGCCTCTGGTTCGGTTGTTCTTTCATTTCACACGGTGCCCTGCTGTGCCAATCCGGTACACGCGTATTACCTTCACATTGCGAGAAAGGGCATCTCCTGGATCTGCAGGTAATCAGCCACATATACACGGACAAAAGCCAAACGAAGCTTTCCTTCTCGTCCATTTGTTTTCTTTTCCATTCTACCTTGTACCCGTTCATGGGGTACCGTCATATCATTTACAGCAGAGGTATCGCTAAGCAACAATAAAACAAAGGGAGCAACACTGAACCAAGTAAATCATGTCCTACCCCGCCGTCCAAATAACCATCGGCGGAGCCCGCTCAATAAACCGGAGCTTGGTCACCGCGTCCGCCTTGAACAGTCGAGTCCCAAGGCGCTGGAGACCGTACCGCGGGTAAGCGAATATTTCGAACGGCCGTGAACCCAGTCCCTGCATCCCGTTCTTGATCCCGCTCGCTGGCCGCACTGCTGATACCGCTGTTGTTCGACATGCCGCCGCTGCTGTTTGTCCTTGAATGGGATAGCCCTCTCGGGCTGATGCTTCCGCTCAGACTATCGCTGCCACGCCGTGACGACTGGAGCATCGAGTTATGCCGAATCGGCTGAGGCATGAACTGGGCGTTGGGGCTCACGGCCTGTATGCGCAGGTTTGAGATGCCAAAATCCCAACCGCCGTACTGATGTACGCAGTGTGGTTCCGTTATGTCGCAGTGTTTCGTCAAAATCTGATAAACCTGGGTCTGCACCTCGGCCGCCGAGGGGCGATCGATAGGATTTGCGGATAGCATGCGGGCGACGATGTGCATCAAAGGCACGATGCCCCGAAACACGTAACCGCCGTCGGATGCGGAGACCTTCTTCGATGCCTCCTTCGCCAATGCCGACATCCAAGACTCAACCTGGCCGAGGTTTTTGTGGAAGGACGAGTCCAGCACCGCGCCACCGCGACCCGGGGTCTTGTGCTTGGCAGCACGGTGTGCCGAGAAACTCTTTGTTGTTTTTTTGACGAGGAAACTCATCAGGTCCAAGATGACGCAGCCAAGTGAAAAAATGTCGGCAGCCTGCGGGTTCAGATACGGATTCGGCATGTTCAGCATCGCGTTCGGACTGCTTGGGTTGTCATTCCGCGGAATTGAGAAGTTGGTTTGTGTTTCCGGGGATGTCGAAACGGAAAACGCGGCCGCACCACGACCCAAAGGACTCGCCGGACCGCCTGTTGGGCGAAACCACTGCTCAGGGGCTGCATAGTCATACGACTCCCGGTCGAACGAATTCTTGTCCGTATAGACAGCAAGCACCTCGGCGTTTAGCCTCGTGAAATCGGAGTAGAAAATGTGGAGTTGGCTGGTGAAGAGAATGGTTGATGGCTTGATGTTGCCGTGGCAAAGTCTCCGACTGTGGAGGTACGCGAGGGTATCGGCAAGGCAAAGGATCCAGTTCATAACGGCGTGTCTCCTCTCTCTCTTGGGAAGGTTCTTGAAGTTGGAAGGGGTGTTGCCGAAGAAAGACTTCAAGTTGGAGTCGGTTGCGGGGGTGAAAAGGACGTATGCCGCTCCGAGCTGGGTATATGATGCGTGGTAAGAGACCAGGTGGTCGTTCTGGATGCCTTTGATACTGTTGATGATTTCCACAAACTCGCTTCGCGGAAGCTGGCCAACGCCGTTACCCAAGGGGATGCGGCGGCGGTAAAAGATCAAACCAGGACAGTTGGGCAGGATGACCTTGTCGACGGTGTTGTTGCCCGCGGGCCGGCGCTCGACGACCTCGAGAGGAACAAGTTCATACTCATTGAAAGAGATGTGGTCGCCCCGTTGGAAAGGCTTGAGAAGGTAGTTAAATTGGCGGGCGAAAAACTTGCGCTCAATCTTGTCGTCCTTGACGGCCGTCAATCTGAGGCGCTCGACGTGCTCGGAGGAGATGGGCAAATCGTGGTCATCCCAGGAGTCGTCGATGATGCCAAATATCTGATCTGGAATCTTCAGGTCGACAAGAATCAAAAAGATGCGCTTGGCTTTGTTATCGATCCAATCCCAATACGTTTCGTCCGTTAGGCCGTCGCCAAAGGCCAGTGGTCTGTCCAAGCGCTCGATTTCCTCGGGCAGCAGGTACTGGCAGACGAACTTTCTCGTGACAGTAGCGTCAATTCTGGCGGCATCCCACCACTGACCCATGGTTCCAAATCGTCGAGGGCGCAAGTTTTTTGGTGACGGACAACCAGTCTCGCGGGGTCTTGGTCGGATCAGCCGTGTATGGCTCGCTCTCGCTGCTGGCTCTGGCTGCTGGCTCTGGCCTAGCCTGGCCTCAGTTTACCTTTGCCGTAGGTTGATCCGCTGGCTGTTGTTGGTTCCTGAATTGTGGTGACGTGCTTGCTATCTAGAACGCCGATGACACAGGCTGCATTACCGCGTGCTTCAGAGCCCGGTTCAGTTTCAGTTCGGAGGAGCTGAGGGCGGGATGTGAGAGCCGAGAACGGAGAGCGGAGAGCTGGGAAATTCCCCAGAGGACTTTTCTTCCCTTCCTGGGAGTGTGTGAGTGGGATTTATGTTTTGAGACGAAGCAAATCAATTTGGTAGGTACTGAACGGAAACAGAATTATTTCGTACCTAGGGCGTCGGCTTGGGTTGTCGGTTCCGCGTTGAGCGAGTCCGTTCACTTCTGCTTCCACGTTCGGGCACCCTCCATTAAAGAGAAGGTAGCTTGGCTTCTGGGTCTTGGAATGTTGCACCTCGCATAGGAAGACGCGAGCAAAGGGTACTTAGTTCGTAGGCTGGCCCCGTCGACAACGGCCCTGTATCAACAGTCCACATCAGAATGGTGTGTTTTTGGCTTTTGGCTTTGGGACGCAGCGGGCGGCACGGCGGGGCTAAGGTTAGTAGCACGCTACACGCGAAAAGGTAAGAGGAGGCGAAGAAGGCCCCGGCCTGCGGGCGCAGGTGCGGTTGCATAAGCCTTCCCTTTCTCGAGGGAACGGGGGACGGGGGCGGGGCACTTGTACCTGTACCCGGTCTTGCTCTGGCCGCAACAGGCCTCTGTGGAACGAGGTTCCTTGCACTTGAGCCTAAGATCTGAGCTGAGAGCACTTCTGTTTTCTGTGTACTGTCCCCATGACCCCATGCGCGCGCCTTACGGCACACGCCTGTGGAAACTCGTTTATTGGCTAGACAGGTTCACGAGATAAGAAGCCCCATATCTGGTCTGTCGTTAGTATCGGTAGGTAGGTAGGTAGGTACACTGCCTACTGCCTAGGTAAGGTCGGTGATACTCTCAGCCCAAGGTACCTACCTACCTACCTAGGTCCCTGTGGGAAAGCGCCACTTTCGCTTCGGCAATGCGCCAGACACTCGGCGCTCCGTATCACGTCGAGCCACCAATCTCTCGTTGGACGAAGGCCTGCTCTATCACTCACAGAGCACAGCATATTCGCCAATTCCCCATCTATGAGGGCGGGAGTAGAGACATGCTTGGCGTGCGTTTGCGTCGACAGTATAACGAATGACACGCGACACCAATGTCTCTCTTCGCCGTCAGTTCATCGCGTAGCCTCCCCGCGCCCCTAACTCTCGCACGTCTTGCCGAAGACATTGGAGGACCCCCTCCATCAGGGCCAACCAACGTCATGCCAGCAGTTCAGCGTGGGTGTTGGTGGGGTCACCCCCACCCCCCGAAAAGGAGTGTATTACTGTTGGTGCTGTTGGTAAAGGCCGGCTCTCCGAGAGTTAACCCTCCTCATCCATGGCTTGACGTCGCTTGTTGACTTGTCTTCTTCAGATGTTTCCTTGTCCGGTTTGGTTACGTCTCGCTGAGCCCGCTAGCATTTCGCTATTGGACGGAAGGGTCGGACGCGGACTATTAGGACGAGGTACGGGATGGGATGACTTGTCTCGGAGGGGAAATGCGCTCGTTGACTCCGCGAACGGGCTTCGACGAACCAACAGACAAATCAGAGGCTCGCACGGCGCAGACGAGCGGGCGTTCGAAAGAAGCCTGGCCGATGGGGAGGGCGGCGTTTCAACCGGCAGGATGGCTCGCCGCCAGGTGTTTCCCAAAATCCCCCCCTCATGTTGCGCTCCCTTCTGCCCATGGGTCTTCTTCACCCCGGCATATCGAAAGGTTCCATGATGACTGTTGGAATAGGCGTTGACGCCCTCATTGGCTGATGGCCTTGAACTTGCTGGAAAAGCACCAGCCAGGTGCCTGGGTTCCTGTTCATGGCTGAACCTTGCACTTTCCCATGCTGCGTTTAATCACAGCAAGATCGCTTGGAGGACACGCCCTGTTTGTTGAGTGACCATGTCGTTGGAAATGCACCCGGCTGTTGTAAAAGCTTTGCGAACGATGCCCTACGCCGAGTACACGATTTCCAACTCGCTAGTGGCCTGCTGCGGCTGTAGTGTCTCAATGATATCCTATGCTTGCAGTTGTCATGCCGTTGCCTTGATTGGGTCTTTCGTGCAGGATGACTTGGGTTGGATATGCAGTCAAGCGTGAAGAAGCAAGATGTAGGTAGAAGTGAAGGATGGGCCAGCGGGGCTTGACTGCCACGGTGATAACATCGAAGCAGTATGATAAAGGAAGGAGCAAGCAGCATGGCAGTAGGATCACACAACGGGTTGGAATGCAATGGTGGAGTCTACACGAGACCGGGGAAGAAGTATAGGTACCTACCTCCTCCTCGTACTCCCTCAGAGTCGCATACCTGCGGCTGAGGTATAAGGCCAACCTCTCTTCCTGGTAACGGCATCTTCCCCAAAGCAGTATCCGTAGTAGCTAGCCATTTCCAACCAAAGCATCCCAGCCAACTCTTCAATCGTGATATTCTTGTCTTTTTGCAGATGCCGCCCGATACTCACCCTGGTGGCGATCCCCCCGGGGAATCGACATCTGCCGTCAACACATAAACCTGCCAGCCTATATTGTTTTGTCCGGATTGGTACACGACCTCTCTTGTGAGGAAGCTGCTATCTTGGGGTGTACAAAGCTGCATCGCCCCATTCCTGCGTCACCCAGGACCAGGACGAGATTCAGTTGCGCCCGCACTCTTGTTACATAGTACATAGGCCCGCAAAAGTGCAAAAGCGACCCTGCACCGACAGGATTGCAGCTCGCAACTGGTATATGTAGCCTGAGAGTCCAAAAACGTATTGTCTGTCGTCCTGCAGCACCCCGGTGACTTGTGCCGGAATCCAGACCTTGAAATGAATGATTTAGTTGGGTCTAGACACCGTTGCGATTCAATTCATTTCTATCGCCCGAATTCTCGCTCATGTTGACTGAGCTTACTACACTGTAGAACGGCAGAAGTGCTTACGGGTTGACGTCGACTCATTCAAAGCCGTTGTCTCATCGTCAACATATGGTTCTGTACCCTCTTACGTAGTAGGATTCGATACCTACTGCGAAGCAATTTTGGTAACCTTGGTTGTCTCCAGCGAAAGCCGCCAAAGGAAACCGTTGCCTTGGATCGTCAGCTATTGGACCGTCGTCGAGGTATTGGACAATGTGAAAGCGGGCGCTCGGATGGCCAGTGTCACCTGCTAATCGTTCGAGTCCGCTAAAAATCGTATTCCACAACCGGTACTCCAACGATTTCCAAGCTTACGTTGAGCTTGTGAAACGCAGCACTATTCGCAACCTGGGTCAGACAACGAGGCATCTTGTGTCTGTCGTTTACCGCTAGCTTAGCTGCTGTTTACATCCGGCGGCCTAACAAGACCTTGTCGGAGCTCTCAAACTAGTTGGGCGCTGGATACGGACAATCGAGCCTGGCCTCGGGGCTTGGATTACACTGCATGTATACCAACAGATACTGCCCACTAGACTGCAGTTGCATCAGGGAAGCAATGGCTCTACAAGCGGGCAACCTGTTACGACTACACGCCATGAAACCAACTTGGCTTGGTTTAAGACATGACCAAGCTGGCGAATTTGTTGAATGCTGTGGCCACAGGCGCCAAGACTCGCAATCCTCATCGCCGTCAAGTCCGTGTTTGGCCACAGATGTACTGTAGGCCGTGACAGGACGGTCTTCTTCATAAGCTTTCTGAGAGACAGGCCTTGCCCGGTCTAGGAGAAGTCCTGGCAGCTCCAGATTAGGTATGTTACATAAGCATTCAAGTGGACGCGAATTACGTGACGGCACTGAGTAATCAAGCACTCGAGATGACGACGTCTGTGCAGCTCCCTAATTCTGGCACGAAATGAACGATGCTTTGCAATGGAGGGGCGGTGAACGACTGCCGAGTTTCGGATTCCAGCACTGGTTCAGGCGAAAGTACGGATGCGGAGATATGAGACTACCTTATTCGCCTGCAGTTTTTCGCTGGAGCAGCAGATACCCCCTTAACAGATGGTGCAGGGGCCCAATGACGACTGCCCCCCACAAGCCCCAAGCTTCCCGGCAAGGGAGTTGAGGCTTTGACATTCGCAACTCTAAATACGTAACGTGGCCGGCATCCCGCTGCTGAATATTAACCACACCTTCTTCGACAACGACCGACGGTACCGAAACGCACTCCGAAGCATGGCTTTTTGAAGGACCCATCACCACCCTTTCCGAACGCGCGACAGCTTGACGACATTGAAGTTTGCTCTTACGCCGCATTGATTCCGGTAGCACTTCCGTCATAATGCCCGACTCCATGGACGCTCCATTGATGGCCGGTCGCCAGGACCGGGACGACGAATTGGACTACCGCAACGCGGACGAGGAAGTCGATGTGCTGCCCTCATCGATGAAGAATTCGCAGCAATCGACCCCGGGTCTCTTTGTTTGGCTTTTGACCTTTGCTGCCGGCATCAGCGGTTTGCTGTTTGGATGTGAGTCTGGCCAGGCGCTGCAGCATCGGAACTGGGAGAAGCATTTCTGACCACAGGTGTGCGTAGATGATACGGGCGTTATATCGGCAACTCTCGTTAAGATCGATAACTCACTTTCCGACCGAATCCTCACGACATTCGACAAGTCCATCATCACATCGAGCACCGCTCTCTTTGCGCTTCTCGTGTCTCCCTTTTCTTCCATCGTCGCCGATGCACTTGGCCGCAAGCGCGTTATACTCGTGGCCGACGTCCTCTTCATTGTCGGCGCATTGATGCAAGCATGGGCGAGTACAGTCACGTCAATGGTGATAGGCCGGTCAATAGTCGGCGCGGCCGTTGGAGCTGCCAGCTTTGTCATCCCTTTATATATTGCCGAGCTGGCCCCAGCCAGCCACCGTGGGCGGCTGGTGACGATGAATGTTCTGTTCATCACGGTAGGACAGGTTGTTGCGTATATTATCGGCTGGGCGTTTGCAGAATACGGTGACAAGTCGACGGGCTGGCGATGGATGGTTGGCCTTGGAGCTCTTCCTGCCGCTCTTCAATGCTCGATTCTCGTGCTGATACCCGAGTCACCGCGATGGCTCGTCATGGTGGGCCAGTCACTGAAGGCGAAGAAGGTCGTCGAAAGGGTACTGGGCAACACCGTCGGCGGCATGAGAAACGCCGAGGCCATCATCAAGGAGATCGAAATCGAGATTAGGGAGGAGAGAGAAGTCATGAGGCGAGAGGGTACCCCGCGCATGGAGTGGTGGGGTGGCTGGCAAGAGCTGTTCGCCGTCGGGAGAAACAAGCGCGCCCTGGTCATCACATGCCTGCTCCAGGGACTTCAACAGCTCTGCGGCTTCAACTCGCTCATGTACTTCTCGGCGACCATCTTCAAGATGGTAGGCTTTGGCACACCCACGCTCACCGCCATGAGCGTTGCCGTTACCAACCTCATCTTCACGGTGGCAGCGCTGTGTCTGATCGACCGAATCGGAAGGCGCAAGATCCTGCTCTATTCCCTACCGTTTATGATTGCGGGTCTGATGCTGGCGGCATACGGGTTCTCCTTTATCGACCTGCGGCCCGAAACGGCGGCAGCCAGCGAGGGCGGCAAGGGCGAGGGGGCGGGCACGGACAGAGGGGCAGCAGTGTTGATTCTCGTCAGCATCATGGGGTACGTTGCTGCCTACGCTCTTGGGCTAGGCAATGTGCCATGGATGCAGAGCGAGCTGTTCCCGCTGGCGGTGCGGTCCATTGGCAGTGGCGTGTCAACTGCGACGAATTGGGGTGCCAACTTCGTCGTGGGCCTGACATTCCTACCGCTCATGGACGTGCTGAGCCCTTCATGGACGTTTGTGCTTTATGCCTTGCTGTGCCTGGTAGGATACGGACTGATCTGGCGTATCTATCCCGAGACATCGGGACTGAGCCTGGAAGAGGCGACAAACTTGTTAGAGAGTGGATGGGGGGTTCGGCGGTAACTCCAAGTTGTCCGTCCGTACATGGGATTAAGAGGCACCACTTCCTTGCATGTAAGAAGACTAGCGACGATTTGGGTAGTCCCTAGTATCTTGGGGCATTATTAGAAGGGCGACCCTCTTACACAGGGGGCTTCACCATGCACAGTAAAGGTACATACATCCTTTTATATTAAGAAAAATGCCTGTCTTTTGATCAACCGACTTTGTTGCATTGTGGGCATTTCAATAGGCACCTTATAAGGTTCGGGTGCTAATCCTTCAAATACCGAGTACCTAGCTTAAATCAAAGCTCTAGACTTGTGTTTGTCCGTGACATTACTTTAAAAGTCTATTAAAGACCCTATCACAGGTGGCACGGCTTTCGCCAGGTCAGTAAAGGAAAAAAAAAAGACCCCTCAAGGTTCAAGAAGCAGTGCAGATAGTGGTCTGAAGAAAACACTGATGGGGGGGCTCCATTCCATGCGGTGAAATTCTGATGCATTGAAAAGGGGAAGCGGGGCCGATCGAGTGAGCCTGTTCCAGACCCTTCTGGAAAATTTCAGCTTACGACAGCAGGTTTTCATCTTTCTTTCGTTCCTTCTTCTCAGTCTCTGCTTCTGCCTTTGTCAGGTGGGGCAGCAGTTGGTTTCCGCGCTCTGTGCCTCGGGAACGAAAGTCGGCAAGAGGCGGCTTTGGGCAGCATTTAGGCAGAGGTGAAGTGAGGGTCCTGAAGTGGGCAGCCAAGGGCCATTAGGGTGTCACCCTGCGTAGGTACTGACATACCTAGTAGTGTGGAAGGAGGCATGGAATATGAGATCGCGGATGGATCCACGATAAACTACTACGCTAGCCATGTATCCAATCTTAATGCAAACCCGCACCTCCTTTTCCACTTCATCTTCTGTCCTCACCAATTTTCTCTCCTTCGAGGGTGTTTCAGTTTTTCGTCGTCGTTAGTTTTTCTTCTTCTTTGCAGCTGCGTTTTTCTCGGTGGATGATCCGGCCATGCGCCCTTTCGGACCATCTCTCAACTACCGTGGCCTGATGCCGTACGGGCGAGGAGCTCTTTCGGCCTCAGATGCCGAGGTTCGTGCACCCACAACCCGAAACCGGGGTGGCCGCTGTGTGGCGTAACGGCTTCTAGTTAGTGCTGCGCAGGCGGCAGCTGTAGGCCTTGCAGTCCAGACGCAGGGTGACGTTTAAGGCTGATGACTAACGCGAACGGCCCGAAGGGCGCGAGCACGAGCACGAAGGCGGTCTGGGACAACGATGGTACAGAGTAGAAACTGACAACATCGGCTACCATAGGTACAGAGGTGGGTAATATGGGAATGTCCCCCACTCTTTTCTTCTTTTTTTCCTTTTTTTTCCTTCTCTTTCGTTCGCCCCTAAACTAAAGTAGACGCCGCCTTGGCGCACGGGGTTTGGCTTATCTCCTTCCAACCTCTAGCCCGGTGACATCACATCATATTTACAGTCGCAAACGCCGGCTCTAACCTCCTTCGACCAGACTCCCTCTCCGGTGTCTCATAGGACCCCTCACCGAGGATCGTTGCGGATCCTGCTCTCTACTTACCGCTCGAGCCGATTGGAGAGCTGTTAACACCGTTGCAGGAACTCTACGACAAGTTCGACTGAGTGTTCCTTCCCGGATGGGATGATGGAAGGCTAAAACCGCACACGCGATCAGGAAAGCTTAGGTAAGTGGTTAGGTAGTTAGTTATCAACCGAGGCAGCTACGTATTGGGAATAATAGCGTATCCGTACCAAACTCCAATTTGTAACGACACCGCCTCAATGGCCACACTGATCTACACACTATGACTGAAAGGTGGTCCGTGCCATCGGGTCAATGGATCAAGAGCGAGAGGCGAAAAGACAATGAAAAAAGGTGACACATTCACTAAGCAATAAGCACCCTGCACCCGATGCCGAGGGCCACACCTCGGCTAGTTTTCATGATCCAACGTTGCCGGCTACCGGGTCCACTTTATTTTTTTCCCCCTCCAGCGGCCAGCCAGGCACGGCGTCGGCTCGCGTCGCCCTGTATTATTATGTGTTTTTTCGTCGTGGTGATGCCGAATCCCCTGCCGGGTTTTTGCAAATGGGAAAGGTGGGAAAGAAAGAAAAAAAAAACAGGAACAAGCATTCTTGGGATGGTATTGTCCCAAGTGGGACTCAGCCGGTCCACAATACCATCGTCTCTTCCACATTCCATCCCCTTTTGCTTGGTAACCCGGGCGATGTCCCAGCTGGTCTCCATCAAGAGCACGACAGTCATTCGTAGCAAATTTGGGCCTTCTCCCTCTCGTCTTCTCCCGTCTTAATCCCCATACACTCCCTCGGCTTTTGGCGCTTCATGCCGTCTTGCTTACCTATCAACTCTTTCTAATTCATATTCTCGCTGTTTGTCATTTTCTGCGTTACTGCTCTCCCTCTTCATCGTTGTATCCTCAGACTACACAAAACATTCGTCATATAAGACGGGAAGCTGCCCACCTGCGACAGATCGCGCACTCAGCATCTCCAGTTTATACCCTTCCAACTCCGCCCAGACGCTCTCCTCCCATTCATCGCCACTGATCTAGACGCCTAAAATCTTACTGGCATAGTACCGGCCGGTCTCTGGCATTACGATACATCGACGTAACTCGTGACACACCCACCTTCTCGATAGCCCCGAGCTACTGCATTGCATAACTCAGCAGTGCAGGAACACCTGCTGTTACAACACACTTTGACCTGTGCAGTCACATCAATTGATGGTACATATATAAATACTTGACTGATCTCGGCATAACTCTTCGGACCAACTGCCCCTTCTTCTGGAGCAATCCGCCGCACTACACCACAAACAACCTATCATCCTTATACAACAATGGGGATGGACGAACTAGACCGCGAGATCGCGGCCGCCGAGCGCGACGCTTCCCCAAACCGCTACCATGGTCGCGAAAGCCATGAGATCGAACGGGTTCTCTCCAACTCCTCTACCTCGACCTCCTCGTCCACGGCATCCCAGACCGGCGCCCGCCCCGCCTACCGCACCGGCACCGGCATCAGCCGCATCTCGACCCAGAATGACCTCGAACGGCATCCGACGGCCCTGAGCCGCATCGCCACCGCCCGCAGCCAGCACTCCAACACCGTCGGCCGCAGCATCAAGAGCAGGGAGCCGAAGAAGGCCCTGCCCGCCATGGGCGCCGGCAAGCCCTATCCACCGCTGCTGCCCGAGCAGGAGGACTACGTCGTCGAGTTTGACGGGCCCAACGACCCCCTGCACGCGCAGAACTGGCCGATGAAGAAAAAGTAAGCCAATGTCTTGCATGGACCGTGCAATTCATCCCCCCCGCGAGACGTCGTTCGCTGACCGGTCTTGGCTCGTAGGTTGCTCACAGCCGCAATGCTTGGCTACACCACCATGACCGCCGCCTTCACCTCTAGCATCTTTTCTGCGGCTACGCAGGCCATTGCGACAGAGTACAACGTCTCAGCCACCGTGGGCACGCTGGGCGTGTCCTTATATGTTTTGGGCTTTGCATTTGGTAATTTACCTCACTTCACGAAACCTCTTGAAAAGCTTACTAACTAGAGATAAAGGCCCAACGTTGTGGGCGCCCCTCTCCGAGCTTCGTGGCCGTAGGCTGCCCCTCGTCCTCTCAATGTTCGGATTTTCCGTTTTTTCTATCAGCACCGCCGTCGCCAAGGACCTGCAGACGATCCTGATCTGCCGCTTCTTTGCCGGCTTCTTTGGCGCGTGTCCATTGGCTGTCGTCGCCGCTGTCTTCTCCGACATGTTTGACAACCGCACCCGCGGCAGCGCCATCACCGTCTTCTCCATGGCGGTCTTCACCGGCCCGCTCCTGGCCCCCTTCATTGGCGGATTCATCGTAGAGTCGCACCTCGGCTGGCGCTGGACCGAGTACATCCCCTCGTTCATGGGTTTCGCTGCCTTCTTCCTCGACCTGTTCTTCCTCGAGGAGACCTACCCGCCAGTCATCCTAGTTGGCAAGGCCGCCGAGCTGCGCCGCAGGACGAGGAACTGGGGCATCCACGCTAAACAGGAGGAAATTGAGATTGACCTGAAAGAACTCATCAACAAGAATTTTTCTCGTCCCATGCGCCTGCTTTTTGGCGAGCCCATCGTCACTGCGCTGTCTGTCTACATGGCCTTCATCTACGGACTGTTGTACCTGTTCCTGACGGCGTACCCCTTTGTCTTCCGTGGCGTCCACGGTTTCGGCGCTGGCCAGTCGGGACTCACCTTCTTCGGTATGATCACTGGTCAGCTTATTGCTGGTATCACCGTCTTGCTTCAGCAGCCGTGGTACCTGCGCAAGCTCAAGGCCAACAACGGCGTGCCAATTCCTGAGTGGCGTCTTCCGAGTGTCATTGCCGGCGGGGTCTTCTTCGCGGCCGGTATCTTTTGGTTCGGATGGTACGTCTTCTGTCAAATTTCGCAGAGAAAAACGAAGCCTATGCTAACAACGCCGACAGGTCCGGATACCGCCAGGACATCCACTGGATCGTCCCTACACTCAGCGGTCTATTCACTGGTTTTGGACTCATGTCTATCTTCCTCCAGGCGCTCAACTACCTTGTCGACGCCTATCTCATGTTGTACGTATTGTCCCATCAAGCGCACTTTGACACCACAAACTAACGGGCCTGACAGCGCCGCCTCTGCTATCGCCGGAAACACCTTCCTCCGCTCCCTCTGCGGCGCTGGCTTCCCTTTGTTCGCGAGCTACATGTTCAAGGGCATGGGCATCCAGTGGGCCTCGACGCTGCTTGGCGCCGTCGCCACCCTTCTCATCCCCATCCCCGTTGTGTTCTACATCTGGGGCGCCAAGATCCGCTCCAAGAGCGCCTACGCCCCAAATTTCGCCGCCCCGGCCGACGAGCCCGAGAACGACGAGCCGGAGGCCCTTGCCAACGGCCACGCGAGTCACGAGACCGAGAAGCTGTCGTCCGACGCCGCGCTGGATGCGAGCAGGCCGAGGACCAGCGGCGACAAGGCCATGAACGCCGTCTAGAAAACGATCCATTGAGGCGTGGTCGTTCTTTCCCGTAACGTCTCGGCACATATACACACTCACATATACATATTTCTATTTATGCGATTTCTGTCGTTTGATGATACCATGAGGATCTGGGTTTTGGAGAAAATAAAAAGTTGTAGCGGCTTTTGTTTCTTGGGCATTGCGTCTTATTAGGGACGGTTACAAGAGCATCGTTCATCTGATACCAATTTGCCTACCAAACCTGCCGCATATATACTTAGCTTACGGTTAATTCATACCATCTAATAATAGAAGAATCTAGCGGGGGGTATTTGAAAGATAGAATACTAGCATCTCCGTCATGAGCTTGACCCATGCAACCAGCAGCCAATAACTAAATGTAACCAACTGCCTATGCGTTCGTGCCCTTCTTAAGGGATCCTATTACTAGCTCCTCCGGCTTCCTTTAGGATCAATCTGCAGTATGGCCCCTCCGCACGGTGCGGCACCACACCCCGATGCGGCAGGTCGTCGCCGCATGCTGACGTCGTACCCGCTCTGTGTCTCCGTGGCATCGCGCCTCGGCGCATGGCGGTACATCATGACTAATACAAAGCTTCCACAATCTATCTCCGTGCGCCTTCGGAGAGATGAGATGTCACGAACGGTGGACGACCGGTCGGCATTGGCCAGAACATGAGCTAGGGGCAGCTAGTTGCCCACACCGGAATTCCCGTCTTTGGATCGGGGGTAAAAGCAGGTTGGCTGAACCCTTCACAACCCTTCCCTTCCCCGGTGCACATCGGTTTATAAGGCTTCGATCTCGACGACGGTCTTCTCTTGGACTCGACAAACCCCGCATCACTACACCCTTCATTCACACGCCATATACATACATTCGGACCGCGTCTACTCGAAACAAGCCAGCTCCCAACCGTGACTGCATCATGTCGACAGAAGAGGCCCCGAAGAGATCCAAGAAGTACGACGCGAGCTGCCACTGCGGCAACATCAAGTTCTCATTGACGCTCTCGCCACCGCTGGAGGACGGGTACAAGGTCCTCAATTGCAATTGCTCCATCTGCCGACGCAGCGGCTACCTCCTCATCTGTGCGTATTATATCGTTCTTTCCCCTCAAACCTCCTCCTCCTCCTCAGCTGCTGCACGGCTCTCGAGTCATGTAAAAGTTACTGATGAGGCCGTCTTCGTCGGGCACCCGGTTACTAACACCCTTCGGCGTTGAGACCCCGAGAAGACGGACGTCACCTGGCACGACGGCTCCCGCGAGCGGTGCACCAACTACCGCTTCAACACCAAGACCAAGGACCAGATGTTCTGCGGCGGCTGCGGGTCGAGCCTGGGCATCGACTTCTTGAACGAGACCTTCTACGGCATCAGCGTGCGTCGCCCCCCCTCCTCCGTCTTCCCGGTGACCCGGCACGACGGCATGCTGACAAGAAGACACAGGCGCGAGCCCTTGACGGCATCGACCTCGACACACTGACTTACAAGAAGTTTGACGGCGTCAGCAAGGTGTCGCCGGCCCAGGACCTGTCCGGGACTGAAAGCAAGGAGGTTCGCAATTGAGACGCCTTCGGGATTCAATTGTTGGAAATTAAAGTGTATATTCATTCAGATATGTCTCGAGACATTTTTGATATGTATACGGCCGGATTTTGGTATTACAGAGAGCCACCCCCGGCGCCGGCACCCTAGGCTTCCCAGGGGACGTTAGGAACCATACACCACCCGTCCTTTCAAATAAGTCTCCCATTCTTCTCACTCATCCCGCGCTCCTGCCTTCCGATGAACGTTTGCATTGACGTGTCCACGCGAGCCAACTTTCTCGCAAGCTGCTGCACCGAGGGGGGGAGCACGTTGTACCAGTGAATCCACCGTGCGTATAGAGGCATAGCGACGTGCGCGCTCCGCCCCGCGTCGATAGCGGCGATGATCTCCTTGCAGACGTCCACGGGCTCGACGATGGGGGCGATGAAGGCGTGCGGGGTCTGCACGCCGTAGAAGAGCGGCGTTGACAGCTGGCCCGGCTCGACGAGGATGGTACGGATATCCGGGTGAGAAGTGGCGAGCTCGGCGGTCAGGGACTTGTGCAGGGCAGTAACGCCGGCTTTGGCGGCTGTGTAGTCCGTAAGAGAAGCGGCGCCCAGGTGACCGAGGACTGAGGACATGGTTACGATGGTACCGCCGTTGCCGGCGCGGATCATGGGCGGGAGGAAGGTCTTGAGGGTGTAGAAGTGCGCCGTGAGGTTCGTGGTGATGGACTTGTCAATGTCCTCGAACTCGAGGTCCAGGAGGGACTTGCCCTTGACAATAGCGGCGTTGTTGATCAGGACAGTGGGGGCACCGAGCTGTTGGGAGCGAATTGTGTTAGTGACTCTTCACGCCCGACTCGCATCCGACACCAGGGGCTGAACTTACGTCTTTTTCAATCTCGGCCGCGACCCTCGCGACCTGCGCCTTGTCCGTGACGTCGCACTTGTAAAACGTGACGCCCCTCGCCTCGCCGTTCTCCATCTCGTTGACGTCCAGGACGGCGACGGTGGCACCGCGCATGCCGTAGACCTCGGCGATGAGGAGACCCACGCCGCTGGCGCCGCCGGTGATGACGATAACCTCCTCACTGAGGTCGACCTCGCGCGGCAAGCCGTATGCAATGCGCTGGTCGATCACATTGGCCATCCAGCACAGCGTGATGAAGGCCGCCCACACGATAGCGCCGACCATGAGCGGGTCATCCCAGGGCCGGGCCTGGGCACGGAAGCACAGGGGGATGATCCAGGAGATGAAGGGGTGGAAGAAGGTGACCTTGAAGACCTTGACGAGCAAGTCGATGGACAGCGGCGCGAACCACGAACCGTTCTGGGGCGGGCGTGGGTAGTCCATGGCAGGCGGGCGGGTGTGCGGTGATAGGGTCGTGGTGGTATGAAAGGGTCGAGGTCGTGGACAAGCTTGTATCGCGACAAGCCTAGAGCGAGATTAGAATAGATCCTGTGTCACGTCCTGCATAGATTCGCAGAACAATACAGGGTTGAAGAGTTGAGGAGTTGAAGTGTCTTTGGAAAATAATGGTATAGGTGTCGTCCAGCGTGCGGGTGGAGGAAAGGGAAAACGCAAAGGGGAAGAAAAAAAGGATCATTCTTGAGACGAAAGAACGCACAGCCCACCCACAACCTCAATCGGGCCACGGGGAAGCTTGACATTCATCGTCACATGTGGATGGACCTGGGGCGTTGAAACGGCGGCCAAGAGGCTAGGGGTTGCTCCCCTGACAGGCCAGCTCCTGTCTGTGGCCCTGGAACCTCCTCCACAACCCTGGAACGGCCACTAAAACGCCCCGTGGACCCCTTGCAGCTGTCCTTCCGTGGACAGCTAAATGATACTCCACTTCAAGCCGTCGCCGAATCGAATTTATCGGAGCCGGCGGACATGTCGGCCGCCGAGCGGAAGCGGCACGTTAAAGATACTATGATACATCGATCTTATAGGAATATGGAGCGAGAGACGGCATTGTTTCTTGGACTGTAGCTCTCGCTGGATTCTATTGGTCGAGAACGATTTGATCCGTGGTATTCTGGTCCCTATCTAAGTTGCACTTTTCACGATTATCCACCCTTTTCCTTTTGACATAGACATGGCATGCCGCCCCCAACGCCGAACAATGCAAAGCAACACCAGCAAAGACATGCATCCATAGAAACCCATCTCTACTTCTCCCGCGCCAGGATGGGCTTTTCTCTCTCGCCCTTGCGCCTCTCGAACTGCTTCTTGGTGTGCCTCCGCTCGTTCTCCTCGCGTCTCTTGATCGACTGAAGCTCCACGTTCTTGATCTCGCCCGCCTTCTTGATCACCTTGGGCAAGTGGCGGTGTCTCTTGATGCGTCTGACCTCTGGCATATGGCTGTATCGAGAGATCAGGGCCTCGTTGTACTCGAGGGCCTGTCTCTGCTTAGCGGATCTAATGCCGGATCGGTCTGTGGCGTTCGATCGCCAGACGCGCACGTTTCCGTCGTCGGAACCAGTAAGAATATACTTGGAGTCAGGAGTAAACATGGTGGTAAACACCCTCTGCATGCGCTTGGTGTGGTACATGTCGCGGGAGTGTCCTTGGTCACGGTTCCAGATGCGAACCGTCCTGTCGTAAGATCCGGAAACCAGCTCCTCACCTGTCGGGCTGAACTCAACACTCATGACAGCGGCGACATGCCCCTTGTAAACGTTCAGTGCCCTGTCAAACTTGCGCATGTCGAACATCTGCTTCCGAATTAGATACCCGGTTTTGACGTGCGATTGTTTGCTCATGACTTACGTAGCAGTTGTGGTCTTCGCTTCCAACGACAAAGTTGAAAGCTTCCATGGGGTTCCAGGATAGAGAGTTGCAGGTGAATGTCATTGTCGTCTTGGTCAGGGGCATCGCAGTGCGGACGTCCCAAAGAATGATGCTCCTGTCGGCGCCTGTGCTACCGAGAATGGACTGCTCAACCTGATTAAAGGAGACAGTGTTGATGGTATCGGTTGCGTTCGGCCATCGAAGAACCTCTGGGGCCGCGCTGTGCCGCTCCAAATCGTAGATGGCGATCTCGCTGGAGGAGGAAGAGGCGGCAAAGGCGTTTCGCGATCGGTGATGCGATATGCTCTGGAAACCGCTATTGCCCAGCCACGAAGAAATCGGCGCCGAGTCGCTCGGGGTGTTGTATGGGTCCCAAAGCTTTATCGTCTTGTCTGATGCAGCACTAAGAAGCTTTCCATCCCTCGTCCAGCATAGACTTCGCACGATGTTATTGTGGGCACTCTTGGTGTGCCAGATCTCGTCTCGGCTCGTGAGGTCGAATGCTTTGATCGCTCCGTCGCCACTACCAGATGCCATATGCTTCAGGGAGTTCGGATCTTTGGCCATCGAGTAAACCTGTAGTGTCTATTAGCAACCAGGAGGGTCTTCAAGGATTCGAACCAGGCATACCCCATCGATATGGCCACTGCCCATCTGCCCAACAAAGGGCGCGGCATGCATGCGCTCCAACTTAACGGCATTAAGAGCTTTCGTATACCTGAGTTCTGGTAAGTTGGCGTCTCCAGATGTGGCAAGGTCGACTTACTCTCGAGCGCGCTCCATAGGATGCTGAGCAGGATCGAGGTTCCTTCAAACTGGTTAGCTGGGCTTTACAAGTTGCTTGACGAGTCTTAAATACCGAGGCAGCTTCTTAGCATTTGAGCCAGGAGGCTGGTACTCCTCGACGCTCCGAGAAAGGGCTTTAATCTTCATTTTGGCGTGCGTGATGCTGTCAGTCTCTTGCTTGGCCAGAGAAATGTCAATGCCTGCGAACTCTACCAAAAGTTTTAGTGGGGATGGGGCTCTCGGAGAATTATCTCCAATCAGACAAGAGTGCCCGGATCAACCATGGCCCGATACGCCCCCAACCCTCCACTGCTGCTCTGTGGGCTTGCGTAGGTCATGGCAACCTGCCTTCTGAAGGCTGGAGCTCTCGACACTGCACCAAGCTACATCCCGAATCCGGCGACGACACCACTCCTTCCCCCACCACCGACGACAACCTCGCGAAATCGAACGACTCCGACAACGAAGTAACCGAATTCTTGCCCCGACAACCGAATTATCAGTCAGGATGGCTCAGGGCGAATCGGCTAGGGTACAAGAGGCCCAGAAGGCGGCCAAGTCAGATCCCCGAAAGGCAGAGCAGCTCTTCAAGGAAATCATCTCTCAGCCCCCCTCCTCCGCAACTTCCGATGCCGCTGTGAAGGAGTACGAGACGGCGCTGATCGGTTTAGGAGAGCTGTACCGGGATGAGAAGTGAGCCACTCTTCCGTCCAGTGATGACATTGTGTGGGGGACCCATGTTTGCTAATAACCCGCTCAGGAAGACGCAGGAGCTCGTCGACCTGATCACAAAAAGCCGGACGGTCCTTTCGTCATTCGCCAAGGCAAAGACAGCAAAGCTGGGTAGGCCTAGATTCAGTTCGGTTCCCTGTTTGTGACAAGTTCAAGACTAACCCAACCCCTCTACAGTCCGCTCTCTACTCGACCTCTTCGAGAACATTGAGGGCAGCACCGATATCCAAATCGCCGTTACGAAGTCATGTATAGAATGGGCAACCTCGGAGCGCCGCAGCTTCCTGCGCCAGAACCTCGAGACCCGCCTAGTCACCCTCCTCATGGCTAAGCAATCCTATTACGATGCCCTCACTCTCATCAATGGCCTCCTCCGCGAGCTCAAGCGTCTGGACGACAAGCTCGTCCTTGTCGAAGTCCAGCTTCTCGAGTCGCGCGTTTACCACGCTCTCGGAAACATTCCCAAAGCCCGCGCTGCTCTTACTAGCGCCCGCACGAGCGCTGCCTCTGTTTACACCCCGCCTCTCCTGCAAGCCCACCTCGATATGCAGAGCGGCATGCTACACGCCGAAGACAAGGACTTCAACACAGCCTTCTCCTACTTCATCGAGGCCCTCGATGGCTACCACACCCAAGACGAGTCCGTCAAGGCTACCGCCGCCCTGCAGTACATGCTGCTGTGCAAGATCATGCTAAACCTGGCCGACGATGTCAACAACCTGATGACGTCGAAGCAAGCTCAGAAGTACGCCAGCAAGAACCTCGAGGCCATGAAGGCTATCGCTCGTGCGCACTCGAACCGTTCTCTGGAGGAGTACGAGCAGGCTCTTCAGTCCTACCGTGAGCAGCTCGGCAGTGACGCCTTCATCCGCAACCATCTGCGGCGTTTGTACGACGCCATGTTGGAGCAGAACCTCATCAAGGTCATCGAGCCCTTCTCCCGCGTTGAGATCAACCACATCGCCAAGATGGTCGGCCTCGACACGCAACAGGTGGAGCGCAAGCTCTCTCAGATGATCCTGGACAAGGTCATCATCGGTGTGCTGGACCAGGGTGCGGGATGCCTCATCATTTACGACGAGACGGAGCGCGACAGCGCATATGACCACGCTCTGGCCACGATTGAGAAGCTGAGTAGCGTGGTGGACGTCCTCTACACCAACCAGGCCTCGATGCTTGAGTAAGAGGCAAAGCAGGCGTCAAGGGTTGGCAGTCGGAGGACAGCGGATGGGATTGGGAATTGTACTATTACCATAGACAAATGCCGGCGGTGCATGGGACAGAATTCATTCTGATGAAGTGGTATCCTAACAAACAACTGCAGCGGGGTTAAGCTCGTAAGCTCCCGAGTGACCAACTTGAAAATAACAAAAAACCGTAATGATCCAAAAAGCCTCCAACGCCCAACCCAACCCGCCATACGTACGTGATCCTGTACACTCATTGGACATGAGACTTTCGTAAAGACCATTCTGGTGGTCACTGTACTGTAAGATAAACCCAAATAAAAACGCTGTCGTGCGCGCCCATCATCCACGACCACGCACTACTATGCAAACTTGACAGAGGGCGCCTTGGGGGCCTTGCCCTCCTTACGGAGCTGCTCCCCAACGATCAACGAAAACACCCTCTTGGCGAGCACTTCCTCCTCCCATCCGCCTACCTCAGCCTTGAAGGCGTCAACGACGTCGAGGTGCCACTGCTCCATAACCAGGCTGATGCCGTGTGAGTTGATAGAGCGGCCGAGCAGCCACCCTGACTTGCTCTGGAACTCGTCCGGGAACTGGAAGTCGAACGGGCCGAGACGGCGAAGCTGAATGATGTCATCCAGCAGCAGCCAGTGATCACGCGACCACATGGTCTGCGAGAGGCGCGGCTCCTCTCCGGCCGCGGGCTCAAGCGAGATGCCCGCGTCAGGTGCGTCCATCATGGAGACGTCGATTTCCTCGTGCTGCGCGTCACTGGCTTCGCCCATGGCGGTGTCGTTTTCCTTGTCCTCTTCTTCCATGATGGCGTTGATGCGTTGCTGCTGCTGCTGCTGCTGCTGCTGCTGCTGCTGTTGCTGCTGAGCGGCGTCTGCGCTACTGTTGGAATTGGAGGATAGGCGGCGACCGGCGCGGGCTTGTAGCTGGGCCAGAGGCGAGAGGACGCTGCTAGTGAACTCAACGACTCTTCCCGGCGTGCGCGGTTTCAGAGGAGAGCGCAGACAGGACTTCGTGGGCGACATATTCCTGTCTGGTAAGGGCCGGAGGATATGACGCTCAGATTCAGGCGAATCTTCCGCGATGGCAGAAGCACTACTCTCTTGCCATTTTTGGATGTCCGCACGGGTGAGCTGCATGCGCACCGGAGTCAACGAGGGCACCGGGGCCGCCGCCTTGCCAAACAAGTCCTGCGTTTTCTGTCCTGACTTGGGTACAAAGTTCTTCTGCGGTACAGAGGTGAAGGAGACCTCGGATGACATGTTCATCTGAGAGTCAGGTATTTCTGACGGCTGTCTCATGTTGGTACGAGACCTGGTCGAAGAGAACAATTCCCGACGTGTATCATTGGTCGACTTCGTTGCAGAAGGCTTCGCAGGTGAGAAGAGATCCGAACGACCGCTGACGGAAGGAGCGAATTCCTTCTGTGGGACAGAAGGGAACATGGAGTTCGTCTCGATGCCCGCGTTGAACTGCTCGGGAGGACGCGTCATATTCTTGGATGACAATGCGTTCTGTCGTTTCTTATCCATGATCTCTTTGACACCCTCCGCTCCTGGAAGAAGAGCAGGAGACGAAAAGAACGCGGAGAGATCCTTCTTCGCCGACGACATTTGAGCAACTCCGAAGGGCTTTCGGGGAAGCTGCTTCTGGCTCCGCTGCTGGGAAAGCATAGAAAAATCCTCTTCCTCACCCTCGTTGAAGCCGGGCTTGTGGTAATGAGACGCCGCTGGAGTGAACAGGGTGTTCTTCTCTGGCAATTCAGCCCGTCTCTGCCACGGACTAGGGAGAGCCACGCGCCGCGGGGGAACAGGCGCAATGGATCGCTTGCCGAATGACTGTTGACGGCTTGAACTAGAAGCAGGACGCGATGCCTCAATTGCCCAGATATCATCATCCTCATTTTCTCCAGCCTGTTCTTCTTCGACCTCCGTTTCATCAGCGCCATCGAAAGTGAGACTGAGACCCTCAAAGCTGGGCCGCCGGCTGGTTCGCGACGCACCAGCAGCGTTCGTGCTGCTCTGCATGGAACGCGATTGGGTGAAAGGCTGCTCACGTGGAGCCGGCGCCTCCTCCATCCAGCTCATCTCATCGGCTTCATCGGCTGGGGCAACTTGAAGAGATCCAGACATGGACACCGATGCTTCACCTTGCTCCTCGGTACGAGGCACAATCATGCTCTTGGCCAAGGCTTCCATGAAGCTTGGCTGGCCGGTGTGATCATCCTCGTGACCAAAGGGATCCTCATAAGGCGCGCCGGTCGATTGCGGCACAGAAGGCGGCGGCGGAGGCGGAGCCGAGGCGCGAGTGGGCGACCCGAAGAACTGAGCCCCGGCCTGGATCAGGGTAGACAAGGGTTGGGTCCAGCTACGAATCGACTTGGCGGCAGACTGAGGCTGGCTACTACTTGTGGTAGGTCTGAAGGGGCTACCGAGAGAGTTCTGACGAGGAGGTGACGAGGCATCCGACGTGACACTTTGCAAAGCTCTTCCGGCCCTCACGATAGGAGATAGCCCGGGGCGAACCCCGTTGTCTGGAGATGCCGGCCGAGGCGCTAAGAGATTGACATCCGGTGAGGGCACAGGGGATGAGACAGGCGCCACCGGGGTGATGTACTCGCTAGTAGCAGCAGGAGTGTTGGTCGTGAGCTCTGGAACAGGAGGGTCGGAGCTCATCTCATCGTGTTGAGAATATTCAGCGGGTGGCGAACTTTGAGGTGCTTCGATCGTTTTGGCATCTGATTGAGGAACAGGAACATCGTTAGGCGACGGTGTGTCGTCTGGAGTCGGCATTCGTGCTGAATCTGACCGAGTGTAAGAAACACTCGCATTAGATGGAGCTGCGGACTTGGGTGAACTCTTACGAGCTTCTTCTGCCGCCTCTTCTTCATCTTCCACTTCTGCCCGGTCGGCGTGAGGTTCTTCGTTACCGTCCTCGGAGCCCTTGTCCGTCTCTTCCTGGATATTCTCGTCGGTAACGTTCATGGTCTCTCCCTCATCCTCGTTGATTTGAGGCAGATTCAATTTGCCTGGAGTCGCCGCCTCGAGATAGGCATCTGGAATTTCAGAAAATTCATCTTCGTATGCCACGGATGCCTCCTCGTTTGCCATCGAGCTGCGCCTGGAGGCCTTAGTACCAGGCGTGGCAGCAGCCAAAATTTGGGATGGCACACTGGAAAAAGAGGCATCCATCCGTGAGGTCTCCATTTGAGAAGTTTCCATATGCGAAGTTTCTAACCTTGAGGTCCCCAACTCTATTTGTCTCGCCTTGTTTTCGAAGAGCTTTCGGCCCAGCGGGATAGACTTGCGACGGGGGCTGCTTCTAGCCCGACCCGGCGATTGGATGCTTCTAGTTGGAGATTTATCCTTAGATGTGGAAGACGGAGGTGGAAGGTCAGGGCGAGGGAGAGAAGGGAGGGTGACAGGAGATTCGTTGACCTCGGCGTTGAGGTCCATTACGGAATCCATATGCGGTTCAGCCTCCTTCGAGGGCTGAATCTCCTCATGGGCTGAAAGATTGTGTACCGGAGCCTCTTGCGTAGTAGAAAGGCCAACGACTTCTTCATCATCTTCGTCGTCGTCGTCCACGCGCAAGGCACCACTTTGCCTCAAAGACTCCAGTGTCTGGTTGACAATCATGCCCGTTTCTTCACCAACCTCCGAGCCAGGGGCAAGCATGCTTGTATGTCCTCTCATAGAAGGGATAGAATTCGCAAATATCATGCTGAAATCCTCTCCTTGTGCAACCGTATCTTGATCGCGTAGCTCCTTATCCGCATCGTTCTCTCCGATTAGCGACGAGATGTCGCTCGCCGGGCCCGGCCCAAAGTCATAGTCATTATATTCGGGCTCATTTCCGGACTCGGAATGAAGCTGTTCTGATGGCGTAGGGCTCTTGTCTTGCAGGTAAGCGGGTGTCGGACTAAGGGTGATGGGGTTGTCTTGTGTCGCTGCACGAGGTGTTGCTTGGTCTGACATTGTTTGCATCCAGATATCGGGTTCAGATTCGGGAATCGAAACAGCAGGATGCTCTCGCCTTGGTGTAGGATCGTCCACGGCCATGTCCTCCATCACCGCAGCGAGCGCGTCGCCTGAAGGCGCCACCCCACCAAAGTCCGCCACCTCGTCCACCGTTTCCACCGGCTGGTCGGAGAACTCAACGCGTTTGGGTCGGCCGCGTCTCCGGGTTGTACTGGGTCTGGACGAAGGAGCAGGATCTTCAGAAGCCCCTCGCGGCTGGCGACTGGTCGTACGTTTGGTGCGCGTAGTGGGTTTCGGTGTTCCCTGGATGGTGATATCGGCCTCGATGCCATCGGAGTCAACAATAGTCTTGACCCTTCGAGTCTGTCTTGGTGTCTTTTTCGGAGAAGAGGTAGCTCTCCTCTTGGTCGCTGTGCCGGTCTTTGGTGTGCCGGATTTGGGAGGCCGACCCCGCCGCGCGGGCGTCTTGACGGCTGTGTTCTTCTTGTCGCCAGCCAGCGGAACGGTGGTTGTATACGCGCCGCGGCTCAGGGTGGGTGTGTCGGCGTTGAAGAGTCTACGCCCAACGTTTTCGTATTCGCCCTCAGCCTCAACGGTCACTAACAACCGTTTGGGCGCGCTATCATCTCCAACCTCGAGCTCGAACATTTGCTTTCTAGGCGAAGTGCCGCGTCCACCGATGGAGAACAACCGCTGCGACCTTTGGCTTCGAGTGACGCGACGGGACGAAGGGTAGAGCGCCGAGGAGACGGTGTCGTTGAGCGGATCTGGCGAGGAGAGTATCTCGTCGCCGGCCCCTCTCGGTCTTGGTGTCACCATTGTGAGATGCGCGCAAAGGCCAAAAAGGGAATGGGGAAAAAAACGACGCGCGCTATGGCTGTCGCATAAACAGTATATAAAAGAACAAAAAACAAAACTCGACTGTCAAAACTAGGCTCTCAAGCCTTCGCGTAAGCTAGCAATAGGAAATGTCAAATGTTATGCATTAGAATAAGGGTCGTCGCGTAGTGGTGCGGTGGGTGGTGCGCAATGGTTCTGGGGCTGCATTCACCGCAGATAGGAACAAGCCCCGGCGCCTAATCAAAGCTGGTTTGTTTACTTTCTGCTATATCAAGGTTAGCGTTGCTCCCCTCGACCATGTTAGCGGGGAATATCGCAACGACAGGGGAACAACATTTCCCCGCTGCCCCGATCTCACACTCTGTCCGGCCCAAAACCCCTAGTTGGGCTCGGACCTTTGGGCCTTGGCTGACAATGTCTTGATTGCAGAGTTTCTTCGTGGTGTAAGTAGGCACAGCCAACAGCGGGGTGGGTGGGTTTCTAAGTCGAGCCCAGATCCGCCCTGGTTTTCGATTGAGCAACCTGTAAAGGCCAATTTTGAAATTTGATTGGCCATCACGCCTTGCAGCGCAAATACACCTTTCTTTTCTTGCTTATTCAAGAAAGTGTGTTTTCTCGAATGAAGCATGTTTTGTCGGCACCCCCGAAATTCGCTGCGACCCCACGAGCTCCCGAAGGAACCCGGCCTGTCTTCCAACCCCAAAGGTTAAGGGCAGCCCAGCCCAGAGGGGCAGCCCCCCATCACATGCGTCAGTCCCCCTTGGTCCCCTCCCTTGTCTTGTGATCGCGCATGAATATTGCACGGTTGCAGCGATGACATAACTGGGGTAAAGGTTTTTAGCGGCATGAGCAAGCCAACCTTTTCCCCCCTTCGGCTTTCAACACGTGGTTGACCTCGGCTCCCCAGAAAACCCAAAGGAATTGCCGCCCTGTTTGAGACGCAACTTTTATAATCACTAACTTCGCAACGATAATTACCATTTACATCCTTTACATCACTTTGACTGTACTATTTTGGACGAATCATCCCATTTCCCACGACCCTATCATCCTATCTGCCTAAGCTTCTTCGACAAGCACACCACCTCGCTCGCACCGTCCAGAGACGTGAAACAGCCACCATGTCCAAGCCAGCGCTCCCACAGAACGACAATGTCGCCCATGCCCTCGCGGGCGCTGGCGGCGGTCTCCTCTCCATGGCCTTGACGTAAGGCCATTGAACCTCTTCTGACGGGCAAGGCTCTAACCTTAGGTGTGTCGCACAGCTACCCCCTCATCACCCTCTCGACCCGCGCCCAAGTGGAATCCAAGCGCGCCGACACGGCTTTCCTCACGGCTGTCCAGAAGATTGTCGCTCGTGAGGGCGTGTCGGGACTCTACTCCGGTCTCGAGTCCGCCCTTTTCGGCATCAGCGTTACCAACTTCGTCTACTACTACTGGTACGAGTGGACCCGCGCCTTCTTCGAGGCCGCCGCCGAGAAGGCCGGCCGTGCCAGTAAGAAGCTCACGACCGTCGAGTCCATGATTGCCGGCGCCATCGCCGGCTCCGCGACCGTCATCCTCACGAACCCCATTTGGGTCATCAACACCCGTATGACGACCCGTAGCAGCAGCGCCAACAAGGACGGCAAAGATGAGGAGGCCCAGACCGACAAGCCCAAGAAAGCGCCCTCCACCATCGGCACCCTCTTGGCGCTGCTCAAGAACGAGGGCCCGCAGGCGCTCTTCTCGGGCGTCATCCCCGCCCTGGTGCTGGTCATCAACCCGATCCTGCAATACACCCTGTTCGAGCAGATGAAGAACACGGTCGAGAAGAAGAGGAGGGTGACGCCGACCATCGCCTTCCTTTTGGGCGCCCTCGGCAAGCTGTTCGCGACCTCGGTCACCTACCCGTACATCACAGTCAAGAGTCAGATGCACGTTGCCGCCGGCAACGGCGGGAAGAAGGAGGGCATGTCTCAAGCCATCAGCCGGGTCATCAGGGAGGAGGGCTACGCCGGCCTGTACAAGGGTGAGTCTTTGCTTCTGTTGGAGACAGTCACTGTCGCAGCGCTAACGAACGGGCACACAGGTATCGGCCCCAAGGTCACCCAGAGTGTGCTGACCGCCGCCTTCCTCTTTGCCTTCAAGGACGTTCTGTACGAGCAGACCATCAAGCTCAGAACGATTGCCGCTAAGAAGCGCGCGTAAACGTGCCAAAGAACCTTGCTGCCTCTTCCGCATGGTCAGATATAGTTGGCTAGATTTAGAGGTAGATTTTGATGACGCATCTATAGAACAAGCAAGCTAGAGACACCACTGCATTTCAGCATGGCACCTCAGCGCATATGCCGCGTTCTTTTTTGTTCGTACGACACGCACGAACTCTATCGAATTTTTGTATGGGAACTTTTTCAAGCAAGTTGGGTAAGCTGTTGGCAAACGACCGGGCATGGGGTGGGGTGCTAGGCGTAGTGTCACATGGAATTCCCCGGCAAGATTGGGTTGTATTTTAGGACTTTTAGGATGACGGTTATCCATTACATATCTATGCTGTGCCTAGGTCGGTTCTTGCGCTTCGGTTCGTCATCGGACAGGCATAATTCGCGGGACGATCCACCACTCGTGATACGACTTGTCGGGAGTCGGCACCTCGGCCTTGAGCTTTAGATCCCCGCCGCCTTCGCCCCATTTGTCTAGCGCCTTTCGGATAGCCGAGACGGCCAAGCCCGTGGCAATGCACGACTTCAGCCCGTTTTTGACAGACGGTAGCCAGCGGTCATGTGATCCGATCGAGAAGGCCTCCGCCTCGGGAAGTTTGCTCATGACCTCGAAGCCCTTTTTAGCGCCGGCAATGGCGCGGTCGGCTAGGTCTAACAGTTCGGCGCTTGGGCACTCTGTCTGCAGGGTTCCGATGGTAAACTCCTCAAAGGTCGGCAGGGATGGTAGACCGATGATGGAGAAGGGCCTCATCCGCAGTTCGTAACGGAGCTCATCGGTGCTATAGGGTCGCGGAGGGGGTTTGATCAGCCCGAGGCGGTGGAGGACCGTGTAGAGACAGCAAAGAGCGTCGGAGACGCCTTCGGTGGCTGCAGCATCCAGAAGCGCCAGGCGGAGAAAGGCCAGAGACTTTGTGTACTGCGATTCCGCGGTCGGCGTGAGACGCTGTCTGCCCGAGCAAGCCTGGTTGAGGCTCAGGACGACAAAGGACTTTATGCGCTCCACGTGCTGGAGGCGGTTCTTGGCCAGGTAGTTCAGGTACCAGTACATGCCTGCCAACTCGTCCGGCTGGTAGACCTCGAGCTCGAAACCGAGCTGGACGATCCACTCCATCTGCTTCACCTTGTACAGGTACGCCCACGACGACAGCGGCAGAGACCACGTCTCGACTGGCCCAGAGGCAGACTGGTAGACCAGGGGCTGCTCCTTGGTCTCCTGTTGGATGATCTGGTCGATATCTTCAGCGTCGAACTGTAGGTTCTCCCAGTCGCGCACGATATGGCAGAGGGTCCTGCGCACGCGACACCGGTTTTGACAGAAAGTGCGCAGGATATCGAGATAGGGCTGGGCGGCGCGCTGACGAAAGACCTCCATCTGGTTCGCGATGGTGAAGCGCGGGTCTTGGATGGCTTCGATCTCGTCATTGTCGCGGTCAAGAAGTGGGCTATTGGGCAGGGAGACGATGGAGAAGTCGTCGTCGAGAAGTTGGCGGATGCTCTTGTGGCCAAGGACCTCCATGTCCTTGAATAAGAAGCTTTGGAGGAGAGTGCGGACAAAGATCAGGGGCTGAGGCTTCCTCGCTTGAAAGGTCGTCACGTATGTCTGGCGGGCAGTCAGTAACGACGCAGTCGGGGTAGGGAAGAAGGTGTGGACATGTATGTACCTGAAGGCAGATGGAGTCGGTATAGTCGAGGACCCCTATAACCTCAAGGCCGTCGCTGATGATCTTCGTCAGGTGCCCAAAGGCGTCGTCAAAGCTGATCTCAACAATGGGTCGCGGAGGCATCGTGCTGGCGAGTTTGCGTTGAAGCTTGGCACTACAAGCCTCTGGAACAGGGTTTCCCAGCGCGTGAGTGCTCTTGATGCTCGGTAACATATCATGGGCCTCTTTCCAGGGACTCCTAATACGGTCCGGTTCCGTCCGATACTGGGTGTGGTCGATCGCTGCCAGGAGCGTGTACCTGAAGAGCAGCCTGGTGTGGAGAGCGTCAATGATGTCTTGTGACACCGAGTCCGAGAGCTGCCGCAAGACAAAGCTTGCCTCCTTGAGGATTTCGCGTATGGAGTCAATGCTGAAATCGTCGAGTAAAACCCTGTTGTAGGTATTCGTAACGAAATCTTCTTCCTGCATAGACGGTCAGCCAAATCATCCCACAGGAGCGTTAGCAAACTCACCTCATAGAAATGCTCGTTCTTGATTCTCTCATTAACATTTCCGCATGTCTTCAGCAGTCCTAAGCAATATGCTCGGAGGATGGTATGCATCGGTGATGGCGGTGTGCCGTTGGCGTTCTTAATGAAATGTGCATCGTCGATGGTGGCCGGTTTGGGCATGAGAATTGACTCAACGTAGACACTTGTGAACAGAGTCTGAGAGAGAGGGTAGCCAACGTGCCATGACATCTGTGACCATGTCAGTGGGGGTAGATGTTAATATAGTCTTCGGTGCTGACCTCATGGCAAAGCAACTGGTCAATTATGCCAAGAACTTCTTCAGGGAGGAGGGGGCGTGACACATCGTAGTCGACATCGAGCGAGTCCTCCGCCTCTAAACACCCACTATCCATTTTTGGGTCCATGATCTGTCCATGATTTCAGCAGGCGGTCCGGGGCGGCCAGCAAATAACTTTCGTGACGTACCTCGAGAGCCCCAACGGACTCAAACAGCGTGAAGAAGCCATCCTTGACCAGCTCACCGGGGGGGAGCGCTGCGCATAGTCAGATCGTCTGCTCTGTTGGGTCTTGGGGACTTTGCGTTTGCATCTCACTTTCGGCAGCTGCTATGAACTTTGATGTGATATCAAAAGCTACAATGCCGTTGCCCGGTGGATTGGTTGGCGGCGGATGTGGGGGTTCACGCCCTTGCTCGAGCGAAAGCCTTGAAATATCTATGGGATAGTGAGTGGTGCGAACATGGAATCTTCTCATGGCGAGCTCTTACCTTCGGACACTGCGAAGCCGGATGGGACGGCCATAGTGGCAACTCTTCATGAGGCTCTGTTGAGTGAGTGCGTTGAGTGCAGTTTTAGTGAGGTCACGGCGGCTATCCGTCCAGTCAAGGATATGCCCTTGATTTTTAAAAAAGAAAAAGACCCCGGTAAGGTTGAATGCGATGGCTTCGCGTAACCCAGGCGGATATAAAAATTAATTGAAATCAATGACCAAGTGGAAGTAAAGTGCAGCAATCACGTCTCTACTGTTCTGGAGGCATTACGGATTTGGTTGTCTCGAGGTAGTTGCAACGGGGACATGGATTGATCATAACCGAGTTTGCCCGGCGGCGGGCAAATTTGGGTCAGTGGAGGAACGGCACGCCCAACACTCTGGCGCCTCAGCCGACATCGCAACATTTCAAGGCCAGTTCCCCCCCACCAGCACATTCAGAAACACCAAAATCTAGGACGGCATTTCGAATTGATAGATTATGCCACTTTCTGATATGTTACAGCAGCTCACTGCCTAGGAGCCGGCGGGTATTCGGAGGAGGATCCGCGCATTCACTTCCTTGCGCTCCCAATTCCCATCTATCCCTCGATAACCTCGGATGCATCTCCCTCTCCAACTTCACACGTCTAATTCTCGGGCGGAAAAAGTCGAGCTGCTTTACGAGGAGGTGGCAGGGGCGGCGGGAGTAGCCTGGGACAGGGGCTTGGGCTCGCCCTGCTTGGCGTTCTGTGTTGCGGTATTTCAGGTCAGCCATCTCTTGTGTTTTCGCTGCCAACCCGCATCATGGGTCATCGGTATCGCAGTTCGGGAAGGGGGAAGGGCGTCGGTGTTTTCTCACCTCCCACTTGGCAAAACGGAGCTCCGTCTCTCCGCGGCGCTCGGCGATGATTCTCTTGTCCTCCTTCAAGCTGCGGCGCACGACGCGCGAGGCGACGGCGAGGTAGCGGTTGTAGCTGCAGATTGGGGGTTGTTGGGTTAGCTTTTCCCTCTCCTGCGTCCAAAACCTCGACCGCATTCTGCTCCAACCGACAAGCGGGTGCAAAAAGGGATCGAGGGTCATCAATTGACTCACGTGAGACCGGCGGCTTTCCAGGCGAAGACCATTTTGGCGGTTGTATGGATATGTTGATGAACGTGGGTATGGGGTGGCAGCTCGGGGTATGATCAATTGAAGGTTTCTAGATTCCGAAGTGCAAGCTCCGAGTTGGATGCCTTTGATGGCCTCAGGCAGAAACATCGACTTACGGGATAGTGACTCCACCCTCCTATCGCTTCAAGTCTCTCTCCTTCCATTAACAGTTCTGGAAAGCCATTCGTATTATCTCTCCCATGCCCAGCCTTTTTTCCGGTTCGATACCGAACCATAACCCTTCTTAACACGCTTGACGGCCAGACATGTAAATGTAATTCCGAAAATATGTTACCTCCTACAGACGCTGTGCCGTTTAGTGTCTCCCACGCTCGTACTGAGCCACTGAGCCACTTAGATGGACAGTACATAGCGATTATCGACAAGTACGAAAGCCCTGGCCCATCAAGTCCGCGACGGGTCCTGCCAGTAAGCTTCAAGAGCTACCGGGGATTGGTTGGTTGGAGCTGTGCGAGGTTTTTACTGGGTCTCTTCCCAAAAGCATAATGAAAGTCCGCATGCTGCTGCCATCACACTTCAAGCCACTATGGACCGGTATCAGAGTACACGACCTGAGCATCCCGATCACAGTCAAGAAGACTCCTGACCTCTACAAGCTGGCCAACAGCGGCGGCGTCTTTTCAAACTGTGACGGGAAGCGGTCCGCTATTCACCAGGCGGGCGACGAAAGCCTGAGCGTGTGCGCATCAACGATTAGCAGCGGCGAGGATTGTGTCTCCCCCGACGTCTGCGGATACGATTTGGGAGACCTGGAGACCGTCAAGAAGGGATTGCTCACTGTGCAATGGCTGGAGTCCGGAACTGACAGAAGTCATCATCACAGTGGAAGGTAACTGCACGCCGAGATCGCTCTGCATGGACCCAGTAGGCTTCAAATGGTCGCTCCGGCGCAGTTTCAAGATCAACGGGGGCGCGACGCACTTGATGACGATCCTTGCCGGCGAAGGTGTCAATGTCGCGCTCAAGGACGCGATCGGGCTGGTGGATGCCATCATCACTGCAGCGCACATGAAAAGATCGAGACTTCGGGAAGGACATGTTCGGGTGTGCGGGCTAACGGAGGAGCTTATGCACGACTTCGTATCCATGTCGGGGCGCACCGGGAACAACCATCTCGGGCTCGATCACGAGGTCGGTCAAGTTCGAACCCCTTGGTTGTTGCATCCACTGGCAGCTGGCATGGCGCACTAGTACTTTATTTTTCATGCGCCAGCAGCGGGCGGCTTGGAGCAGAGGGGGCGATAGGAGCGGCTGCTTTATGTGCAAAGGGCAAAACGAAGCATGATGGATTGATAGTCGGGTTAAGGTCCCTGTTGCCCACGATTTTGCTTTATCCCGTATTAGTTACCCATGTCGCCGGGATGGTTAATCAAAAGTGCTACGTGACGTGCCAATTTTTGGGTGACTTGAGAGCTCGACAGTTCGTTTGTACATCATGGGGAATATCATCAGTAAGGATTGACATAACGAAGCTGTAAGCCTGCAAGACAATTGCATCTCCTGATGTGATGATGAGCCCAGGTTCGTGGAGTGCCTGACCGCGTTGAATTATTGAAACGCCAGGCTTGTCTTCCCCTAACAATGACTCGCAGGGTTCGGACCTCGAGCGAAGGTCGGTTGACTTGGTGTGCTGACAACAGAACAACAAAGAAGCTAGGATGCACCGGCCTACTAACTCCTCATCGGCGTCTGAACAAGAGGGGCAACGCATCAAGCTAGAATAAGCAACGCCTGGACTGGACTCCTTTTCGTTGCAAATACTCGGTACATCGGATAGAGATTCGAGCATCCGTCGTGATAGCAAGGTAGGTGAATAAGCTTTTGGAACATGTACAGAGGAAGCTGGGAGAGATTGGATTTGATGAGGTTGCATTTGGAGGAGACGTCACAGACTGACGTTGTTTGAAAACATTCCAGAGTGTTTCATCTTAGAGATTGCATGTAGGTAGTGCATGTATTTGGCTCAAGGGGGAAGGAGATGGTTCGAGGTGCAAAAGGTGGATGGATATGATTAGAGAGCGGAATGGCATGTCGGGTGGCTGGTAACCGGGGCATGTGTGCGTCCTGGGTCGGGATCTGACAAGGATGACAAGCCACTGAGGAAGAGTAAACACCAATCAGAGGGCTGTACGGAGTACGATGCCCCACTGTCAGGATGAGGTGACGAGCAGCGGACTGGAACTGGGGACGGACACAAGCCTACAAGGGCACCACCACACAAGGGCACCATAAGGTGACGAGCGTGTCTCCCACATTGTATCTGTACCTGACTGAGTCTTTGACTGGGGGGTGTTTGTCCGAGTTGAGAGGGTGATTAAGGCACAAGAAGGGGCAAAGAACGCCTGTACCTGCGGGTTTACTCCAGCGGGCCTTTCTTGGAGCTTTGGGCCTGGATGCTGGGTCTTTGGGCGCCAAAAGCTAAGGGCAAGCAAGACTCTCTCCGCTTTCCGAACACGGTTCAACATTGCACATACAGAACTTACGTGTACGTGCTCTGGGACCTGTAACCTCGTACATACATACCTTAAGAGGTAGACACATGCGTTCACCCTAAATCCCATCTACCTCATAATTGCTTTGGCCTTTGCATTGCACTGCATTGCGCTCTGGCATCTGCAACCGACAGCTGTCCAACTTTTTTTTAGACACCCTCCGACACCCGCGCACCCAATCGGTTACGGACGACGTTAACGGAAATAACCACACCAAGACGTCAGCACGGCATTACTTGCTCCATCGAGGGGCTCACTCACTGCCTCTCCCTCAATCTCCAACGCGTTATCGTCACTACTTCTACAGCTTCCATCCCTTCACAGCATTCCAACCAGGCGATTCCCTACTGCCAAGCGCCACTTGCAACCTTCCTGCTCGCTGGATTAACATCCATCAGGAAAGCTTGACATTCTCCTTTCACCTAGGCAATCCAACAAAGTTCGCAATCGCAACCTTACTTTCTCGTAGCATGGTTGGCAACCATCCTCTTGAATAACTGCGGCCTCCCCGATCGATCACATTACTCCTATAGTCTTCTTCCAGCCTTGTGTTCATATTGTCTTGGGTACCTTGGACTGGCAGCGCACAACCTGGTTGGGAAGAAGAAGACAGAGGAGGATAAGAGAAGCGCTACAACGACGACAACCCTTCGATCCGAGCAATGATGCAAGCACCGAGCTCCTCACAGCGCATCCAACGGCGCTCTCCAGGTGCTGACCCTGGCCCTCCGCCAAATGTACCAGCTCGCTCAATATCACCTGCCATGGGTATGCAGCCCAGGGCTTCCAACGCCTCAAACCGATCTGCCCCGCCGAATGGCGGGATGCGGAGATCAAATGTGAGTCTGATTGCACATTCCAGCGGCCAGCAGCTCGTCTTCAGACGTCAGCCTGCTGTAAAATATCATCTTCACAGCAGACTTGTCGCTCTTGCTCCCTTGTTTGTTGTAACAGCAACTAACCGGTCCTTCCCAACAGAACTCTACCAGCTCAGCCATGCCTTTATCGCAAATCGAGAAGAGCGTCACCCACCTGCTCGTCGCGACTAAGCAGCTACTAGAGACCCTGACACAATGGTCGCGTGGCCAAGCTACCGATGGCCAGGTATCCGATGTATACGTCAGACTGGGATACGAGTTCAACATGGCCTGTCGAGCTTTCACGGCCATCAACGTGGATACCTCCGACCTGGGCAATGTCCCCGAGTTGCTACGAAGCATATTAGAAGCCACTCTAAGCCAAGAAGCAAGCACCGAGAGCTTGGAGAAATACCTTCCCCGTATTCGGGATATCATCATCAACCTGCTCCACGGACTGAAGCGCAAGCAGCAAAAGCTGCGGCAAAAGCAACCAAAGGACAGGGAGAGTGGCGGCTCAGCAGGCGCACCCGAGCGTACGACGAGCACGAGTACAATGGGTAGCGCAAATACTGGTTTGACGAATCTGCTGGAGGAGGGCATACAGAACGGATACCGGCCAGACCCGCAGAGGGAATCTTCCATGTCAGCCGGCGCCCCAACAACCACGTCTCCGAACCGTCGCTACATACCGCCAAGAGACCAGTCGCGCGGCTCCCTCAACTCGGAGCAGTCCTCCCTATCTAGCAACACGATGCAAAACATCCCCGTTGTGCCGCCGTATCCCGGCGACGAGGCGTCGGCGTCCTCCGCACCGTTGGCAGAGGCCATTGCCGAATCATTCCCGCCGCCGCCGCCACCTCCGAAGCAGCAATCGAGTGCGTTCGCCGCTCTGCAGAAAGGAGGAGACCTGGAGAGAAGAGCATCGCGGCGATATTCGCAATATCAAATATCCAAGCACCTAGGCAGCGCCATGAATGGCGTGCCTATGCTACCGTCACAGAACTCTCCCATACCCAACCGTGGCCGAGGTGAAGTGCGAGAGTCTCTGCGTGCTGTGCAGACTCGGGAGACTATCCGTCAAAATCGTGCCTCGAAGCAGCCGCAGTTGGATGCGTCACCCGTCAGGGCTCCAAGTCGTACCAAGGAAGCGCCTCCGTCCGAAGCGCCGATAGCCAGGCCCGAGAGCCCGACGCTTCAGACACCCGAAGACAAGTATCCTAAAGCGAGCGCTACGTTAAAGGGTCCTCTGAGCGATGAGTTCCCCATGTCTCCTGATGACGATCGCAAACCTGAGCCACCCAGCAAGGACGAGCCCAAGGAGTCGCCACGGGCTAAGACGCCCGAAAAGAAGCGGGACAACACCTTTCTTCACGAGCAATCACCGCCGTTGACGACCGACCTAACTTTGTTTTTGCAGTACAAGTCAAAGGTCAAGAAGTTCGTGCTCCCTGAGGGCTACAGCGAACTCTCTATTGGCCGTCTCCAGTTAGCATTCATTGAGAAGTTCTCCTGGAACACGCATGCCAATGGTGCCGACCTGCCGGAAATCTACATCCAAGACCCCGTTTCAGGGGTCAGACACGAGCTCGAGGACCTTTCGGACATCAAGGATCGAACAGTCCTGGTGTTGAACGTCGAGCCGCTTGACGAAGTCAAACGACACATTGACGAGGGTATTGGGCAACTGAAGAAGATCGTACAGGATGTGAAGCAGAACATGGACGATCAGGGCCTGGCGATACAGCGAGTCTCTGAGCGTCAACAGGAGGCAGCCGCAGAGATGGCGAGGCTGGCGTCCGCTCCACCTGTTGTCTCAGCGCCTGCCGACGGGTCCAGGTCTGTGGGTGGCCGGAAGCTCGTTGCTGGACACATTACCGAAATACAAAGCCTTCGCCGTGACCTGGCCGTTATGCGTCAGGCGTACTCCAATTTCCAGTCGGAGATTCAGGGTTCCATGTCTGCTATCCGCGCCAAGGCGAGTAACGTCAAGACTGCAGTTGTCAAGGCCTCGATCCCTAGCATCGAAGGCGAAACCGGTCATGCCTACGTCCACAAGGGCCGCGAACAGCTCAATGCTGACTCTGACCGACTTGTCGCCAAGGTCGACGACCTGCAGGACCTGGTGGAGGACCTCAGGAAAGATGTTGTTCACCGTGGTGTACGGCCGCTACCTAGGCAACTGGAGACCGTGGCCATGGACATTACGAAACTTTCAAAGGAGCTCAAGAAGGTGGAGGATTACATGAAGGAAGAGAAGCCTATCTGGACCAAGATCTGGGAGAAGGAGCTGGAGGACGTCTGCAAGGGCCGTGATGAGCTGCGTCTTATGGAGGACCTCATGATCGATCTGCAGGACGATTTGGAGAAGGCATCAGAGACATTTGCACTAGTCGAGCAGGCTACCAAGGAGCAGCTGAAGGACAACGGAACCACCGCCAGCGCCGGTACCGCTCGCAACTTCTCCAAGGGCCTAAACAACCTAGGAAACAGCTCCGACCCCAACGCAGCCAAGGACGGTGTTCTCGGGGAGGTGAGGGCACTACAGCCCAACCACGAAAATCGACTCGAAGCCATCGAGCGAGCGGAAAAGCTGAGACAAAAGGAGCTTGAGGGCCGCAAGGGTAATGAGCTCCAGAGGGAGCTCTCAAGCTTCGTGGAGGAGGGCAAACTGAAGAAGTCCGGCGGTTTCGAGGAGGTGGAGAGAGCCCGGAAGGCCAAGGACGACATGATCAGGAAGCAAGTCTGGGAGAGGCAGAATGGTATCGTCGCCGAGGAGGGAGAAGAAGAAGAAGAAGTCGAATACGAAGAGGTAGAAGAGGAAGAGGAAGAAGAAGAAGAAGAGCCAGGGGAGGCTGGCGGCGCTGAGGCTGCAGGCGATGCAGACAAGGCCGCTGCGCCAACGGCACCACCAGCGGCGTAGGTTAAGGCTCTACGCGTGCGTCATGCTTGTAACGAGGGCAACTCGATCCCTATTTACTCTACACATTTTTCCCATCCCATGGGCCCCTTTCTCTCTACATGTCCAGATCTCGCATAGTGGAGTACGGGTCACGGTTTTTGCTTATCGAATTCTACACTCGTAATGCAGGATACAGTAGGTTGCCGGCTGGCTGCGTGGTCTCTTTTTCCGCAGGTCAATCTCGGGGTTTAGCGAAGGCGAATTATGAACATTGAATTCTGTAGTGTGGGCATGTCTCCCTACCTTCCATGTGCAATGTTGCACGCGGTCTATCGTGAACTTGAAATTGCCACGGAGCAACCACAGTCAGCATTTGTTCGGTCGAGATTCGCAACGGGGTGACTACATAAGTCGATCGGATCGAGCTTCGGCCGCTTCGCTCTGTAGGCCGAGGTGTTCCACGGAACCGAAAGCAACCCTCTCAGACCTGCCCGTTTACGCCAGCACTGGACATGCCATCTGGTAATGGGAAGTTCAGGACGAACGTTGAGTATTGGGGAAGCGGATAGATTGCAGGATTGTTATGTGTCATGTACGCAGTGTTTCGCCTTTGAATGCTCCATGGTTAAAATGGCGATCAAGTCTTTGTTATCACGCGTCCCTGTCAACAAGCATTTTTCTATTTCCCTACGCATGACTTTTTAAAGATTCACCACACTCCTCTCTACCGGTCGATTTAAATAGTGGGCATATGAATCTCGTCTTCTTGACAAAGTGTACTGAGTCTTGTCGAACTAACTGCTCCTCTCTGCCGTAGCCGATGAGACATGCGTCGAACATGCGGCCATCAGATTGCGTCTCGTCAATAGTTCACGCAAAACATCAAGTATTATCGTTTGGGTGATGACCATCGAACCTCTTAACCAGCGGCTTGATGGACACTTCCGAAGAGCCATTGGCATCGATGTTCTTGGGCTTTCAATCACAAGTCTTGTGGAGTAGGGTTAGTTGCAACGGATCGCATACCACAAGGAGTTTTGGTTGAGTTACTATTCGACTGTACAAATCGTCGACAACACCAGGGGATTGGACCCAGTCCGAATTCCTTGCCAGGATGCTCAGGAACATGAACTCGAGAACGCTGCTCAAGCTGGATGTTCAACCTTTTGAGGTACTATATAGCGTACCGCCAAAAGACCAGCAATCAAGAACAGAGCTCAAGTGCCTCCAAGCCCAACTGAGCATGCCGAGCTGATTATGTCCCATGTGGCTGGGATGGGGGACATCAGAAAACGTGGAACAGCGGCAAACCTGAAGGAGGACCTCGCGAGGAAAGCCCGTCATGAGTTAAGGCAATACGCACCATGTGAACCTGGGAATTTAGTCATGATAGTTCAGGATGGAAAGCCACCAAATTTAGGGCCGAGATGTAGAGGCCCATTCGTAATCTCTGAGAGAGTTGGACAAGTCACGTATCGCTTGAAGAAGCTTGATGGTCAAGATATCCCAGACGATCAATATTGGGATCAGCTTAAGAAATTCACACCGAGAATGGGTCACCTCCAGACCAGCACCGCTTTATCGCTACTGTTCTCACATCCACTCCGACGGCCGCAGGCACCAGCTCGTCGCTGACCAAGCACAGACATCTTGTGCCTCTGCCGAGTGCTAATCTTGTGCAGGCAGACTGTTCCTAACCAGGTAGTTATTGACTTTCTGTTGCATTTTCCCTCTCTCTTGCCTTTTGCTTTTACATCTAACCAACCCTCTCTAGGCTTCTTTTCCTCTCACCCACATCATAAATTCTTCATCCTCTTAACCCACAACAACTCTGCACGACGACGCATTCCCCTCTAAACAACAAACCACCCTTCCTCCTACTTATTTTCCATCTTCACCTTTACCAAAACACCTTATCTTTCCTTCATCTTTTCTATCCTCTTCTCCTCGCTGAGTTCTGGTTGCTGAACTTTTCCGGCTCCGATCGAACGCATCCAGCTCTTCTCCTGCAACGAACTCAAACGCAAGCACTTGGCTCTTTTCATTCTACATCTCTTCGAGCTCCTATACATCAAACACAAAAGCTCAGCTCTGGTTTACAACAAAAGAAAAAATGACAGGCCTGGGCAATCTGGAACCTCTTGGAGGTATCTCGGAACCCCAGGAAGAGGAGGAGATCGACCTCCGCGAGAACCGACCCAGCCGACCGGCTGCTGGGAACGGAAGTGCCGGACAACTCGCCGCTGAAGACGGACATCCAGGCTGGACTGTCCTGGGCCGACTGGCTTGGATATTGAGTGACCAGGTCTTTGATCGTCTCCCTCAAGAGCTGTTCCGACATGAACAAGAGGCCATCCAAGTCGTCATCTTCAATCAACCAATGGCCCTCATAAAGGTCAAGACCTGAGCGGTCAACGAGCACGCCTTCGCCCAGAAAAACAGGCGCAACCAAGGGGTAGAGAAGAACGCACAGAGCCCTAACTCATTCTATGTTGGAGTCAGTGGCAAAGCATTGGTGCCGGTCTTTGCGAGAGGAGCCCCAAAGGCACAGAGAAACCCTCTGAACAGAATCACCTCTGATTATGGAGAGGCAAGCTTTGTTGATGGGGTATCAAAGACAGTCGCTGGATTCCATGTCCCTGCCGTTGACTTCTTGCGAGGAGCTGACCAAATGCTCTATACTAAGAAGCTAACCCTAGGCCCTCTGTACCCCAATAATGCTCCAGACCTTCCCCTGCCCAGCGACGAGGAAATAAAAACTTATCTTACAGACCAAGACTATCGATGGCGAAACGGAATACCCCTCAAAGTCATGATGCTTACTCCAAATACAGCGCCTAGCTTTGCTAACCTTCCTATCACCACCCAACACAGATGGAACGGTGCTGTTCTAAGGGTCCTCCCCCTAGGCGAGCGGGAGGTGCCAATGGAGATTATGGCAGCTGTACAAGACTTCGTTCGACGCTCGGGCGGTGAGCTGTTCGACATCAACTTCTTGGTGCTGATGTGCTTTATGTACCGGAGCTATCAACAGGACCCTCAGCACCAGAGCTTCTTAGAGGAGGCTGCTTGGAGCAGCAATAAAAGAATCAGAAGCAATGGCCTGGTGCCAAAGGTCAACCTGGCTGAATTCCTCGCCTATATGCCGCACATAATCCGCAAGTCAGAACACCTTGGACTGGCAACCTATGGACACCCTTTCAGAGCTGTCTCATCCGCCCTAGCGCAGGATACAAATGTCTTTGGTGATCAGCATTCAGTGCAGAGTACCAGGATCAACGAGGCAGCCGTTATGACTGCGATTGATGACATGGGATTGACGCTGGCCGATTTCCGAGAGGTGTGCCCTTGGGGCTGGCCTGGAAGTGCTCTGCCTACAGTTGGGGGGAACGCAGACTACCCAGCTGTGTCGGAACTGGACCATCGAGACAGAGCTCTGCCGGATGTGATGATTGTCGGCCATCCGGGATACCAGGTCAACACCCAAGCTGACCATCGCTAGTCTACTCGGCACATTCTGGTCCTCCAACAATGGGTTGAGGGTCCCTGCTACGAAGGGCTCGTCATGGACAGAGACATCACTCAGTTCAGCGCTGGCTGTCTGACTCCATATCGCTCTGACAAAACCAAAAGATATGGAGGACGAGCTGAACAACCCCTCTTGGTCACCGCCCCAGAGCTGGTGATCCGCAACCCACGCCCCGGATTCGCAGTAGCTGCCGCCGCCGAGCAAGGGCCTCAGTTCGCAACAGACAACAATGCTGGATTAGTCATTCGGCCTTCGTAACGGTCGCATTCCTTGGGAGCCCTTTATCCGACATGAAGCATTGGCCTACCTGCGACTAGCCCAAACCGAGCAGTTGAACCGCATCCGAGCAGGAGGCCTTGAGGTGAGAGATATACAGGTAGATGGAGTCGGCGTTCTGACATGGGCCGGAGCCCCACCTGTTGACTCAACTGCCTATACCGACAGGATAACAGCCTTCATCGTTAAGCTGACTTGACCTCAAGACCCAGTAGGTCGATCACGAGGCCCGTCTCACCGGCGTGTTCGGCACGCAGATCATGCCATCTGGCGAGGTTGTGACCGAGAAATACATCAAGGCGTTTGGGCATGAGATGTACGCAAGGGTCGGGGCTTCAAAGCAAAGAGGAAAGAAGCAGTAGAGAGGAGGCCGTCACATGTTACATTTCCTGACATATAGGGGCCTCACTAGTCGAATATTCTGAATTGCATCGAGGTTTCCCTTCTGCTTTGTGCATTGTAAAAGACTATGAATACAAAATGCTCTCTTCTTTCCTTCATCTACAAAACCCCTTATTGCTTCCAGTACCCAAACCAGAAAGCCCATCAACACCCCTGTTCAAATCAAACTCTGAATTGTGATACATGGTTTTCCAACGCCGGAAATGTCCGTTTCGCGCCTTACCTGCCGTAACGATCGGGCTGTCTAGCATAGCCGTCATGCGGACGGAGTTGGCGCTGGAGCATCTCTTGCTGTTGTATTTCCCGGGGATCCCTCGGATCCCTGGGGTCGCGGCTCAGCTCGCGCATTTGCATTTCTCGTGGGTCCGGAGGGTAAGGACCGGGAGGCGGACCGCGTGCGTCATATCCTACAGGCGTGTAGCTTCGCTGCGGCATTTGGTCCCGAGGATCTCTGGGCGCAGGCGTAGATGCGTAGCGTGGTGGGTAGGCCTGCTGCGTTTGAGGTGGCATCGGATCTGGCGCTCGCGAAACGGGTGGATATCTGCCTGGCATTGTATGCTGATGTTGGGGAGGAATCTGACCATACATGGGCGCACCTCTGTCGTCGCGCATCGACAAGTGATGATGAGACGGCGGCGGAGGCTGTGGCTGTTGTTGCTGAGGCGGACCAGAGGCCCAAGACTGTTGTGGGACGGCTGGGCCCGCTGGAGGTGCTTTCTGGGCCGACATGTGCGGCGAAGCCCAGTTCTGTGGAGGCGGCGCTTGTTGAGACTGTTTCGGCGGCGGCCCGTGAGACGCCGGTGGCCAAGAGGATTGTTGCTGTGGCGGTTGCGGCTGGCCCATGGCATGGCCCTGCGGTCCGGGAGGCCATGCCGATTCTCGGCTTTGTGGAGGTGGCGGCTCTCGCCTGGAGGCCGACTGATGAACTGCGTATTGAGGAGGTGACGAGCTGGCGTGAGCGGCAGGGGCGCCATAAGCAGGATAGCCGGTTTGGGGCTGATAAGCGTCCCTGGGAGGCTGTGACTGCGACGGGTAAGGTTGCGCAACTTGAGGAGAATTCATGGCCTGAGGTTGGTATTGCCGATAATAATCACGCTCAGCTGCTGCCGCCGCATCGTGCGGAGATGCAATGGCCGACCTTGGCGCGTTCATATGCTGCGATTGTGGCGAAGCAGTGTAGGTTGGCTTCAGAGGTGGCATTGCAGACGCTGACGGAGCGTTTCGGCCATAGGGATAGGCGGGAGGCTCCCGCTCTGGGCGCAACGGGGTCGGAGGAGCAGGGCCTCTCGGCATGCTCTGTGGAGGAGGCGTCGGCGATGGCTTGACTTGGGCCACGTCGTTGAGGCGCTTTGGTTGAGGGGGGGGCGTCGGTGCGGCGGCTGCAGCAGCCGATGGAGGATCGTCATTGAGAAGAGACATGATGTTGGATGTCTTGCGCTCCGAAGCCGACGGCCGAGATGCCGTAGGCGGCGGGGGTTGCAGTTGCTGAGACGGAGTGCCATAAGAGTCCATGTGAGTAGGCATAGGACGTTGTGCAGCAATGGGTCTCGGGCCGGGAGGCGTCGAGGCGGGCGGTTGAGGATCCCCGAGCAAGCGTCCGCCTGGTTGCGGCATGGGCTGGCCATAGCTTTGCGGAACTGGGGTAGCCGTAGACCGAGGTGGTTCGGCAGGCTGCCTCGATACAATTGGGGGTTCAGATCGAGGCGGCAGCACATTCCGGACTGGCTGCTGCCCGTACGAGAATGGCTCATAGTGATGGTGTGGCGGCGTCATCTCAGGCTCTTGCTTCAGTCGTGTACGCTCAGTTGGGCGTAAGGGTTCCTTGGGCTGCTGCGCCTCCATCTTCTGCCTCTCCATCTGTTGCCTCTCCATCTGTTGCCTCTCCATCTGTTGTCGTTCAGCCTGCTGGCGCTCCATTTGCTGCCTCTCCAGTTGCTGTCGTTCGATCTGCTGTCTCTCGATGGCTTGTCTCTCAAGCTGCTGGCGTTCGATTTGTTGCCTCTCCATCTGCTGCCTCTCGATCTGTTGCCTCTCAATCTGCTGCCTCTCGATCTGCTGGCGTTCGATTTGCTGCCTCTCGATTTGCTGCCTCTCAATCTGCTGCCTCTCGATCTGCTGTCTCTCAATCTGTTGCCTCTCAATCTGCTGCCTCTCAATCTGTTGCCGCTCCAACTGTTGTTGCTCCAGTCTCTGCCGCTCGATCTGCTGGCGTTCGATAGCTTGGCGTTCCATCTGTTGCTGCCTCTCCGCTTGTTGTCGGTCAACCTGCGGTTCAGGCTGTGCAGGTTGAATGGGTTGCGCCGCAGCAAGAGGTCGCTGTTGGGCGGGTTCGATGACTGGAGCTGCAGATGGCTTCTGAGAGATCCTGATTGGTGGAGGGGGTTGCGTCGGTTCTCGTTCTCGCTCTTGGAAGCCAAAGGCTTGCTGAGGCGGGGCTCTCAGGGGACGGGTAATGGGCGATCCTGACTGCGTAACTACAGGCTGAGACGCTGGATGCTGCTGTTGGACTGCGATAGGTGTTTGCTGAGGGGCCTGAGGGGGAGCCTGGGTAGCAGCAGTTGGAGTGGGTGGAGCTGCCTGCGCCAGAGGTTGCTGCTGCGGCTGCTGCTGCTGTTGAGGCGGCGGTGCCGAAGTAATGGGCATTGGAAAGCGACCAAAAGGTGGGTTTCCAGGTTGTTGGACAGGAGTCTCAACCTTTGTTGCAGGTGCTTCGCCCGGCAGCTCATTCGTTCCGGGCGGCGCGGGAGTAGCAGGCGCAGAAGCGAGAGGCCGGTTAGACGCCGCAGGCGTAGAGTCGTACTTCTTGCGTCCGCCGACGGTTGGTGGAGGTGGATCGGGTAGCTTCTCTCCTCTGCTTCGTTTCCCATCCGCCTCAGATGCAAATTGCTCCCACTCTGCCTTGCCCTGGTCTCTCTGTCTAACAAAGTAATTCTTCACCATGACAGCTGTCTTTGAGCCCATGTGTCCCGCAATAGCTGACCAGTCAGTACCAAACGACTTTAACAAGCCTGGGAAGTCATTTGCTTCCGAAACGCTCCAGTAACTCGAAGCCTGACTTTGAGCACGGCGTTCAGGCTGTGGCTGAGCGATATCGAACGTCGCTATGGTGGGCTGCGCAGGAGGTGGTGGCGGCTCCGGCCGCAGAGATGGAGGCGCCATCACTTCGGATATCGCAGAAGGGGTGGCAGAAACGGGACGTTCCTGAACCACCAGAGGTGACTGTTGAGCCGGAACAAGCGGAGATTGGACGCCCGTTGTTGGTACTTCGAACTGCGATGGAAGACGATTCTCCATCGGCACGGGTGGTGGTGGCTGGAATTCGGGGTTCTGGACCCTCGAATTGGAGCGAGACCGCCCCTTAGCTGCAGTTGTTGCCGGAGCCGCGGCAAGAGTCTGTTGTGGTTTGGCGGCCTTGGGCTCCTTGTCCTTCGCAGCTCTCCTCCCCCTCTTCCTGCCGTCTGGCTTTTCGGGGTCCCCTTTGGCTCCACGACGGCCAGGTGTGCCGGTGGGTGTTGCGTTATCGGAATCCGTAGGAGGTTGCTCAAAGCCCCACGTTGGAGCAGCAGCGCGTCGCGGCCGTCTTCTTTCTCCATTTTCACCATTTTCCTGGTTCTCTTCACCCTCGTTTTCGGCATTGCCTAGCTCCGAGACCAAAGCGCTAGATCGTGTTTTGCCTCTGCCCTTCTTCCTGCGCTTGGGCTGCTTCTTGAGCTTCTCTTTGAGGTTGAGCTCTTTCTTCATCAGGTAGTAGTACTGGATACAAGTACCGAAGTTGCGTTTCGGGATATTCTCGGCAACCACACCCCATTGTTTCGGATTGGTGAGATACCTCTTCTCGAAGAGTTCCGCTTCTTCGGGCGTGAAGTTGTTGATTGGCGGCAGGATCTGCCAAGCGGGCACAAGCTTTTCCACGGGCGTGAAACCGGTGGTGTCCTTGAAGAACTCGGCGTCACGATCCTCCTTTGTCCAGTACATTTCGGGAATGACCGCCTCCTTGTCACTGCGATACTTTTCTTGCATAGCGCGCTGCTCTCTTTCCTTCCGTTCCTCGTCCTCTCTCATGGAAGCTTGCAGGACTCTTTCCAGGTCACGTTCGCTTGCATACCTTCTTCCGGCCCCCCTCCCTTCTGGCTTGAGTTCAGGTGGAGGAGGAATGGGCACGTGCTTTTCGGGTGTCGGCAAGCAGCTGATGAATGTCTCTCGACTCTTGACAGCGATCGGATCGGTTGAGACCGTAAAGTCAAGATATTGGACGTAATTATTAGCGTAGTCCTTGCGCGCATGTTCCTGTCCTGCCATCTTCTCCAGAGATATTTTATCGAGTTGCTGCAGGATGAAATTGTCGATCATGGGGTCTGAGTCGAGGGATTCCAAGAAATCCCTGTCCCGGTGCCAAGCGCGACAGCTGTAGTCGGGCAAACTATCAATGGGAGGGGTTGCCGAGTACTGTCGAATCGTATCAATGAGCATAGCATCCGAATCAACGTCGTCAGACTCCGTCGAGTTGTCCTCATCGTCGTCTTCCATCTGAGAGGGTGTGCTCGGCAGAGCCTTGTCCCCTTCGATAGTCTCAATCGGCAGACCAGGTGGTTGAAGAAGTACGGGCTCATCGTTGGTGGTCGATTCCTTTGGTTCGTCGTGCTCTACATTTGGCTTTGCAGGTGGATTTTCGGCTTCAACGGCATCTTCCATGGTAATATCGGCATCCTTTGCTGGTTCAGGAAGCCTGGGAGGGGAAGGCGCAGAAAGGATAGAGGCAGGCTCGTCGACATCCATTTCCTCGGTCTTGGGCTGCGGTTCGTTAACGACGGCATCAAGCGGGGGCCCTTCAGTCCTTTCGACATCGGTTTCTGGTGGCTTTTCGGCGGCAACTTCGACAGCCACTTCTGTGATTTTCTCTCTGGGCTTCTCGGGAATCTCGTCTTGAGGCCTCTCGATGGGCCTCTCGATGGGCCTCTCGATGGGCTCCTCGGCAGGCTTTTCGACAGGTTTTTCATCGGATTTCTCCACGAGCTTCTTGGAAGGCAATGCAGTCTCGTTTTCGACCTCTTTTTCAGCCTCCTTTTCGATATTCTTTTCGACCTTCGTTTCGACCTCCTTTGCGACCTGTTGTTCTGTCTCTTTATCGGTTGTCTTCTTGGTCTCCTTCTGAACTACGGCTTGCTCTGGCTCCTTCTCAATCTGGGGCTCTGGGGCTGGTGCAGCTTCGGTTTCTGACGCTGGGAAAGTCTCCTCTAGCGATGGCTTGGTTGGCACAACAAGGCTCGGCGTCTGGTGTGGCTTTTCGTGCTGCTCGACAATAGGCGACTTGGCAGCAGGTGTTTCCTCCTTGACAGGTTCGACGACGACCTCGGGGACCGGGCCGAGCATATCGACGAGGCCCTCCGATTCTGTGACAAGCGCCACCAAAGCGTCGTGTGAGACTTTTGCGTAGCGAGCGAGGGTCTTGTCCGCAGCCTTATCGGCCCTCTCGCGTAGCTTTTCCAGTTCCCCCTCTTCTTTGGCGATTTCCATGGCAAAGTATTCGCCGTAATCCTCATCGTCGTCGGATTCGGATGTCTGCTCGGAAACAGGCGCCGATGGTTCTTGCGGGGGCAATACAAACCGAACTCGTGGCACCGACATTCTGCTTTCCTTGGCAGGCCGAGACGGTTCTTCTTTTTTCTCCACAAAGCTCTCATCGATAGACAGCTTTTCATGCGGAACCGACTTTTCTTTACCTCGTGATGGGGGCCAGCGATCGTCATATGCGTTGGCGTCGGTTCCCGCCATAATCGTATCGTGGGCGTCCGGGTGCTCTGAATCACGATCCATCGATCCTCTGGTCGAGTAACTGTCTCGTTCGGATTTGACGATAATTTCACCAGGCTCGGGGAGGTTGAGCGACTTCACCGAACCTTCGGTGGCAGAGTTGTGAGAGTCGGCCTTGGCATCACTACTGCGGGGGCGCCTATCGTAATCGCCTTGCTCTGCTGGAACGCTGTCATGGCGGAATGGCACCGGGCCCTGCTGCTGGGCGAAGCTCTGTGACCGCATGGTCTTGGGTGACTCAGGAACCTTCTTCCCACCTAATGCCGGGTTTATCCACTGCTTGCTGGAAGGTCGTTGCTGCTTCTGCTGTTGAGCACGTGGGCCTGATGGTATGGGCGGGCTGCCCTCTGCGAGATTCATTTTTGCTGGTCCGCTAGGAGGCACTGGGTAATCGCCGCCGCTGCCGCCGCCGTGTCCTGCGGAGACGGGTCGTTCAGAGTTAAAGGCTCTCGGAGCTGTGGGGGGCAATTTACCGGTGCCCCCAATGATGGGTGATCCGTCAGCGGCGCCGACATTCCTACTGGGAACCGTCCCAAAAGCAGGCGCCGAGGGGGCCAGAGGTGGCGGCGACACATCCTTCGTGTTCGGTGATGGTGCTTGGGAGGATATGCCTCGGTCGCGTTCGCGGTCGACCTTGGGCCTCAGTAACTCGCGTTCGCGAGGGTCGCGGTCGTCTCGAAGATCTCGGCGAGCGTCGGGATCGATCCATCGGTCGCCGCGGTCTCGTTCGTCTCGGTCACGACCCCAGCGCCCTTCCTGGGAGCGGCTGCGGGGTCCGAAGCGATCGCGGTCATCGTAGAAGCCGCCGCGTCCTCTGCCACCTCTGTCCCAGCCGCCACGTCCTCGGTCTCTGCCTCCTCTGAAGCCGCCGCGAGGCATACCGAAGGGGGGGTCAGAGTTGGATGATCCAGCGGAAGGCGGGCCGCCGTCTCGGGAGCCTCTCCTAGACCTTTCGGCGTCGACGCCTAGAGGTGGGTCTCGGTCGCGAAAATCCCGCTGTGGTGGTGAGCGTCCTCTTCCAGGCGATCGCGGGCGTCCCCGATAGCTCTCTCTGTCTCGGCGATCCCAGTCCCGGTCGCGCTCGCGACTTCTCTCGTCTCTATACGGCCCATCGCGTCGGTCCCTAAAATCAATGTCGCGGTCTCGGCCGCGGTCCCTGCTGTCATCGCGAACCCAACCACGGCCACGGCCTCTTCCTCGGCCTCTAAAGTCACCGGCATAGCCGCCGCCGCGAGGACCGCTGGGGGGGTCTAGAAGTGCCTTGGGGCCCCGGGGAGGATCGCGGGGGAGGTTGTCGCGGAAGGAATCCCTGTTGTTTTGGAAGGCGGAAGTGTTGGAACGCGCCTCGGCGGAGGATCGACGGCGGTCGCCATCGCTGTACTGGGATGCGCGTTCGTAGCGATCGGGCGAGCGGTCACGAGGCGACCTCGAGCGCCGATCCCCACTGTCATACCTCGAGGAATATCTCGAAGCCCTGTAGAGATCGTTATTAGCATGAAAGGGTCGCTCGACGGAACGCCTCGCATCGGTATGACGCCTCATGTGGTCATACAGGGGGCGCATCGGGATGTTGGGTGCGTGGCTATCTTGACTCGATTTGTTCCGAGCGAGGCCAGGTCTGGGTCTGGCGTGCGTGTGTGTGGGATCGGAAACGAAGATTCAACTCGGGGTCGGGTTTGTTGCTCTCGACTACTCACATCTCACTAGGCCGGGCGACAGCCCTTAAAGTTGCCTATGATAAAAAAGGACCTCCAGTACCATATGTGTAATGATTGGGACGTGGAACCAGAGAACCTTGGTCGTTCGTGGGTCGTTGAAGACTTTTGGAGTGGCCGGGTCCCAACCTCGGATAAGGGTTGCTGGGTGTGGTGGTGTTCAGGAGGTGGGAAGGAGGGAAGCGGACACGGCGGGGAGTGGGTGCATCCGGCGGCAGCGGGTCGTTTGTTGGGTTTGCGCAAGGTATCCTGTTTGGAATCTGATTGTATCGATAGTCGAGGGATAGAGGTAGCGAGTGAAAGCTATGTGGTGTTCCTCGTGGGTAAAAGCTGCTTCGAGATGCGCGGGCGTTGCGGCGGGGGGGTGAGGCGTTTGTGTGATGTTGAAGCGCAGAAGATGCGACGCCCACACTCGGGGAGCAAATCGTGTGATGTTGAAGGATTGAAGACGGTACCCCGGCCAAAGGTCCAGCCTACAAAATACGGTTCGCGTGCAGTGGCGCTTAATCGTGCTTGGCTTGGAAAGGCTCAGGTTTCGACCTCAGAATTCCGCCGGGGCACCGCCAGGCCGCGAGCCTTTTACCGCCGAACGCGCTAGACCTCTTCGAGTCTTGTAGCGGACCCCGGCACTTTTCCCAAGTGTCAGGCCAGCAGGGCTCTCTCTGGTAGGTGCCTACTACCTAGGTACTCCGGAATCTCAGTTTCCAAGAGCTGCAGTACGTACCTCACCTTGCTTATCTAAACATCTACCTACGTGCCTACCTCACGTGCCTTAGATGTTTTCCATCGTTTCCGCCTCTCGGTTCTCAGTCCGTCATGGCATGTCTCTGTGGTTTCTTTCATCTGTCAGCGTTCCCCCACAGCTCAGGCACACAGGCGGCACATACACACCCACACACGCATACACACACACACACACACACGCCTATCAATGCGCATACACACCACACCACATCACACACCAGACGCCAGGGCCAGGCACACACCCTACACGTTGTTGCCGTGTCGCCTTGTCATTAGGTGATGAGGTCCGCTGGTGGATACTTCCGAGAACGGCTAGGGTGGGGCCTGTAGTGTGCACTCCCTGCGGCCTTGGACTCCACCTTTCCGTCAAAATTCTTTGCAGAGTGGAGTCCGTCTTTTTCAGACATCACGGCCGTGGAGTCATTGCATGCCCGCCCAGATGGAACCGTTGAAGTGGATGTGGATGGAACTTTCACAGCATAATATTCTGTTCGCACCTTATTCATTGCCGAACTTGCCGCGTTCTCAGCGACGAAGAAGAAAGGCAATTGTGTGTGTAGACGTAGTATGTTGGTGTTGATTTGAGACCGGGACAGGGTTCTTGTCTGATAGCCTTCCAGCTCGTCGATTCTCGTTCCCACAATTCGTTGTGAATTACCTACCTACCCTGCCTTAGATCGCCACTCCCCTCACCGGTATGTCAACCAGTCCCATTCGCCGGGCTTGAGACAATCTCATTTGTTTCACGCACTGTTTTCGGTCTTTGACTGACTTGGTAGCGCATCGCGAAGCAAGCAACATGGCGCCTCAAGAAAATCCCAACGCCCCACCAGCAGCAGCCACCGATGCCGTCCTCGTTGTGTCTGAGGAGATGCCAGAGGGCGCCCAAAAGGTCGAGGAGTTGGACTTTGATGACCTCAATGGCCCCATCACAGCCGAGGATCTATTCAAAGGCATGAGATACATGGGCTTCCAGGCCTCATCTCTCAGCGAGTCCATCCGCATCATCAACGACATGGTGAGCCGCTCCCACGTCTGTACCTGATGCAACTCTGCTGACAGGGGTCCCAGAGGGCATGGCGCGACCCAGAAACCGGCGACAAGACCACCATCTTCCTCGGATACACCTCCAACATGATATCCTCTGGCATGAGGGGAGTCTTTAGGTGGTTGGTCAAACACAGGCACATCTCCGCTATTGTAACAACCGCCGGAGGCATCGAGGAGGACTTCATCAAGTGCCTGGGCGACACTTACATGTCCTCCTTCAGTGCCAACGGCGAGGACCTGCGTAAGAAGGGCCAGAACAGAATCGGCAACCTCGTCGTCCCCAACTCCAACTACCGCGCCTTCGAGGACTGGGTCGTGCCCATCTTTGACAAGATGCTTGAGGAACAGGAGGCCAGCAAGGGCACCGAGGAGGAGATCAACTGGACACCTTCCAAGATGATACACAGGCTGGGCAAGGAGATTAATGACGAGCGCTCCGTCTACTACTGGGCGTGGAAGAATGACATTCCCGTCTTCTGCCCAGCGCTCACGGACGGAAGCTTGGGAGACATGCTGTACTTCCACACCTTCAAGACATCGCCGAAGCAGCTCAAGTGTGATATTGTCGAAGATATCCGACGTATCAACACCATTTCCGTTCGTGCAAAGAGAGCAGGCATGATCGTTCTGGGTGGCGGTGTCATCAAGCACCATATTGCGAACGCATGCTTGATGCGCAACGGAGCCGAGTCAGCTGTGTACATCAACACTGGCCAGGAGTTCGACGGAAGCGATGCCGGTGCCAGGCCAGATGAGGCTGTCTCTTGGGGTAAAATCAAGATCGGAGCCGACGCCGTCAAGGTATGTCGCTGAGAATAGGAAAGAAAAATCCGAACCTGCCGCTAACTTGTGCTTCTAGGTCTATGCGGATGCTACCCTGGTATTCCCGTTCATTGTTGCAAACACCTTTGCCAAAGATCGCTCCTCATAGATGTCAGAAAAAAATGAGGAAAACTCCAAGGCGCTTCCGATTTGATGCTTACGGTGTGCCGCAACTTCAACTCTACAGGATGAACATTGCCTCTTTGGCTATCGGCATGATACTTTTGGTCCCGCTTCCACGTATGTGCCTATTTGTCCTTGTGCTGGTGTTCTAGGAATCCTACTTGCCGCTTTCCGTTATTGTCTGTCCCAAAGGACATAGTAGCAGCGCTTTTCAACAGCGTACACCTATACTGGTTAGATTTCGCTCGTCGAAGACACCAAAATATGTCTGTATTGTCGTAGACGCGTGGGGCTTTCCTTATTGATATGATGGTCTGTGTCCAAAGAGCGCTGTACTTTCGACAGTAGTTGAAGGAGCCGTTGAAGCATTTTGGGTAGATGTGTTGCTTGTTCCACCGTACCTGCCTCTAGTGCCCCTTGCTGCATACGTATCTTCCAAGGGGCTTAGCGAGATCTATTCCCCGCGTGAAATGTCCATACAGCACTGTTGTCCAGGGAGTGATATTACCTATAAAAAAAAACTAAAAAAACTAAAAAACTAAAAAACTATTACTTTCCAAAAATTCTGCGAAATACGACGAAAGTAGCCTCATCATAAGCCATATTCTCACAGATGTAGGACGATAAAACCCTTCAGTGGAGAATGCTCTGCTCCGGGAGCGACAGTCCCCCTATGGGTCATAAAACCACCATAACGGGAAGATGCGCGCATCGTCTATCCACTCCGCATACGCTAAAGCACAAATATCACTAGGCACTACCAGAACAAGTAGCGCTTGGCGCTAGACTTGGACTCGTTGTTCATCTGAGCACATCCTAGTGATTTGAAATGACGAACTTGAGACACTCGTCAGGCTCAACGTGTGTGTATCGGAGATGCTCAACTTAGACACCCAAAGTCACTAACGATAACCAAAACTGGGCGTATCAAGAGACGTCCATAGTTACCTGCTTCCTAGGCAAGTTTATTAACTCGGCAGCTTCTCCGAATGGCCCAAGACAATGGGCCGCAACCAAGGAAGCGGTACCGAACGGGATGACGTTGGTAGACACACGTGATCGATCTTATCGATAAGAGTTGCAACGTAGGACGAACAAACATGGGTGGCTCAAGAAACTTTGGAATACCATGGTTGCATCCACCCCCATCTCCACGATTCTGCGTTGCATATATCAGCCTTCTCCTCCCTCGTTGTTGCTCTAGTAGGAGGCCCGATTACAACAGGGTTTCGTCGCGGCCGGCCACGATGTCGGCCATTTACAACCTCGAGCCGCAACCGACGGCGTCCGTCATCCTGCACACCACTCTAGGCGACATCTCTGTTGAACTTTTCGCGAAGCAAACGCCACTCACTTGCCGTAATTTCCTCCAGCTGGCCCTCGATGGCTATTACGACAACACGATTTTCCACAGACTCGTACCGGGATTCATATTGCAGGGTGGTGACCCGACAGGAACAGGTAACGGCGGCGAGTCGATCTACGATGGAGGCGCATTCGGCGGCGAGCTGGATCCCTGGCCGATGGATGAGCGACGAGGTCATAACGCCGGCCCGACGGGCATTGGCTTCAAGGATGAGTTTCATTCAAGATTGAAATGGAATCGGCGTGGCCAGCTGGGAATGGCAAACGAGAGCAAACCCGACACGAACGGCAGCCAGTTCTTCTTCACGCTCGACAAGGCGGATGAGCTTAACAACAAGAATACTCTGTTTGGTCGGGTGGCCGGCGATACGATCTACAACCTGGCGAAGATGGGCGAGGCCGAAGTGACCCCAGGCACCGACAGGCCCACGTATCCAGTCAAGATCACGAGCATCGAGATCCTCGTCAACCCGTTTGAGGATATGGTGAAGAGAACGAGAGTCGCGACCCAAGCCCCGAAGACGGTTCCTGTCGAGAAGAAGAAGAAGAGAAAGGGCGGGAAACAATTGCTGAGCTTCGGAGACGATGAGGGAGATGCTGAGGAGGTCCCGGTGCTCAAAAAGACAAAGTACGACACGAGAATAGTGATGGACGTTGACGATGAAGAACCAGCCGAGAAGAAGCCGGCTAAAGCCAAGTCGAAATCCAAGGCAAAAGTTGAAAAAGTTGGCACCCCGGAAACCCAAAGTCGTCCCGACTCCGAGCCTGCCGAGGAGCAGAAGACAGCATTGCCGAAGGGAATTTCATCAGACGAGAGCAAGAGGGACATTCCTATCCGGCTTCAGGAGTCACCACCACCTGAGCCCGAGGTTCGGAATACCAAGTCCGCCCTGGAGAGGACCAACGAGGAGATTGCAGCGTTGAAAGCCTCGATGAAGCGGAGCTATCAGCCCGAACCGGTCAAAGAAACAAGGAAATCAGCACTGGAAAGCATGATTCCGGAAACATCAATTCGAGGCAGGAGGAGAAGGCCCGGCGGCAATGGGAACCCTCGTGACGATCAGCAAGCGCTTGATTTTCTGAAGGCTTTCAAATCAAAGCTGGAGCAAGCTCCGGAGGGGAAAAGCAACGGAGCCAGCTCCTTGGATGGCGACGTGGCTGCCAGGGAGGAAAAAGCAGGGGACGAAGAGGCCGAACTTTGCGATCTGCACTTTATTGCCGATTGTCAGAGCTGTAAGGCGTGGGACCAGGCCGCCAAGGAAGATAGCGACGACGAAGGGTGGATGTCACGCGCGCTCAGCTTCAAGGCGGATAAGCTGGGCAAGGACCTCAGTTATCGCAAAAAGGCTGAGGAAGAACTGGTGGTGATCGATCCCAGAGAGAAGGCCCGGACGCTGCAGGAAGAGAAGAAGGCATCGAGAGAGGCCCGGAGCGGAAACTCCGGGCGGGAGTGGGACAAGGCACGGAACTCGAAAATGGCACGAGCGTCGGCTCTCGCGGGGAGAGGGGCCAGGTAGTGTAGAGAGAGAGAGAGAGAGAGAGAGAAAAGAGAGAGAGAGCATTAAGTCCATTGACAAGGATGAAATGCGAGCCGGTAGGCATAGTTGCAACAGCGCAATGATACCCCCCGTCCCTGGCTGAAAGAGATCGAAGATGAATTTCTCATAAGGTTTTGAGGTTGCGTTAGTCGGTGTAATTCCTTGATGCTATTCAGACAATAATAATTGGACTGGGCCCATGTTGGAAGGACTGAGATCGAAAAATAAGCTCGTCATCGGGGAAAATGACGTTTGCCAAAACGAAGCTCCCCACTGACCCCACAGGCTTCATCGAGATGGTCTCAAGTGAGGGCGGGTGTCGCCGAGGAGAAAACGGCAGTTCAGCCAAGTCCAGACCCTTGATTGGGTGCACGTCTGTAATAAGTGTAGGTACACATGGCGGACTGGGTGGGAACACGTCCCCTAATTTTGGGCACTGGAGTCACCCAAGTCAGCAACCAGCCACTGTTTTGCAGCGGTACACTACCTGGCAGCGGTCTGTACTGCTTACACAACCATCTGCACGTGACCATGCTGGTGAGCATGCGCCTCATTTCGAGTTTTGATTGGACCGGACAATCTGTCCCGTACTCAAGGGACTTGATCCTGACCAGTCAGTCCTGCTACGACCACGGCGCTGTTGGAACGGGGGTTGTCTGATGGGGCTTTCCTGATGGGGAGAGTATGCTCCTGGGTCCCGAGCCTGCTGCAGGCGGATGTGCTTTGAATGCTGTCTCCACTCGGAACCGGACTCAGCCTTGGGCCTCCAGTACCTGTCCTGTCCCGGCTTGATAAACATTGATAACAGAAGCATACCATCCCACCAGAGACAACAGCTTCAGTTCCAACCCGACTCTTTGAAGTTTAGACTCTTACTCACTTGGAAACGAAATCTTTTCTCTTTGCCCTTTAACGGCGCACCTTTTTGTCACGTCTGTCTACAGGTGTCTCAAGTGCTACTAGGCCCAGATAGAGAGAGAGAGAGAGACGTTGTTTCCTGTAGCTTCCTATTACCAAGACAGACAAGACACTCCATCATCCAACCCCACCACACAAAAAAAAGTTGTGTGAGAGGGAGACGCGCTACAACGCCCGCAGCCAACGGTCAGCACAGCACTGAGCGCTGCGCACCACCTCCTCAAGCACACAACCTCCGCTGGCGCCTAACGCCTTGCGCTGCGCCTTGCTTGCTTGCTTGCTTGTCTGAGTCCTACCTCCCTCACCTCACCTCGAATTACCTAACCACGACCTCACCTTTTCCACCAAAAGAAGCGGAACTTGCCATTCAAAGCTTTCGCAGCAGCATCCTCCGCCAGCGAGACAATCCCAACCCTGCGCCGAAACCCACACCCGACCGACCGCGACAAGGACTCCTTTGCCGGCCTATTGTTCCGACTATTGTTGTCCGTGTCTTCCCTCCACAATAGACTTCCTTTGCGAAAGCTTCCATCGCACTCCTGACGATTGAGTCAGGCCTCCCCAGCTTGCCTTTCAATCCCCTGCCGTCACATAGAGACGGAGTCACGGACGGCGACTAGACGACGACATCGACGACGTATATAGGCCCGCGGCCGTACCCATTCACCACGCCTTCCACCCGGCGCGCCTTTCTGGCGACGACGTTTCCCCGATTCCAACCAGTCTTGGTTTTGCGCATACAATAAGCGCCTATCCCGATTCCATCGGCGCCGTTCCGAACCGCTTCGTCCGTCGTTGCTTCCCATTATCGACAGCCGCCTCCAGCACGCGGTTTGTCTGCTCTCGGAGAGGCTGTACACGGCAACCTGCAGCCTGCCTCCACCCACCAACAAACGAGCCTTACTGAGTAGGACATCCCCGCGGTTGCTATCGCCTTCGTCTCGAGGCTCTGCTTAGCCGGCGACTAGGCCGACACAAAACGGACTTCTTCGCCTCAGCACATACCCACTCAAACACATGCATATTCCCAAGTCTTCCAACACTCGAAAGCGACCAGCGCCAGGAACCGCACCCACCATGCCGATGCCCCAAGTGCAACAGCCCTCATTTCCCAGTCCAACGGGTGACCAGTTCCTGCGATGGGGAGGAGCGGCGGATGCAAATGGCCTCGTTGACGGAACCGGGGCCCCGGCCATCAGTCCGTATGGCATTGTCCCCGGCCAGCAACAGCCGTTCGTGCAGCCTACACCAAGCCCTAACAATGCCCTTGCACGGAGGCAAATAAACAGAGCGCTCGTTCCCACTGGCGTGAGGCAGAGCTTCGACCCGCCGACTGACCCTTGGTCCTTTGGCGGTGAAGACTCTGCACTCTTGCAGCAACAAGCAAACGGAAACATGGCCGACACCGACAACATCGAGGTCTTGGAGGAGATGGCCAGGAAGGCCATGAGAGAGGCACAGCAGAAGCGGAAGCAGATCCCGCCCTTCGTGCAGAAATTGAGCAGGTCAGTAGGAGGCTCCACCTCTCAAACACGCCATGAAGGCGCCTTTGGGAGGCGGGAAAATCGCAAACAAGACCCTGCATACTGACATGTGCTAAGCTTCCTGGACGATGACAAGAATTCGGAGCTCATTCGGTGGTCTGAGAAAGGCGACTCTTTCATCGTCCTCGACGAGGATGAGTTTGCCAAGAAGCTGATCCCGGACCTCTTTAAGCACAACAACTATGCTTCTTTCGTGCGGCAGCTCAACATGTACGGCTTCCACAAGCGTGTCGGCCTGTCGGACAACTCGATGCGCGCAAGCGAGCGGAAGAACAAGAGCCCTAGCGAGTACTCGAACCCGTTCTTCCGACGAGGTCACCCGAACCTCCTCTGGCTCATTAACAAGCCGAAGGGCGGCAACAAGGGCAAGAAGGGCAACAAGAACGCCGAGGTCGAGGGCGACAGCGAGGAGGATGCTGTCATCACTGAAGACACAGTGGGCCAAGGCTTCGGGGCTACCAGTGCCCCTGCTAGCAAAGCCTTGCCACCCTCTGGCGACATGCCTCTTCAGAAGAAGGAGATGGTGCTGATTCGCGAAGAGCTGGCCAAGGTGCGGGAGCAACAACGGATGATCATGACGGCCATCCAACGGATCCAACAAGATAACTCCGCGTTGTATCAGCAAGCCGTCGTTTTCCAGAGCCAGCACGATCGCCACCAGAACTCGATCAACGCCATCTTGAACTTCTTGGCCAATGTCTTCAGGAAGACACTTGAAGACCAAGCCGGACCCCAAAGTGTCAACGACCTTCTGGCGAGCATCATCCCGAACAGCAACAGCGCCAACTCGGTTCCGCAAGGAAGCGTCGTCGACTTGGGTGAATACGTCCAAGCAGCGCAAAACTCGGCCAGTAACAACAACATGAATCTTGCCAAACGTAGGCATGCGATTCTGCCTGCCATGCCTAATGGACGTACCAACACAGTCTCGCCACCTCCGGCTGCCGATTCATCCACCCCTCAGCCGTACAATCGCGAGATGGGCACGGTTACGGAGCTATACGATACCCCCCCTGGCGATCAGACCTCGCCCAGCAACTATCTGGCGCAAGAGCTCGAGACCAATCCCCACGAGAGCATGATGAAGATCATCCACGATACCAACGCCAACAACTCATCCGGCATTGACCTCCCTCACGTTGTCAACAACACGCCTGCAACGATGAGCAATGACCAGCGGAACAAGATGCTCAACGCAATGGCTGGTCGGTCGGCAACACCCTCCACCAATGCTCCCCGGTCTGCCAACCCCTCAGTCTCGGCCTCTCCCAATCCGCCCGCACCGTCAGTCACCGCGACCCCCGAGACGCCGCCTCCTGTGCCTGCTACTTCGGGTCTTTCACTTTCACCCATTATGGGTTCCGCCGCGCCGCCACCTTCACTGCAACAGATCAACTTCAACCAGGAAGATCTTGCGGCTCTGCATCGCATGCAAGAAGAGCAGGCCGCTAAGCTGGACCACCTCTCGAACATACTTGGGCCACTCAGCCCGTCAGGTCGCATACCCGGCATCAGCGAGAATGGAAACGTGAACGGCTACTTTGACGGCGATCTAGACATTGACCAGTTCCTCAATCCCGACGCTTTCCAGGGTGACAATGCCTACCCCGGCGTCAACTTCAATGGTGACGGGAACGACTTCAACTTCACTCTTGACGGATCTGTCCCTAACAACGGCGGCACTGACGTCAACAGCACGCCGAGCTCTACCGCAACCGAGGATATTCCGCGGAATGATTTGGACGGGCTCAATGGAAGCCCTGGCCGCGGTAACAAACGGCGACGGGTAGGCTAATGACTGATGAAAGGAAGGACTATCTGTCTACTGGTATCTTTACATGACTTTCCTTTTTGGGCAGCACCAAACGGTTTGGTGTACGGTCTTGAATCATATTTTCTTAATGACACAAAACGGCGGTGGGCATTTTGTTTTCTTCCGCTTTTTATCCTCTCTCGTTTCTGGCAGATGTTGGGAGGCGGTTGGTTTCGTTGCTTGCGTGGGAAGAGCATGATATCCAGAAAAATTGCCGTTTTCTCTTTTTTCTTTTTTCCTCCTTCTTTTTTCTTCCTCATGCTAGTCTGGGAACAAGGCGGTGTTTGGGCAGAAGGGGGGAGGTGGGGAGTTACGTTGAGGGAAACAAACACAACAGCACGTATGCCCCCGATGAGCGAGTAAGTGGTTCGCTCGCTAGACTCTCAACTCAGGCACGAGTATGAGAGAGAATAAAGCACCCCGGGACGGGTTTTCCCTGCAGAGCTAGACTTGCCGCTTCTAATGGTGACTCTCTCAACGCCGGTCTTGACCAACGATGCATGCCTGCCTGGGTCGAAAGTGAATTGCCGTGGTTTGCGTCATGTGTCCGGGAAAGCACTGGTTGGTCGAGTGCGAACTCATTTTGTGTTCGTTCGTCAACATTCCAGCATGAAACGACATCAGACATTTGCGGGCACTGAGATCGACTACGGCAGGGCACGCCGCACGGCCGTGTCGTCGTTGTTACTTCACAACGGGCAACAGTCGAGGTTCGTAGGCAAACTCATCACCATCTGCGACACCTGTGACGACTGCAGTTGTAAGGGGAGAGAGGATAAACGGCCAAGGGGGTGGGCACCAACGCGATCCTGATTCCTCTTCTTGCATCATCTTGATGGGCTTTCCAGGCCGCTTCAAACGACTTGTGGGGCTTGCAACGAATACCTAACACTACATGGCTACGTAAGAATCCGGTCAGCCCTGACGGCTGTTCTGGCGGCTTGGGCGGATCAAGGTTCGCCGTTGCAGATACCGAAACCCGAAGAGCCGCTTGCAGTCGTTCCTCCTTTCTCGGCCAGACCATTCCCAAGGTCCTATGATCCCGGAGCGGCGGCGGCGGCGGCGGCGGCGGTACGGTATGGTACGGGTGGGGTGAGAGGTTTGGATTCAACGCGGGGTTATATCATCGGCGAGTCGTCACGGGGATGCTTTGATTCGCTCGGTGGGCGTCCTGAGCGGCGAGAGGAATGCCCCACCCCCAGGGGCTCGCATGAACGCGTCGACACAGAGGCTTGCCGGGAGGTAAGTATGGGGGGTCCGTCGAAGATTGAGAAGCAGGAGCCGGCGTGCATCGGTGGGCTGTAGTCGGTGACGTTACCGTGACCACGGCTTGACGATCGCATCGCATCACCCCTCGCCGGTGATGGTTTGGCAAATCGTCGACGTTGCTTCAACTTTGTTTTTCTTTTCTCCCCCCAGAGATGTGTCAAGTCTACAGCTCGTCAGTATAATACGACCCCCGATGAGGTGAATTTGACGTACGTGTATCATGCGAGCGGCAAAAAAGTCCAAGGGGGTCGTTCCTTCAGTCTCCTTTAATTCATGTAATCCCCCCAGGCAGTCAGTCTTCCGGTCGGCCTCCTCAGCCAGCAAGCGGGTTCGCGTGGACAGTAACCCTCTCGATCTTTATGGGCTCCTTGGGCCGGTTCTTCCGGTCGACCTCGACGGCCTCGATCCGATCCAGCGTCACCATGGCCTCGTCGCCGATGACGCGGCCGAACACAGTGTTCAGCCCGTCCAGATGGGGCGCCTTGTCGAAGAGAAAGAAGAACTGCGAGCCGTTGGTGCCGGGCCCCTTGTTGGCCATGGAGACGATGCCGCGCGCCGAGTGCTTCAGCGCGGGCCGGATCTCGTCCTCAAAAGTGCCGCCCCAGATGGAGCGGCCGCCCTTCGGGTTTTCGGGCGGGGAGGGGTTCGCGGGGCCGCCGGTCTGGGCCATGAACTTGGGGATCAGGCGGTGGATCGGAGAGTCGTCATAGTAGTGCGATGCGCAGAGAGCGAGGAAGTTCTGGGCACGTCGTTGCGGTTAGTCCTTTCTGCGGCGGTGGGATGTGTGTGAGACAGCTGCATTTTGGGAGGGAGAATGTGCACGCCTGCTTACTTACCTCTGCTGTCTTGGGGACGCTTTCGCACAAGACTTCGATCTTTAGATCGCCCAAGGTCGTGTGCAGTGTGACGGACATCTTCCTTCGTCTTTTCTGGCTTACCGGGATCGCGGAATCGAGATCGAATCGTCTGGACGGCGTTGGACGACTTTAAAGCACACGCCTGAATCGCCGACAGCTTTGTTGCTGGAGCTGTATGCGATCCAGACTTCCGATTGGACCAATCCATATGTGCCGTAGGCGGTGTGGGGACTTGAGGTCATCGGGTAACCTTGACTCGGAACAATTCCAATTCCACTCCTGTACAACTGCTACGTATAAGCTCGAGTCTACGACAGCAAACAACCCAAGGAACTGTCCATAAAGCTTGCAATAGCCACCTTGCCTTGGCACCGGAAGTTTGTGGTTTTCTTGTCAACTCTTCAACTGCGTTCCCATTGTTCGTTCCCATCGGTTGTCCTCATCGAGCGAGCATTGTATGGTCTTATTTTGAGTTTCCATCTCTATGCCTGGTGGCCCGTAATCGGTACCTCAGACTGCTTGATGTTAAGGTTTCTTGGAAGCCCATCATGTTAGGGGCCAAGCTCTGGCCCAACTACCGGCACGTGTATGATGTGCGGGGTCCGCGAAACCGGGCGAAATAGCGGAAGACATGGACACCGCGTCCGCCGTTGAGCTCGAGGCCACTTGCTGTCCTGCGGCACGTCCGTGAGCTCTTTGAGCCATTAACTCTATTCGGAAGAATGTTTCAAGCGTGTTCGGCGAGCTCGGGGTCTGTGTGCGGCGCGGCCAATCTCCTCCTCCCTTTGCATTGTGCCGATAGGCGTCCGATGATGGCGTGTCTTAGCGAGCGAGGCGTGTTCGGGAAGCCCGCGGCGACACCGTCCAAAGCTGCCTGGAAAACTGCCATCATATTTGTATGACATAGGCTCCTGCTTAGGACGATGACGAGAGTCTAGGGGCGCGCGCGCGCAACACCATTTAGGGACGGGCAGTCAGGAAACATGCGGCGGATTATTGTATATAGGACTGACGTGCCTTTAAGCTTAATTAGACAGGTCGATCCTGCAGAATCCGGTGCAAAGTGGGCAGTGGTACAAACAAAGAAAGCATGACATTTGTCGATTTCATTCGAGACACGACCGCATGGAAGGTGGCTCGCGTGGTAACGAGAGGCAGATCTCCTGCGTTCCAGTACTTTGACGAGCGATATCCTTTGATACGCCGGCGTTATATGGAAAAGGGTTCCAGTCCAAATGGCTCTAGGTGAGTGTAAATACAGGCTTGCAGTATATGGGGGAAAGACAGTCTAACGTGGCCACCCTCGATATCAGATTATCTTATGTGTCGAGGCATACCGAGGTCCAGGGTTTCTCATCAGAGTCTGAAAAAGGCATAGGCAACACCTTTGCCAGCCAGACGATAAGCCGCACGACGTGGGAGAAATACGGGATTGAGAACCGCACGGATTTGCATCTTGTCGAGTTCTTGCCAAACGATCCAGAGGTAGTTATGATGGCGTTCCACCCACGCCCTTCACTTGATTGCTAAATCAAAAGGGCAGAATCCGCGAAACTGGTCCGACCTGAAGAAGATCCTTGTAAGTTTTCAACTATGCCTTCTCGTCGTCGCTGTGTACGCGGGGGCGTCCATCTACACCGTTGGCACCCAAGGCGTCCAGGTGCGCTTTGGCGTCTCCGACACCGTCGCCCTCTTGGGATTGACGGTTTTTGTACTGGGATATGGACTTGGTCTCGTAAGTACTCCTCTCAGCGCTCCCGGCTCCCATGCAGCACTGATCGAACAAAGATGATATGGAGCCCGCTCTCTGAGGTCCCCCAGATAGGTCGGAACACCATCTTCATCCCCGCCCTCGTCATCTTCATTCTCGCCCAGGTCCCAACCGCGCTGGCCACCAGCATCGGCATGCTCCTGATATTCCGATTCATCGCCGGTTTCTTCGGATCCCCGATCCTGGGGGCCGGGGACGGCATCCTCACGGACATGTACGAATCGCGGAAGCACATGTACGCCATGGTGGGCTTTGCGCTTGTTGGCATCTGCGGGCCTACATTAGGCAAGTCCAAGCTCCATTTCCGTATGTTGTGTTACTGATCTAACGAGCCGGCAGGCCCCATCATTGGAGGTTTCGCCGTACAGGCCAAAGGATGGCAATGGACCATGTGGATCGTCTGCTGGGCCAGCACCCTTGTCCTCGTAGTCCTGGTCTTGTTCCTCCCCGAGACGAGCGCCGAAAACATCCTTTACCGGCGAACGATGCGGCTTCGCAGGGTCACCGGCGACCTTGGTTTTGTCTGCGAGGCCCAGCTCAAGGCTGACAACACACGGGGCGTCGAGCTCCTCAAGGCGCACCTCATCCGGCCCTTTACGCTGGTGCTTACGGATCCTGCCGTCTTCTTTCTCAACCTGCACAGCTCGTTCACGTATGGGTTCATGTACATCTGGTTCGAGTCCCTGCCGCTGGCCTACAAGGAGGTATACCACTTTGACATCGGAACGGCGACTCTTGCTTTGCTGGGTCTTATCGTCGGCGTGCTAGTCGTCATTCCTCCGTTCTTCCTCTACTACCGGTTACGTATCGAGCCCAAGTATGCCCGCAACGGCAAAGTCAAGCCGGAAAAGCATCTTCATCCTGCCATGCTTGGAAGCTTGCTCTTACCAGGCAGCCTGGTCTGGTTCGGGTGGACCGCGAGGCCCTCGATCCACTGGGCGGTCCCCATAGCCGGCTCGTCACTCTTCACAGCCGGCGCTCTGCTGTTGTACATTTCTATTCTGAACTACCTCGCGGAGTCGTACCCGAAGCACATAGCTTCCGTTCTTGCCGGGAACGAGCTGTTCGCCAGCATGTGCGGAGCAACTTTCCCCCTGCTCATCCCGTCAATGTTCCACAAGTTTGGCGTCCTCGGGTCGAGCATGATCTTGGCCATAGTCGCCATGGCATTCGTGCCTATCCCCTATGTAATCGCCATGGTAAGAACCCTTTCGGGCGCCGTATATACGAATTAAGCTAACTATATGGCAGCGGGGCCCCAAGCTCAGGAAGCGTAGCACTTACGCTGCGAAAGGATGATGAGATATGAAAGCATGTTGATAGATGGTGCGAGATGAAGAAGACACAATGAGAGCATTTTGCCATGTGGCCTTGGAAGAACAACTCGGCAGAGCTACCCAATGATGGTATTCTTGACTGTCTATAAAGAGGCAGCTACAACCCTGTTATCATAGATGAGCACCACCGAGTTAGAGCCAAGCATGATTTACCCAGACGCAGGACCCGCGTTTTCAGCCAAATGCTCCATAAAACACAAGAGAACGAAAGGAGTGTTGGTAATAACTGCTCCGGCCCAAGCCCATATGTCAGTGGGAATGTATCATGCAGCAGCCGGCGTTAATTGTCGTCGGTCTACTTGGCCTCAAAATTTTAGGAGCAGAGAAGGAAACATCCAAGTAGAGGCCGGGGTACCAAATTCGTCGCTCTTTCCTGTTAATCAGAAACTCACCACTTGTCTTGTAGACAACCTACTACCAACCTTCTCTTACCTTTCATTTTTTTTTCCTCTTGTCAACCCTTTTCTTACACACACACACACACACTTGTTCTCTCCCTCTCTCGCTTTCTCTCTCTCTTGACTGATTCGATTCATCACGGTCGATTGGGCTTTGGCAGTCAATTTCATTATTTTTCGGACTCTTCAACTTCTCATATGGTAGCACAACCCCCCGCTGATTGAAAATCGGGTTTTCCGCCGACAATTTGACAACCGTCGACCTCCCACGAAGAAATCTCCGTTTGACGCCAGCGAGACGATCAACATCACTACCCCGAAGCAGTACCTTAACCAGCCTGAGAAGCAGGGATCGTCAATCCCTAGGCACACCCCCGGTAGCAATGGCAACCACCCTCTTCACCCAACCAGCTTGGTCAACCTAGATCCAATCGACACCTTGTCGAGATAGCTGGCCCTCTGCCACACGAGCGTGCTCTCCACTCGTGACTACACCTCCGACCAACTCACCACTTATTACAGGCAGATACTCAATTCTAACTAGGTAAGTCAGATACACCAAGTTAACATTGCTTTTCGTCTGCTTACAGGTGTCCCATTTAGTTCTCATCAACGGCAACTTCCTACCTTCCTTGACCCATAGTCACCTACCCACCTACTACCCCCTTCGCTCCTTCCTCTGTCTTCACTTTCCTCCACCTTCAGTAATTCTCTTCCATCTCTTTCTTTTCCAATCCAGGAGAACGGTTCCTTCCTCAGGCCCTGTGGGTGAGGGCTCCCCCACAGGCCGCCTACAACACTCCTTTTTCTTTTCAACAACCGACTTCTCTACTTGTCTTCCATCCTCACCCATCCTCCATCCTCACCACCTCATCTCCCATTCACAATCTCAACGGCATTGCCTACGGACATGACGAGAACCTTTCGCGATCTGAATGACTACGCTACAGAGGCTACACCCAGCCGTCCATACCGAGAACTGGACGAATCAATCGAGCAATGTCCTGCAAGCATGACGTTCTACGCCGGTGGCCCAGGATCAGGAAAGACAACCTGGGGCATTCGACTTCTCCGCACACTAGGCAGGTACAACGCAGCATGCTCGGTCCACAGCAACGACCTCTGTGACGACGCGGCAAACAAACTGGGAGCCACATGCCGGAACTCCAGAGTCGCTAGAGCATACAGGCACGAACGCATGCTCCGCGCATTGACGGGACAGCTCGAATACAGTCAAGTGGTGCCTTCGACCATGAGCTCACAGTACTCCCAAGCGCAGCGACAAGTGATCAGGACTGTCACGGACATCGAAGACACAGCCAGACAGGAAAACCCACTCGCCCGTGCGGACTCACTTGTCAGCCTCGCTCTGTCAATCGCGAAGAATAACCCAGACTTTGATGAGTTCAACGCACTGAGAACCAGCGCCCGCAAGACAGACGAAGAACTCAGCCGCCTCACCATTGAAGCCAACCGACTGCTTGCATACGCACTCGTCCAAGTCAACATCCTCGTGGGCACCCCGGTCGCATTGGGCTCCATCGCACGCGCATCCAAGCTTGAGCATAAAGACCTAGGTAGATGGAACCCGCACATCATCTTCATGGACGAAACCGGTCGAATGCCTGAATCCCAATTCTACATTCCCATGGCCTTTTTCAAGCCAACCTGGGTCATCGCAGCAGGGGATACGCAGCAGTTCAAACCGATGTCAAAGAGCATGGACTTGAATGGTGAGAGGGAGACAGGCTTCAACCTTCGAAGCATCATCGCTAAAGTCCAGACCGAGCAACTTCTCGGCAGACCCATTGATCAGCAACCTGACCCTGCCTACGATGATGAGATCAAGCACATTGACGAGGCTCAAACCATCGCTCAGTTCGAAGTCGGTCACGAAACTCAGACTCAGACCAACCGGAAGGAGAATGTTGATCAGGACTGGGAGACCGAGACCGATAGCCTTGATTAGTGATGCAAATCGTTGGAGGATTGCAATGCAATGAGGTCACCACGAGGAAGGACACAACGAGGAAGGACACAACGAGGAAGGACACAACGAGGAAGGACACAACGAGGAAGGACACAACGAGGAAGGACACAACGAGGACACACAACGAGGATGCTGTGATTCTTTTTTGGGAGGGGATTGTCAGGGCATATTCGCGGTGGAGAAATTGGGAACTGGGGATGACCAAGTAGGATAGCATGGGTGCCAAATGTCGTTGGCCACCTCGCTAGAGAGCTTAAACCTAGCATACCACTAATCTCACGCTATCGCTTTTTGTCCATTTGTTTCGTGCTGATTGAATCCCTCCCAGTGCCTGCATATCGACCAAGTGCAGACAAGCACTGCAGCCTTGGTCCTATTTTGACCAAGTGAATGCGGCAGACCACACAAGTACTGGCATCATTGGTTCGGACGCAGCGGTCCAGCTTATTTTCGACCAGCTTCTGTTGCTTGGTCAAGTGAATGCGGCAGACTATGCTAGTATTCGCAGTCCAGCAGGCCTTCATGTTACTACCAGCGTCAACGTCAGAATGTGGTGGTTTTTGAGGTAGTTTGCGAGGTAGAATAACATCGAATAATTTGATAGTCACTCTTTCTCCCTCCACGACTTCGAGGCTAGCTGGCTGACGACATGCTGATTGCTAATCATCCTCGATGGCCCTCAGCGGTTGGTCCTGCTAGACCGCATGTCATTGTGAGTTAACATTGCAGCACATCGGAAATGACGTTGTTACACCTATAATCATCCAAGACTTTCATGAATAATGGAAGCCCTAATGACACCTGAGGCGTGAGCAGCTAACATTGTCGGGTCAGAGTCTATGATATGACGCCTCATCCTCTTACGGTCGAACTCGGGACGAAACACTCTGGCCCTTTGGTTAAAGGTGTAGCCACGCATACAACTTTGCCTCTCCCCATTGGTCACTCAGGTAGCCACTCGGAAAAAAAGGTAAGTAAACGCATTGCCGCCGTAGTCGATATAGTAGTGAGTTGTAATGGCGGCTGGGTGAAGCGTGCTGAGGAATAAACACGGTACAAACATTGTGCCTGACAGGCTGGAATATGTACACCAGTATTCACGGTGGCCCTCACAAGTAGATGGTTCACAAATACGGAAGACAGTGTATCAGCCCACGCTATGGCGGCCCCGGCAAGCGCGGAAAGGCTCTTAGACTCGCCCGTTTACGTCAGCACTGAACACGCCGTATGGTCATGTTAGCTGTGAAGTTATTGGTTCCAGTGTGATTAGGATCAGCCAGGGCTTCCTGTTTGTCTCTGTTTAATTTCTGGCCTTCTCTCGGGCCTCCACTGTGTGCTTGGAGGGAGATGGGAGGGTGTGATCCCTCCGCTAGGTATCGGATAGCTGCAGCTGAAGGTTGGTCTATGTTGCTTGGATCTGACGTCGTAATGTAGGAATGAGTTAAGTGTGTATTAGGGTTGAAGTCAGCTACAACTAGACAAAGCGCAAGAACGTGAATAGATCATTGGAAAGGAGTCTATCAGCGACTGGGCGTAAGGACACCTCAAGAGACAACGCGCGCGCGCAAGCCGGCGTTCGGACGGGGGAGTGTCACGTGACGGCCAGGCCGGTGAGGTAGGCTTACAGAGGGCGTCGGGGCGGTCACAGAGCAGTAGAGACTCCGTGCACCAGACAGGCATATTAGCTCGTCTAGTGACGAGAGATTAGAGCTGATGGGTTGATAGTAGGTAATAAGCAAGGAAATATATAAGGAGTAAGGAGTGGGAAGTGGGAAAATAGGTAATGAGGAAGTAGGTAAAGGTGGGAAAGGTTGAAAAGGGTTTAAGAGAAGAAGGAAAAGGATGAGGCTCATGGAGGAGGAAAAGTGCCGAGCAGGATGGCCCGTTCGATTCTGTCCCAAGAAGGTAAAAGCTGTAAGATCGATCCTTCCATTTCGATCCTGACATGTCGCGAGTAAGCCATGACAAATGAGATGCCAAAGACTTTAACTAAAGAGTCTTCAGCGTAAGGTCCCGATGCTAAGCTTAACCTTAACCCAAAGGCCTCTCTTAGTTCTGACTGGGGTAGCTTGCTGTCAGAGGCGGTAAGTATCTAAGTGAAGAAGTCGACGGTAGGGGTCACTGAGCGAGGTGGATGTACGTAATAGCATTCAAATCTGGCTAACTGTAACTATCATGGGCATAGATAGCGGTTTTATCCCTCATCTAGATGACTAAAAGGGCTTTGCCAGTACCCAAGAACCTTGTCGCCAGTGCACCCCAAGCGACTGCAAACCCAGAGGTGACTCACTAGCTCCGGTTGAATTTGTAATACTGCGTCCGATAGATGCTTCCTGGCGTAATCAGGGCTAAAAGCATCTAAGGGAAGGGTCTCGCCACTTAACAGCCAAGCTCGGTCGGTACTGCTGTTGGTACTAAGTGGTATTATAATGGGTGCGTGTGCTGCGGTCGAGATCGTACGGCTGTCTGTCATAGAGGAGATGCACCTTGACCAGACCTCGCTGGTCCGGTCAGGGCTAAGGAGTCAAGGCAATAGGCAGGATGGTTGTTGTCACTGGAATAATGAAGTCGTGCTCAAAGGTGGGCAACTTGAAGGCGTCTTTTTCCATGATGTGTCTGTCTATCTACGGTTTCTGTTCAGTACTCGTTGCCCTAGCCCCAAAAATGGTAGACGGTATGTAAGGTAACCCCGTTTCAGAAAAGTCAAAAATCCTGTCCGTTCCATTGATTGTCTATTACAGGCTGGAATGCTTGCCTACCTGGCTTTAGGAGGTAAGACTGTGAAAGATTTGCTGAGGAGCCAGTGCCACTTTCTTAAAGTGGCATATCATGGCCGGACAGTAGTGCCGTGGGATCTCGTGTCGGAGTAGACAAAGTTGTCAAAGTCTTCCCTACAAATGCCAGAGTGCAAAGTTTAAACGTTTTTAAATTTCAGCAATTGACGCCGCTGCCAGAGCCTTAAAGTGCATTTCCAAAATGCTAGCAGCATTAATATCAGAGCAACCAGGTAGGTACCTAGGGCACGCTTTCTCCCCTTGCCTCTTTTCGTTCATCTCCCGCAGGGACCCACATTTCGGCACCGGCCTCGGATTTCGGACCCACCGAGCCAGTCCACCTGACCCACTTGGCAGAGACTGCCATTACCGCATTGGGACTAGCATATGCGGACATGGTTTTCCGTGATACTCAAACACGCCCCAACACCGGAAACGCTCTTCCACCCATCCAAGCCTACATATAATCAAAACATCCATCCCATCTCAACAAACAGATCAAAAGGTGGAGTGCCCGAGTGGTTATGGGGTTGCGTTTAGGCTTACGTAATCATTAAGATCACAATACCTCCGCAATGGGTCAACCGCGCGAGTTCGAATCTCGTCTCCATCAAGTCAATTTTTTGACTTTTTGTGTCGTCAGGGTTCGGGTGTTTTGCTGCGTCCCGCTGCATTATGAGTAGAATGTTTGGTCTTTTTGAGCCTTGTTCAGATCAATGAACAAAGTGTTTCTACTGTCAATGAGTTGGTGCTGCTATGTAAAGCCATGCATAGTATGTAGTTGCGAGATACTCAACCCGACCCGCCACTTACGAAGCGGCAAGTCAGTTTTTCAATGTTGATGCAGCAAGCGCGCCCTCCAGTCTCAGTTGATTGCGAATTGCGACATTGGTTCCCCTTGAAGTCGAATAAACCCTGTAGAGCATTGAGGGCTAATGCGGACTCCCAATACGCACTTGAGTCGGTCACATAGGGGGTATCAACAAATTCCGAACGTTCCGCCGTTATTTTCGAACCAGAGTAAAATCGACGCAAAGTCCCAAGTTGCAAAGAAGGTCAAGCAAAATCATGAGTGATTCATCTTCGTCACCTTGAATGTGCATGGCTGGATTTATGGTGTCAGCTTTCAGTGGTCCGAAGCCGACACTTTTGGTCCCAGCACGCTAAACAATGTAACTCCGATTGGCCAAAGCTTGCAAGCTCCTTTCCTCGCAGCAACCAACCTTGCTCGGGTGTTTTTTTTTTTTTTTAGAGGGGGCCATCTTGACCAGACTCACACCGTGTTGTCGACATGACTCCTACACCTCCCGCGCAGCCGACCGATATACTGCCGGACATGAACCAAAACTAGGCAAAGTCCCCATCGATCCTCCGACTATTAACATATAAGGAACAAGCGAAAAAGAAGAAAAAAAAACCCCAAGTCCGACTGCCAAAATCCGCCGGTATGCCTCTCGACGACGACGACAACCCTACGGCGGCGCCGGCCGCCCAGCTCCAAAACGACTCGGGCGCAGGCGACGAGGCCGAGGACGAAGGGCTCTTCGACATGCGGCTGTTCGCCTCCATGTTCAACAAGAAGGGCGTCGCGAGCCAGGCGGTGCGCAGGGGCCAGAAGGACTTTGAGTCGCACGGCACGCGCGCGCAGGAGGACGCCCTCGAGACGAGCAGACAGGTCATCGAGGAAGTGCTCTCGTATTCGCGCGTGCACCGCGACGCCTGGAGCAAGGGGTGGTACTTCCCCGACTACTGGGCCGAGACGCTGCGGGCCATCGAGGAGGACGGGGATGCGTCCGGGCTCGCGAGGCCTGAGTACCTGCAGGAGTTCCTGGCCGAGACGGGGCCGATGTACGCAAAGGAGCGGGTCGTGGTCGTCGAGGACCTCAAGGGCACGCAGGCCAAGTCGATGGGCCGGGTCATCAGGGGGCTCAAGGCGCCGAGGCCAGCGGTCGGGAAGCTGTGGCTCCTGCCCGAGGAGGCGCTGTTCCTCGTTGAGAGGGGCAGCCTGGACCTCTGGTGGCCGTTCCGGGAGCTGAAAGATGTCTTGCCGCCACCGTTGGAGGGCAAGGCCGCGGAGGAACACGTGCACGATCCAGAAAAGACGAAGGCGGGCCCGGAAGAGGACTCGGATGACGAATTCGAAACCGGCGTGCCACTGAGCTTACAGGCCGCATACGCGTTCTTCATCGGTCTGGACGGCGAGCGGGGGAAGATTACGCTTCCGAAATATCAAGTCTACTCTCACCTCCGGCGGTTGGGATACTACGTCCAGCGCGCGCCGCCCGACGCGGTCGATGCCGCGCCTCGACGGCCACAGCCCGCACGGAAGTCGCTATGGCAGTGGCTCGTCTCCCTCCTGGACAGGTCCGCGCCCGCGCCGCCGCCCTACGGGCCCCTCGTCAGGCCGGGCGTCTACCGCCAGTACACGCACGTCTACAAACAGCTGGAGCTCCTGGCGCGGTACCAGCCATCGCCGACGGCGCAGGAGCCGGCGGCGCCCGAGGACCCGTACAAGGTGCACTGGCACGTGTGGAAGCCGTCGAAGCACCCGAACCTGCGCGTGACGGACCTGCCGCCGCCCGACATCCGGATCGCCGTCGCCGACGCGCGCGACGACGCGGTGCCGTCGTTAGAGGAGGTGGCGGCGCTGCTGGACTCGACGCCGTACGACCCGCCCGACCCGAAGACGATGGGCGGGCCGGGACGGTTGTACCAGAGGCTCAGGCACGGGCACCGCAACGTGCTGATCGCGGTCGTGGACCGCGGGCTGGTGAACTTTATGAGGTTCGGGCAGGCGGCGTTCGGCGAGGAGAAGCTGTACGAGCGGTTCGACAACCGGGGCGGGATCCGCGGGGGCAAGAGGGGTGGCAGGGGCGGACGGGGGAGAGGGGGCGGAAGGGGAAGGGGGCGTGGCCGGTGAAGCGAGTGGCTGAACCTCGGAACTCCGGAACGGTGTGGTGTGTGTGTGTGTGTGTGTGTGTGTGTGTGTGCGTTGCAAGAGCGGACGGCGTTCACGGGGATACCCAAACGAACATGTATAGAATCAAAAACACAACTAGAGAGCTTCGCGGCTCTTGGCAGGGGCCTGGCTTGGCTGGTAGGGATCTACGCTGTCGAGCCAAATGCACACGGCATTAAAATTAAAATAAAATCAAATAGAATAAAAGGAACGACCGTACCACAAATCCTGTCTCCGAGAAGCAGTTTCAACCCGGGAGTCTTGTTGGGTCCGAGATCCTCCCGACTTTGCCAGCAACTCGACTTGCGAGCTATGCATGGTATGCTGCCTTGTGCTAGTCATTGCCATTCCAGTGTGTGTGTGGCTACAGTCGTGTGTAAAGTGTCAGTGAGCCCAGACCTTTTACACGTGGCTATATACCCAGCCAGAGTTGCGACACAGGCGAGTTAAGACTAAATGCAAAGTCAAATATGGATCCGGGCTCACGCTGCACGATCTGTTGCACAACTTACTCGCCATCAACTCTCAGATAGGCCACCGGCAACTAAACCAAAGTATGGCCGCGGAGATCCGACGTCGTCCGTATAGGCTCTCGAGACCTGGTAGTAGCGTCAAACAAGGCAAGGAAGGAGGGGGGGGGGGGGGGGCGGGAGAGGGTCCTTTGGGGCTTGGTAAATAAAGCCCGGTCCTGGGCGGACGCGCAGGCGGTTTGTCGGGCAGAGTGAAAAGAAGAAACCCACGACGGGCTCCGCGGACGACCTGGGAGGACCCCCCCAATACCACTCCAAGATCTCGGTGGTATGCCCCGTGCTCCAGAGAAGGGTAATATATAGGGCGCACAAAGGAGTCGTCCGCTTCGACAAGTATCAAGGTAGCGGTGGCTTTATAGGCCGCTTATAGCTGAACTCTCGGTACGTTTTGTGTCTCCCCGTTGTCAAGGGTGTGCCTCTCTGGGTCGCAAGTGCTGTCTACACGTATACCAGTCTGCAGGGAACCGTTCAACGGAGCAGGGGATATAAACGAGGAAGGCGGCATATGTCTACCAGCATCGAGTGGCATATTCACAGCGTCATTGACAACGACGCGAGACCCCGATGGGTTCCGGACGATAGGACGGTTGTCGGAGCCGGAGTGGGGGCTGCGTGGTGTGGGGACATGGACATGTCGTCGGCGGCCCATATCAGTAGCAAAACACCTGTGCAATACGTGAGAGTGAGACAGCATATCAATGTTGCACGGCTGCTGAGGGGGGTATATCTATTGGAGCCATGTACAGTTCCGTACTAAAGTACTGATACAAGGCGCGGTCTCTCTCGAGGTCGCGCAGGTACACAATATTAACCGTACACGGCCATGTATAGTGCTGTGCAATGTTGACGAGGGGGGGGGCTCAACTCTGCTGTCACATGAAAGCAACGACCGGAAGGCCAAAACAAGGTTGGTGTATGCAAAGCTGGGGCGGGAGATGTGGCGCATGGGGGGAGGGAGGGAGATGCAAAGCATCGGTTTTTGGTTCAAGCCGGCGATTTGTCAAAACGCAGTCGGCAAGTAACATCCCAGGGTGGTAGCAGATGTTGGTTGGCATATGTTTGGTCGTGGAAACGGCGGCATTAGTGTGGCCCGAAGGATTTCCCGAGAAGCGAAAGCGCGGGGGAAGAGTCATATCGCGGTGAGACAAGCTGGGCGATGGAAGGACCGGTGAGAAGATGGACAGGGCCGCCAGAGTAAATCCTTATCCGTACTTACTCACAGGACGAAGGAAGCTGACCGCAAGAGCGCCTCAACAGGAATCCTTGCTAGATCGGCCGTCAGGGACGGGGTAGGTTGAGTTTTGTCGGGGCGCATGTCTGCCTCTCTTTCATACGGTATATACGAGTTGACGGCGGCGCCGAGCGATAAGTGAAGCAACGCCTCGCAGGGGACCGCATATGCAAGTCCCGCCGGCCAGTCAATCAAGCCGCAGGCCACAGGGCACCTGCCAGTTATGGTGGCGTATCCCTTGCCACCACGTCTACAGAAACACGTATCTGCGTATTGGTGGAGTGACGATGGACATGGTGCGATTAACTCGGAAAATGCCATCATTGACTTCCCACCTGGCGCAGCAGCACAGGCCTCTTGGGAATATGTCTGCAGAGTTCAGACAATTTTTTTTTTTTTAAAAAAAAAAGAGTTTCTGGCAGGAATGGTGCGCATCTCCAACGTGGGTTGAGCTTCAAAAAAAAAAAAAAAAAGACATCAGTGGTAGAATATAAGCGGTGGTGGGGGCTTTGCTTGTGCGTGGAGGAATAAAACAAGAAAACCAGCACGACTGACTCCCTGGGAACTAATCAATGCCTACAAAGATCGACTGATGCTGGTGTCGGTGACGAAAAAGAGAAAAAGAAATGCGACAACAGCAGGGTTCGAACCTACGCGACCGAAGTCAACAGATATCCAACACTGCCCTGATCGATGATCAGTTTAGTTCAAGTCTGTCCCCTTAACCACTCGGGCATGTTGCCATTTGTTGTTGATTCAATTCCAACATGTCCGACTCAAGTATGTCCAGCGCTCTTTGTGCGGGTCCCGATGTGGAGACACTCTCGAGATGTGGGTCTTCGTCGGCAGAAGCCAATTTCGATTGCCTAAAGCTTTGTCCGTCATAAAGAACCAAGGTCTCTTTCCTTGGTTGGTGTGTCGCTCTACGAAGCCTGGGAGTTGTCTCTTGCTGCCTTGCCTTCCCCGTACCGCACGAGACAGAAGTGCAGAGGCAACATCGGGATTACACCAATTTCAATATCGTCAATACCGGTTTCCTTGTCACGTTTGTTCAACGTGTTCCCACAGTTCTTGCTGTTTCCGGCCGGATCCGTTGTTTTACCCTACCTACTACCCGAGCGCGCACTGGAACACTTGGAGACTATAAGCACATTCGTTTAGACACACGAGTGACGAGAGAGTTACATTTAGACACTTGTGCCTGTTGCCATGGTCTGATAATAAACAAAAACTCTATTCTAGACAATCCATCAGGAAAGGGCCCGCACAAGACTAAGGCTAAACGAGGACATACCCACACCTAGGCTGCAGCTACCTGTGCTAATTATGTGCATCCGGTGGGATGTGAACAATTCATTTTTCTCAACACCCTTTTCTCTCTCTCTCTCTCTTTGTCGGCGAGATAAGTACCCGGCGCCACTGGCTGCTGGCGGCTACTCAAGAAAACTCGATCGCGGAAGAGGGATAATAATAAAAAAAGATGTTCCGTAGTGCTCGCGACCGAAAGGCTGATCTGCCCGTACTCAGACCTCCATTGCGTTTCGGAAGTTCCTAGATGGGAATACAGGGCAACCCGCGGCGTTTCGAGTTGAAGGATTGTCGGATCATTTGTTTTGCTGATAGCCTTCCCCTCCCTCCCACCCACCGAGCGGGCATGACATGAGTATTACCAATTCACCGGCTCGGTAGTTGCGGTTGACGAGAGACTCTGCGTCGTGGGTTGAGGGGAGTGGCCAAGGCCGTCAGGGATGATACCTTCTGATACGCTGATGCGGTGTCAGGCCGAAGATCCACGGCGAGCGTAATGTAATACTAATAACATGAGTTGTATTAGCGCCTCAACCTTAGTACGGGAATCCCGAAGGGGGACAGACAATCAAGTGGGAGCGACTGAGAGGGAGGGTGGGGAGAGGCGGGGGGGGGGGGGAACAGGCCCGAATCGATCGCCTCACATCATAATAGGAAGAAGAAAGGCCCGATGTGCGTTCGTTTCAACAAAATGATTTTTGTTATTATCAATTTTTTTTACTACCGGATCGAATGCACGAAGTTGCTGGGACTGCGCAGAGGGGAAAGCCATCGTCATTGAATCCAAGCTCTCCAAGGTTACGTTTCGCAAAGGAACGTCTCGGAAGGCGATGAAAGATTCGCCCAGGTGTGAGGTAGCAATTACCCTTCGTTCCTCGACCTTTGCTGCGAGGCCCAACCCAGATAGATGGCGTTGATTGAATAAAAAACAAAACGAAAAAAAATTACTCTGAGAAAGACGGGGCCCAGGTGTAGCTACCTGAGGTACCTGTGCCAATTGGACGAACATGCCATTGGGTACTGAGCCCACTTGAATTGTGGTTCTGAAGGAAGACTGACTTTGTTTGTGTCGGAGCTGACACTCAACTCGTCCCGACGTGTTAATGTCTATCAACTCTTTTCGAGGGGGGGCTGGCCCACCAGACGAGGACTCAAGAGTGTCCCAGTTTTACGCTAATGGCGTCCTCTCGAAAGACACTAGCGAACCCGATGCATCGTCGAGCTTCACCAGAGTTCCTATGTTTGTTGGCGGATTCACCAAAAGACTGTCTGTGGCCTCCTGCCGCATCCCCCCCCACACCGCTGCCCTCATCTCTGGCTTGGCAGCTGTCGGTACGTACACACAGTACACAGTACGTATACACGATATCTCTCTCACTCTCAGCCAAGCCCCATAGCGATGAAGAGGATCAAACCAAGACCAATAACCCACGGTGGTGGGAACCGGAGAGGGGCGGCAGCCAGACTATAGCCTATTAATCACTTAATCAGCGAAACGATAAAAACACATCGGGTGCCCTGCCCCATGCCGTCCGTCCAACCGTTTCGTGAACAGAGATTGCAGCAACACCTTGTTTGAGTACCCGGTTCCGAAAACCCTCTCCTGGTAAGAGGGAAAAAAAAGAAAAGAAGGGAAAAGGAAGAAGAAGAAAAGTCAAATGCTGCAATATTAGGTCACGAGTTCGCACAACTGAGCGTGGCCCAACCCAGCTCAACTCAACTCAACTCGGACAAGTACCATCATGTCCAACCAACCAACCAACCAAACAGCCAGTCAGCCAGCCAGCCTAAGAACAAACGCGTTTCTATTCCTTGCCGTCTGTTGGCCGTGTCCAAGTACACCCACTACCGCGTAGAGCGTGTGCAGAGCCGGCCTACCTCGGATCGGATAGCCTACTCTCGTCAATCAGGGTATACTTGGTGACTTGAGGTTTTTAATTTCACCTTACTTGGCCATCGTCCAGTGGATGGAGCATGGCGTCAATCAAGCCATGTACGTATACCTAGGTACATCTTGAAGCCCCGTCGGCAATACACACGAGCCAATAATCGGAACCTTGGCCGCAACGACGACCGGGATCGAGTACAGAGTGTTTGGGTATTGGAGCCCGCTTATAGGATAACGGGGCGTCTTGGTCTTGGAGTGAAACTGCACAATCCGGCTGGTTGGGCCCAAAAAGAGGAACTAGGTACCTAGTGATGCAAACCGCCTGGTACACAACACACAGCACGTGCTTGGTTAGCGTACTTGGCGTCATTCTGCTGCAACTATTTGTGTCTCGGGACATTGGGTGGTCTTGGTACTGCTTCACCAAGGTAGTAGAGTAGAGCAGAGTAGGTGGGCCTGGTACATCAATCAGCTTGACGTGAATACTTTTTTTTTCTTTCCTCTTGGCATAATCTCGTTATTACCAACATAACATGGTGGCTGTCTACCACTAAACTGGAACCGACCCCGAAATCAAAGAAAAGATAACCCCGGTTCGCAACTCTGGTTGGTCTCTTTCTTCCCTTGAGAAACCAAAACCTGTCTCTCACCCACCACCTTCTTATCATCCTTTTCCCCTATTCCCGTGCCGCCGTACTACTACGTAGTATGTAGTAACAAACCCTGAGCCTCTCCCCTCCTCCTCGATCGCATCTCTTTCCCATCCCATACCAATCCAATCGCTTGTCTTCCTTTGCCCCTCCCCATCGCTTTCCCCCCTGTCCATTTCCCTTTTCCCTCAGAGTTCCTGTCCACTTGCACGCCCCAGGCATCTATCTCTCCAAACAACAACGCGTCAAAACCCAACCCAGTTTATCTGTGGCCTAGCTCAGACCACAACGCAGCCACGTTACTCTCTCTCTCTCTCTCCCTCTCTCCTAACCCCAACACTTCCTTTTTTTATCCCTTTCCCTCTCACACACAAACCCGCTCGCTGTCCCAACTCCCGCAGCCCCATCCTCGATTGATTCAGGCATCCGTAACTGGTGATTCTTATCTGTCAACCGTAACAGTTTCGTCCGCTAAAGACGTATTCATCTCGTTTAAGCCGCGCCAAAGCCGGGTTACCACACGCCACTCGAACTGAGCGCCCGTGCTCTGGGACACAAGCCTGAAGTAAAGAGCAATAGTAAAAGGGGGGGTACCGTACTGTACCGTACCGCACCGTACTGCTCTCAACCTTGACATCTTCCTTCACACGCACACACACACACACCCCCCTGTCCGCCCTGCCTGGGACTAGAAGTCTGACTGGGGTGACTGGGACTTTTTCGCCTCATCTCATTTGGCTTCCCCCCTTCCTTAACAGCAGCACATAATCATACTACTGGTAACCAGACCAGTAAATACTAAGGAATTTAATACCTCGTCACATTAGATCGCCTGCCCTCACCTCATCATACATTCTCACTGTTTCTCCCTCTCTCTCTCTCACCTTGCCGGTTTCCATTACACACACTCTACCGTTCTCCACTTCTCCCAAGTTTAGTCACATAGAAATCGCCATTCTTTTGGGGCCATCAAATTCTCCCCAAACCCCTTAGCCTGTTCCTCTTGTCTTCTTACAACCACACGCACACCCACACACACACAGGCAACGCCTCATGCGCAAAATTTCCCTTCGGTTTCAATCGCCCTTTTCCATCTACAGAGCCCGGTTGAACTAGGAGTTTCCATCGCTTAACCCCCTTCAACCTGGAGTTTCCCTCGATTCTTACAGTCGCGCATCCACACGGGCCCCCACTGCGCCTTTAAGCCAACTAAACTCTCCCGGTCGCCAACTGTTCGCCGTGATGGAGGGTGCCGACGACGTCGAGATCAAGCAGCCGTCGGTTGCACCTACAGAGCCGCACCAACAGACCCCCCCCGCCGTCGAGACATCTACTCCCACAGAGTAAGTTGACTGTTCCACCTTGTTCGCCCTTGCTCTCGCTCCTCTCTCGCTTTTCCTTGCCTTGATCTCAATCTCGGCGCTTCAGCCCACTCTTGTCGTTGCTGCTGCTGCTGTTGCGTCCTTTGCGCCTGTTTTGCGGCATGGCATACGCGCACCTGCTATGACTGATGGTGAAGTCATGCACTGTATCACACCTTGCCGCAGTTCATCATCCTGCTATGCTCTGCTCTGCTCTGTTCTGTTCTGCCGTCTTCCTTCCTCCACTCTGTTTCTGTACTTCTTTCCTCCCGAGCGCGCCTTCCCTTCTTAGCATGACCGGCTTTCTTGTTTCGGCCACCACTACCTTCCTTACACGTACCTTGGTGAAGAGAGACTTCAGCTTCAGGAACCTGCCCGAGTATCTCCTTCCGAGCACCGATCCCTCCCTTGATCCAACCGCAACTCTCCCTCTCCATCGTTAATCATCTGGGTTACTCGTATTTCTAAAACTCTTGTTGCTCACCACAACTGTGTGTAACTATTCTTTTCAACTCTCGCCCTGCACCCGTCTTCTTGTCCATTCATTTCCCTTGTATTCTCACACCCCCGGCGCCACAACCCAAGCCGCTGCTTTACCTCTTTGGACTCTACCGCCATGCCACTCCCACGACAGTCGCGTGTTAGGTGCCTGCCCGGAGAGCCCTCAGTCCCATTCAAAGAGGCAAGGTGGGTTGTCTTTCAACCGACTTGTAGGAAGAAGAAAACTAGGGACTTGACCTCGGCTGAAGAAACTGCTTCTTCGTTTCCAGCGCTTCACTTCTGCTTCTCTCGTTTTCCCAGACTCCAAAACCCCGTCGCTACACTGCCTGCTTGCAGAGTCTTTGCTTGGAGCATAGAGCACATCTGGCTGGTTGCCAAGTGGTAACCGAGTCAGTTGGCCGACCCGCGCCCATTCTCCGACCCTCCTACCCCTGCTCAACTCGAGTTCATCATCTCATCTCGTCTCATAAGACACTCATAATGTTGTCTTCTGACATCCACATCCCGCGACTAAAGCCCGTTTCAAGATGAGAACGCCCTGTCTTGGGCCGACGTCGAAGAGCATGGGATCCGTCATAGTTGCCGCGACCTATAGTGTTGCCTTGGAGAGAGTAGAGTGTACAGCCTCGGTGTTGACGGCTCTTGACGTTTGGGGAAACAAACAATTCGTTTCACTTAGGCCGTGGCCCCTGCTAATGTGAACCAACAGTGCTAGCACAAATGGCGCCAAGCTCCCGGCTCTGGATGACGACGATACCGCCAATGATGATGACCTGAGCCCTCCCCCCGATAATTTGAGCCCCGTGTCGGTGAGCAATGATCGTGCCTTGGAGGACGAGATTGTTGTCGGCAACCGCAACGGCGTGGCCAAGTCGTCGCCTCTCCGCGTTGTGTCGGATCCCGAGGACGAGAACCTGGCCGACGTCGAAGATGAGGAGCCCGTCGTCTCACATTACCCTAAGCGGAAACGGGCATCCGTCTTCGACGATTTGAGTGAAGACAAGATGGAGAGCGGCGTCGCCACCACAGACAAGGAGGGTACCCCACGGAGCACCAAGCCCGCTCGTAGGCACGGCCTGGGTGGTGTCAAGGGCGTCATTCTCGGTTACTGGCGGGACTCCCCCGTCCCTGAACCAAGGGGTAAGCACGCAGTCATCGGCTTCATCGACGTCCGCGATCGTCTCCGCACCCGTATCCAGCAAAACACCCGCTTTGGCGAGCCCGTATCGAGCGCCGACTATCCCCTGCCTCCGGGACCCGGCGGCAGTTGGGTGACATTTGAGCGTGTCGTCTTCGCTGATCATCTGGTCGGTATGGACCATCATCAAGTCAAGGAGTACGTCAAGCTGCGGACGGATGCCGTCGAGGACACCGAAGAGGCCCGGAATGCGGCAGAGCTGGCCGCTGCCAAGGACGCAATCCGCCGCGTCGAGGAGAACCCTCCTCCGGACAACGTCGTGGCCCCGGCCATCGCCTACGGCGCCGAAATCCCCGACCATGCTACCATGCCGCCACGACCCGACTCCAAACGTCGGCGTACCGGCAACGGCATCGGCACCATCAGCGGAGGCCCCGTACAGACGCCGCCGGCACGCGACATGGTTCCGTTCCATCAGTTCGATCCTTTGCATGGTACTAGGCCTACGCGCATCATCGTGGGCTTTTGGAAGGGCTCTAGCGAGGAGGACCCAGCTAATCGCCATGCCGTATACGGTATCCTGGGCCAGAACGACATGTTCCGCGTCAAGGTGGCGAGGGAGACTCGCGACAAGCGCTTCGTCGACGGCAACTTCCCCGTCGGAGCGGGTGCCCTCTGGATCCATTGGGAAGAGGTCGAGCTCGAGCCTCACCTCAAGAGCCTGTCTCGCGCCGAAGTCAAGGAATACTGCCGTGTCCGCCAGTGGCAGATTGACCGAGGAGAGACCCCCGAGACCCGCCCCAACAACGAGGCGCAGGCTGTGTACGACGCCCAGCAGCGCGTGGCCCAGGGCTTCAACAAGCCCGGTCTCATGAACAATATGCCCCCCTCGGCTATTGTCCCCCAGCTCGACGACGACAGGGCTGATTCGCCCGATACGAAGGTCGACGTGAATCCCGAACTGCGCCAGAGTCGTAGAACTGAAACCCGAGGCATTCGACACGCCCTGCCTGATCTCGAAGTCAGACAGTCGTCTCGCACGCCGGTGCAGGCGCAGAACAAGATCGACGCCAGCGCCCGTCGCGAGATCGCAAGGATCGAGGCTGCACAGATGCGTACCGAGCGCTTTGCCGCCGATCGTGAAGCCGCCGCCGCCGCCGTTGCCGCCGCCAATGGCGCCAACATCGCTCCTCCCCCTTTGATGCCACAGACCTTGCCCAAGATGCCTATGCAGAACGGCAACGGCGATGGTCGGCGTTTGAGCAGCCTTTTCCACGAGCGCGACGAGATGCAGCGCCTCAACAAGGTCTGGGCCAGCCAGGAAGAACAACGCAGCAAGGTTGGGGGCGAAGAGACCAAGTTCTACGGCGGTATCAAATACGAACGCAAGACGAATGGGCCCTTCGTCGGCAAGCTCGTGTCCCAGGGCACCATCATCAGCATCGATGGAGAAGATTACGTCGAATATCGCGTACTTACGAAGCCGAGCTTTTTCTAATTCGTCTCGGGCGGATTGGTCCGCGGCAATTTTGTTTCCTTCCGGCCTGTTTAGTCAGCCGGCATTGTTAAGGCATCGCTGTCAGTATTTCACCGGCTCGAGTTGATTCACTACGAACCTTTCATTCCTGTTTGTTTTTTGTCGGTATCGGAACGGCGGGACGACGGCATAGGGGTTTTCTTTGTGTAAATTATCCTCGCGACAAAAAGAAGCGAGGATTGGGCGACCGCGGGATTTTCCTACTATACCCCCTTTTTCAATGGTTCCGACTAATCAGCACTGTTTCTTTTGTCTTGTCACCTCGGCGCGGAAAAAGCCTGTGCAGTTTGCTTGTCATCAGTCAGGGAAGGGGCTTTTGCCTAGGAGCTATTATACCACGTTTCCCCTTGCATTTCGTTTTCCTTTTTCCAGACCTTGCGGTTCGTTACCGGAGCCTTCATCAGTCTCTCACGTAGTCTTATATCACTTCCAGGAGAAGTCATGAAGATGGGAATAATAAAGCCTTCTTCTGTTACTATGCTGTCGCATTGCTTTTTTTTCAACATGCAGAATGAACAACCAACAGGCAGAAGGAGGGGGGCAACAGGCCGGGTAAGAGGAAAGACGCGTTGGTCGTCTATATGGGCTTTGGATGTCCACTTTGGTTGTGCCAAGTACGGCAGCGTGAAACTCCGACCAGTGCCACGGTTTGTTCAGCAAACTAACTCGGCTACTTCTGTCGGCTGGAGAGAAACTGTACGCCAGTCAACTCGTCGGGGCTTTGGCATCTCCCCCACCTTCTCCCGAAAAAGATTACGCGACACGGCTCGAGACCGGACGTCCTCACGGCTCCTGGTCAAAGTCGTAGCTGTTCCCGAACCCCCTCCCCAGGTACGTCCGCAGCGCCTCCTCGCGGCTGACCCAGTCCACGGGGACCTCGAGGGTGGCGTCGGTGGCCGCGTTGAGGAGCGGCCTCACGTCGTCGGCGAGGGTCAGCCGCATCCGGTTGCGGTATCAGGGCGCGAAGTGGATCATGGCGAGCATGACGCGGACGTCGGCGGTGCGGTTGGGCATGCCGGCGTGCCAGAGGCGCAGGTCGCGAACGACGAGGCTGCCCTTCCGGACGGCGGGCGGCGCGGCGGGCGGCGAGGGCGGCGTGGGTGCCGAGCCAGACCTCGGTCGAGCCGTTGGCGGGCGTCATGGTGACGAGCGGCACGTTGACGACGAGGGCGAAGGGGTGCGACGGGTGGGCGAAGTCGGCGTCCGAATGCACGGGCTGGCGCTGGGGCGGGCGCGAGGGCGAGGCGGGCATGGCGGAGTTGGCCGAGAGGAAGGTGAGCTTCGGGCGGGGGCCGAGGACCGAGGACCGTCGCGACGGGGTCTGTCGGGGGGGTGTGAGTTCGACTTGTCAGACTGCCGTGGGGGGCTGGAGCTCCTCGACGACGACGACGACAGTGACGATGATGGGGGAATGGGTTAGTTACTGGTGAAGATGGACTTGTAAAAGTGCTCCGCCACGGGGGGAGGGTCCTGCTGCAGGTTGCCCAGGTTGTAGTTGAAGGGCCCCTCGTCCCCGAGGGACTGGAGGTGCAGCGCGTCCTCGACCATCTTGAGTTCAGGGCGTCGACGTCGGCGAGCGGGACGACGTCTTGGACGACGACGAGGCCGTCGGCGTGGAGGTGGCGGACGGCGAGCTCGAGGTTGCGCGGGGAGAGCGCCTGGTCCCGGATCTCGCCGTCCGAGAGCCGTATCACGGCCGGCGTGGTGGTGGTTGTCACGCTGCGGTGTTGTGTGAGTGAGGCCATCATCGCCCGCCGGCCAACGAAGAGGATCGGAGACGGGGGGTTCGGGAGGGGAGGCAGGCGGCGGCGGAGACGGAGGAGGGCTGTTGTGGACGGGGTGGGCTTCATCATGTCGGTTCCTGGTGAGGCGGTGTTTCTTGAGGTTTCATGGTGAGGAGGAGCACCGGTGAGGACGAGGACGAAGGATCTTTCAGTTATATACTAGATGCTGGAGTGAGGAGGCGGCGCGTGAGGAAGTCTGTCTACCCCAAACCCGAGCTCGGGCTTGGAGAGCCACTTACAAACCCCCCCATACCCCCTCTCCCCACAAACCCCAGGTTCCCCAAACCCGAGCTCGGGGTATGCTACCCACCCAAGCCGCCTGTCATCCCTCCCACCTTCTCCAGGGATAGAATAAGCATGTTGGGCCTTGATCCGTCTTTGGAACCCCGCTCATCTCACTCGTCGTCCCGACTGGCACGCGCGGTCGGCATCCTCCACTCCGCCTCTAGGTCGGCGACGAGTCTCTGCACCGGCCATCCGATGGACCGCCTGCACGCCAAGAGGCGGCGGACGAGCTCCTGTCTTGCGGGCTCCGCACGGAGGAATCTTGCACCTGCGCCGGCAATGAGGTTATGCCCAGGCTATGTCTGTCCTAGAGGTGTTAATCCTGTCATTTAAACCTTCATCCCAGCCTTCATCCAGTGTAACTGTACCACAGCGCGACCAATTTCGACACTTTTGACAGACAGTCCCACTTATGTAACCGACAGCTCCTTTATGGGTTGCAGAAGGGAATAAGCAAAGGCGTGGGCGTCAGGAGGAAGCGTGCTGAAGTCAACGTGTTGCAGCATCTTAGGACACATCAGAAAAGTGAGGAGAACATCCTTGCCAGAGTGCTTCTGGAAGTTGGAGATAAGCGAATAGACCCAGCCAGAGTATTCCGGGATCTGATGGTGCCGTAGATAGTCAAGAAGGTCTGATTCTGTTCGAGGTTGGTTGAAGAATGCGATTGCCTCGGACAGGACTTCCAGTGCTTGGCTTGTTGCTGTTTCTAGCCAAGTCTTGTTCTCCTATATCTTTCTGTCAGGGTTGAGAGGCCCGGGCTGGTCGTCCTCGATCTTCTTCTTCTGATGTCTCTTGTCCCTTTTGACGTCGCCTGCAGACGGCTTTGGGCCGTGGGCCCTGGGATCACCAGCTGTAGACGGCCCTCCTTGACCAGTATACAGTGTGCCTGACAAACGCGTGCTGGCACTGACGACCGCTGTTTAAAGTGGCCACCTTCTAGCTTCAGAAATTGTCAGGATTCTATGCCTAATCCTCTCCTTCGTCCTCTCATTCGTCCTCTCCTTCATCCTCTCCTTCATCCTATCCTGGCCTTTAACAAATTGTGCGATAGGCCATAGAAGAGCATATCGGGCAATGAGTTGATGTTGAAGACCTTCGTTTTGCTACTAGCGATCATAGTCCGCAACAGAAAGTTGCCAGTGTTGTTCCAAGCGTCTTGAAAGTCTTTGTTGATCTCGTGTACGGGATTTCCAGTTATCCTTGCGAGAACCAGGAATATATGCTCGTGTATAGTAGCCTAGAAGAAGGTATGAGTAAGTTGCGTCACAGATCCGACAAAAGAGAAGGCTCGTGGGTGAAAGGGGATCCGATCAATGTGACCCATGAGCGCAGGCTTCAACTGAATGAGATGAACGCCCCCCTGGGTCAAGGCGGGCGCCGGCTTCGACCACAGCGAGGCCGCTCGTAACTCCCCGTTTGGTAAGTTTCTCATCGACCATCGGCCGAACAACATCGTCATCCGCAGATACCAGTCTGCCCCGTCTAACGACGATTGATCCTCATTGCCAGACCTCGGCAGGCACGAAGGTCGCTGCATGCAGCTTCTCTCACAATGCCCCTAGCAACATCAATCCATCCAACTGCTGAATACTTCATCTTCTTCCTTCTTTTCCCTTCTTCAGCCAACAATAGATCTCACCATTTGGGACACTGCTGGTTCACCCGGCCGAAAGGCTTGTACGGCCATGTATTAACCAAGGCCGAGCGGCAAGAATTCAGCAGAGCCGTCAAATACGCAATCGCAGAGGGCGTCAGCTACAACTTTGGGACAGATAAGGACACCTCTATAGCCCTCCTCTGGAGAGCGATCCCGAGTCCGCACGAACGGCAGAAATAATCAGGAACAGAGGAAAAGTATATGGCCCCCTTTGAGGACGCACCGTGATCCGCTGCAGGCTTCTCAGGTTCCGTCCTATGTACAGGAGCTCTTCCGTCCTATGTACAGGAACTCCTACTGACGCTACAGCTAAGGTAATCGTTATACGGAATTTTTAGTTAAACTAGCCTAAAACACCACTTGGTCTAGAGAAGAAAATAGAGAGCGTCTATAATATTGAAGGTGGTTTCTAACCCCCCACCTTTATCACAGAGCGCTGTACCATTGAGGTTGGCGTCGCCGAACAACACACTTAGGCCGCCCCTTCAATATTCAGCGGCCGTGATGCTGGAACGGGTGCCAACCGGCGAAGCTTTACCGGTCCCAGATAGGAGCTCAGTATGGCTAGAAGGCATCACCCATCTGGCGATTAACCAACAGTTCTGACTCCGTCGATGAATTGCCCAAGGCGGCCCTCCGGACAGCATACTGCTTCTCGGAACTTTCGATATGTTTGTTCCTTTATTCAACTCTCCCTTCTGATGTTGACATTTGTATCTTTAGTGACACGTGCTAACACCAGTTTGAGGAACCAACTTCATATCTTCCTCTACACATGCGACCAAAGCCCCGGAGCTCCTAGGAAATGCCATCCAGTGCCCTCAAACAAGTGATTCAGGAGGACAGGCAAATGCGCCTTTGGTACAGGGAATGGTTGACACAGGCGAGGATGGAGGGCTGGAACGGCTCGGAGTTTATGGGTCCACCCGATGGTGTTTACGATTGGCTAGGCGGCGACGAGGATTCGGAAGACGAGTATTGCTAGTATGGATTGATTTGTTGTGTAATTGTTCTTTCCAAAGGCTATATGGCAGTCGCTCACATCAATTGAGATTTCACAGACCACCGTCTGCGCATAAACAATTACCAGAAGAAATCCTAACTGATCATTCACATGGAGAAAAGTGCAAAGGCGGGTGATGTATAGAAGTAGGCAAAGGACCAAAACGAAAAAGCAAAATAATAGATGATTTGCGCCGAGGGGGAATCGAACCCCCGGCTCCCCGACGCTGCTTGATGGCAACGGAGAATTTTACCACTAAACCATCGGCGCTTGAAGACGATGAACCGCTGGAAATATTCCAGGATCGTGAGTCGTTGTGGTGAAGGGTGTGAAAATGAGATTATATCGCGCATGATGACTAGGGCTGTGTGGTTTTTTTTCTTCTTTATTTCGGATGCCGATGTGGAGCGTGTGGGGCTCTCTCGGCCGTCCGGGGCCGGGCCATCGTGCGTTAGTATCCTCCGAGCAGGTCATCCTTGTCGGCCCGTTCATGGAAGCGGCAACCACATGCTGACGAACACGTCATGGCCGCGTTCGTCCTCATCCACATTTCTGTTGTCGAATCTTGAATTGAATCACATAATGGACTTTGTTCCCTTCTTGTTGAGCCCTGATCGCTCAGCGGGTTGGCGAGAATGCCCCTGCTTCTTCAGCGTATGATGAGAAGCGGACCAGCTCGAGCAAGCCACAACCCAAACATTAGGGCCAGAACATACATACTAATTGGGTATGAGAGTTTGAAGCCTCGTGCACCAAGTCACCTGGTTCGTTGTAGCATACAACTGTCCCTTCTATACTCTAGAGGCCTATTGTACGCTTTCTTGGCTTAAATACTGAACCTCCTGTTTGAACATTTTCGTCTTGATGAGTACGAGAATACCATCCGCTTGAAGACAATTGCCATTTGTATTGCCGTTTCTCAACGTATAGACCACTCAACGTATAGACCAGGTGGCCCAGGACATTTGCAAACTTTGCTCACGCCAACGGGCGGTGATTCTCTTCTCGGAGCTCAGTATGTGAGGAGATGTCTCGTATTCTCTCCGAAATGACTTGGCTGTTGAACCTGAGAACGGGTGTCGACATCCTTGGTGCACCCATCTTGAGGCACTCTTCGGGTAACATGACCAAACATACATCAACCTCGTGCTACTCGATATATGACCTTCGCATTTCTATCGAAGCTCCCAGGTTGATAGTGCCCACCGAGGATGCCCCTAATCGGGTCCCTGCCGGGGTCTCACACGAGCACTCAGTCCTCGTCCTACCTCGAGCACTGCCCTCCCACGCCATCCATGTTTGCATTCCGCAACCATACCTCGCATCACACGAATCGAACTGGGACGAGTGGTCCTGCCTCGATCTGCCTTACGGCTAGCCGCCTGCTCACCGACATTTCTCATCATTGAAGGCGGTCTCATGATACCCTCCCACGGCACGCTTCCAAAAACCCACCATCCTCCCCGAAGGTTCTTTGCCTCGCCGCTTTGCTCTTTCTCCCCGACCCGAAACATACTGTTCTTACTCAATATCTTGATCAGGTACCCTAGAGAACCTACAGAGTCTTATCCCGAAAACCACTACGTCTCAGCACTCGCCATGAGCAGGAGAAAGCGCCTCACACCCCAGGAGCTCGAGAGACTCTGCAGCTATGCGACGCCCATGGGCCGTTGCCCGTATACCAGGGTCACTTTGGTCAAGGACGGCGCCCGTTATGGGTCCCGCTTCTGCAAGGCTCACTGTTGTAAGAAGATTGACGGCAACTCTGCGTGCCTGAACATGAGAACCAACAACAAGGGATACTGCCAGCATCGTACGGAGCCCCTGAATCCGCATCGAATCTCTCTTTTTTTGGCTTGGCTGAATTTCCCGTCTATAGACCTCCTGTGTACGGGTTCCATCAACGACCAGCGCTGCACCAACTACATCAAGAACCACGACCCCAAAGACTTCAAGTTTTGTTCGCAGTATCGTAAGTCCCACCCGATCCCCTTTCTCATTGCCATCACTGGATTGTTGCTCCGGTCTTGTCCACATCGGTCATCGACAGCAACTAACACCTGGCGCACAAAAAACAGATAACTGCCTCACCCCGGGATGCGCCAACGAGCGCAACCACCCCAATGGCGTCGACTATAGATACTGTCCGGACCACCGCTGCGACCATGCCGACTGCGCAAACCCCAAGGCCGCACCCTCCCCCTTCTGCGCCTCGCACACCTGCGCCTCCCCGGCCTGCCTCGCCCGCTGCCCCGGCGCCTCGGGGGACCTCCACGACCCCTCCCGGTACTGCGACCGCCACCGCGTCTGCGCTGCCGGGGGCTGCCGGCGCTTTGCCCACCTCGACGACCAGGGTCCTTATGGACTTTGCATATACCTGGAGCACACGTATGGCGAACTTGTGGTGAACGGCATCCTGAGTTACAGCATATCACATTATAGCGGATATGACCTCGTTATGATTAATTATGACTGATGAGAATCTATGTTCCAACACAACAGCCGACCGCAGCTTAAGGTGACGAGGCGGGGCAATACAGTAAAA